AAAACGTTCCTTATACCATACATTGATCTCAATATTCCTGCGTTTGAAATTCGTGTAAGACGAATATAAAAGTTTTAAACACGATCAAAATAAGAGAGGGTATATGAGATAAAGTCATTTGAGAAAACTAGACTACCTGTTTGTAAATACTTGTTCGCGTCGCTTTGTGAGAAAGATTCAAGAGCTTCTCCTCCATATATTACAGGCCGCGGTTAACTGGGATTCAGCGACGAAAATGAATGAAATAAATTATTTATTTACCAGTTGATGATCAACCAATTTAGCGGAGAGAAATATCTGCAATAAAAGCTGAATTAATGTGAAATACTTGGTCAGATAATCGTGCTCACATCGTAGTGAGCATGGCCCTAGGCTTAGTCCCCTAATACAGGAGAAAGGTTTTTTTTTGTAATTAAACAATCATTCGACAAGCTGTTTCCCCGCTTGCACAGGCATATTAGACTCACGGTGTAAAAAAATACACTAAGTTTCACCTGTTATCATTCGAAGCAACAGCAGAAACACAATCAGCAAACATCGCTTTTATACAGTGCAGAAAAGGTTGAGCGCTGTGCACATCATATTATTCCGTTTGTAAATATAGTAGTGACTTGAGAAAACGTAGGCAAAGCGTTTTAAGTACAAACCTTCTTGGAAAAAACTTCTTCCCTAAACTGTCTCGCGATGACATAACATTCTGATCAGGACTTGCTCCGCCTTGTATTTTGATAATGCTAATTTACGAGATCTCTTTTCTACTGATCTGTGTGACGAGGTCAATTTAAAAATCCTTTTACCATAGAAATTAAAGTCAGAAAACTTCTTCCAATTGTGGAAAGTCAACGACTTTATTTGTTAAGAGCTTTTCCCACACGCTTTTCGATTAATAAGGGTTTTCATTTTTCTCCGACAGCATTAGCTAAATCTGTAAAGTGAGTGTTGTTTAAAATTCCCAATTCAATTTGTTTTCCAGCTATATTACCGCAAGCTATGACAGAAATTACTGTAAGAACACTGAATCGATTTGAAATACCTGGTAACATAATCGTTTTCGCATCAGAGAGGTTATGCATGGCTTTGTGACATAAAAGTCGCCAACCAAATGTAGAGGAAAAAAACAAACGACGATGCAAGCTGCATAGTAGAGGTGTTTTCCTACTTTGACCGATTTCAACATGTTATCATCCGGAGTAATAATAAAAACATGATCGGCAAACCTTACTTGAAAATGTAGAGAAATACTAAAGCGCTGAGTGCACTATCTCGTAATGGAAATGTGACAGTTACTTGTGAAAACCTAAAAGAAGTATTTTAAGCACAAACCTTACTGAAATACTGCTTTCTTCCTTTGAGACAAACACCATTTTAGCCAGACTTTCCACGCTTTACGTTTTGGCAGTAGGTGATCTTTAGTCTATTATACTGGGCTCCAGCCTGAGGTCATTTTTTAATCGAATTCGAAGTATATCATTACCTTTCGAAGTTAACTTGGGGTTATAATGAATAGCGGGCGCACCTGGTTTGAATAGTAACCCGTAACTTGGAAGTGTTAAACACACTTGGACTAAAACAAAATTCTGAATCTGTTATTTAAATCAGATCGCGTAAGATTTCGCTTAAAGTTTGACAGGCTGGATGAGTGAGAAATTTTTTTTTACTTTTCGACTTAAAACATGTGGAAATTAATCCCGTTCTCTTTGAAATTAACCTAAAATTTTCAAAACTACCGAACTTAAAAATGTATCTTTCTATCTTTCATTATGGTCTTCAGTTCTCAGTTTGAGGTCTTTCCGAGATAAGAATTGTCGCCTACGTTACAACAAAAAGAATAATTCAGAATAATAGCACCCATTATGGAATGAAAGTTTAGAATTGACGATAACAATCATTAACACGGAAACACCCCACGTCCGCTTTAAGTCTTCAAATAGAATATTTTTCTGTCACCTTCTCCATAAAAAATTATAATGACAAAGGGCATGTGCAAAAAAGCTTTTTGGACAGTAAGTCAGCTCTTGAAAGAGAGGGAAACAAACTTTATCATCAAAAACAATGGATTTTCCCAATGTATTTTTCAACACAGAGATATAGAGCAGTTGCGTAAAACCTGGGTGTGTGCAAAAGCCAATTAGAGTTAGAGCTTTCGTAGTATTCGTCCGTTATGAGACAAATAATACTTTACTTTAAATTAAAGTAATTAGCTTGAGGGAGATTTTGATCACCATAAAATTAGTTTCGTTGAATAAAAAGTAAATTGGACATATGAGCTTGCTTGCCGTTGAAACCTAGACACAGATTGTTTCAGATCCATTAAAATATCAACAAAGATGCTAATTAAGCGAGTGTATGTTTAGGTAACCATTCCTCCTAAGAGCAAGTCGTAAGCCTTACGCTCAAAAAAGCTACCGAGTTAGCAACGACAGAAACGGAAGCGATGCAAATCATACTTTTCATATCACTTTTCTTAATGATGCTACTTTGTCTCGTCCCCTTTGAAAATCTAAACACTAGAAATATTGTAAAATACTTGTTAAAAAAATCGTTTGTATGACGCGGCATTCCACCTTTTCAAGCGAAATTGTTAAGAATCGCACTCAAAGTCCTGTTTGTGAATACAGATGTTAGCTGTGTGATTTGTGAATACAAGACGTTAGCTGTGTGAATTGTGAATACAAGATGTTAGTTGTGTGAATTGTGAATACAAGATGTTAGCAGTTTGGTCCTCTATCGCAGAGAGATTCTACTTAACATACGATCTCGAGCCATAAAAAATATTTTTTTCTTCACCCTTTAAAATCGGCAATCAGAAAAACGAGTTAGATGTTAACGTTCAAACTTGGTTTCAGGTTCATTTTTGTTAAAAAGCTTTATGTGGCTGCCCGAGTGAACATTGTTGATTGATCTCTAAGATCAAGTTATTTTTGTACATTTACTGGCTTCACTGCAGGTGATTATTAAAGCAACCACGGGTTCATTTATTAAAGTGTTCTTCTACCGAAATATCGAAAATTACATTGCTAAGCGATCAAATTGAAATTTTAAGTTCAATGTGATATTCATCCTATTAGTAATGATTGAAATCAATGTTCAGTGTGATATTAATCCTGTCAGGAACGTTTATGACAAGATATAACTTTAACACTGACCAATCAGAGCGTGTGTATTTCAATCATACTACTATCCTTTTGCTACTTAAATCACTTTGCGAGATGAGTACACCAACTTGCATCACTGACGTTTCAGGATGTAGAGAGGTTAATGTTCTACGCTGGTTGTAGAGATAACTGGGATTATAAGTAAAAGTCCTACAAATAAAATTGCACTCAGAACTTTTATTGAGGTAACCTATAATGACGTCAGTCAGCTGACGCCAGAACTAGTTATGGTTGATTTTATGAATTGAATATCCAGATAAATTGTTGTTGTTGTTATTTGTTGAGGTATCGATCGAAGCAAAATGAAGGCCCCGGCTTGTCTTTGACAATACTTTTGATGCGTGAAAAAGGGCTCTACTGTTTAAAAAGAAGAAAAAATTTGAATTTTGACGAAAAGGATCATGCTGAAGATAAAAAAAAACAAAAACAAAAAACAATGTTTTTCACGCATTGAGCCAATACTCCACATCCTCCCGTCTTGCACTCAACATTATTCAAAGATGTGTGGGAAAATGGCTGCTTTGTTTATGTAGGGTTAGGAAATTGATGTTGTTATGAAGAACAAATTCTGCAGGAGATAAAACTGTTCAGAAAAATCGATGACGTTTTTCATTCAGTGAGCGAGTACAATACATCTTCACGTCCTGTGACTTAACAATATTTTGATGTGTGAGGAAAACGGCTGTGTTGTTTATGTAGGGTTAGGACATTTTGTGGTTATGAAAACAAAAATCATGCGGGAGATAAAACAATTCAGGAAAATGGAGGGTGTTTTTCGGTCAGGAAGCAGATACAAAGCGTCAACATTCAAATCCTTCTAGTATATAAGTAAGTCGTTTATGTCGTAAACCTAAATCCTGATAAGTGATTTAGCTAGCACGAGTTCCCTATGATAGGCCGCATACAGTATTTCCATTAAATTAGCTTTCAGCTGAAATCGGTTCACAATATTTTGGTGTCGGTCTCCAGCGAAAACTTAGCAATGAATTATTTTCGCTGACCTCGTCTGACGATCGAAAAACAGCATGATGCCGCTGTTTTAAAGGACACCGGCTCGCATTTTAAGTGCAATATCACTTAGTCGATATGGGCTCAATTTCCAAGCACTAGATCTCTCTTGAAGGCCGGAACCCCGTCACAGGCTTTAGAAACTTTAATTTGTATATTTCAAGTTCATTATTTGCGAGGTGTGTTCTTCTATCCGGTTCCTTTCCCTCACCGCACCACTCCTGTTTGGTGTGCTCATCTCCCTGTTCACACTTCTCTTTTGAAGAAGACAATAATCAAAGGGCTTTATCTATAAAAGGACGATTCTCATCTATGTTTAAAGTGACATAACATAACGACGTAGCTCTTTTTAATGCACAAGATCAGTCAGTTGATATAGGCTCAATTAACCAGATCTCGATCCATCTGACGTCATTCTTCGTTAGTGTAGTAAGGCTAATGCCCGCTATGCGTGGGCTAAAATCTATTGACGGAGCAGGGTGGGTAAACTAACCACGATATTACTGCTATTTTTTTTTCGCGAAATGGTTCCCAGCAAGAGAAAACAAAGGGCCATTATTCCAAGTGATCAATACCTCGTGATGAAGGTGCCTCCCTGCAAAGCGGTGCGAGTAAATTCGTTGTCAAAAGCTGAAAAAATGAAAAAATGAAAAAATGGTGTTAGCGGAAAATTTTTATTCATTCTGTTTCATTCACTCTTCGTTGCTTGCGAAGTGCTTGATGTATCTGCTGAACGTCGGTGTTCCCTCCCCTCCCCTCCCCTAGACAAAAACTCTATCGTCCCATGGGACGCGTATAAAAAGTACTTCCCAGCGTCCCATCAAACTTTATTTATACCAACACATGAACGCACTCTCTTGATCTCTTGTTTACAGAGTTCACAGACTGATTGTCGATTTCCCTGAGGCATTTTTATCTCACTATGGCTTTTTTCTGCCCCATGAGAATTCCAAGAAGACGAAGGAAACGTAAGTAGGCAATTCTAGCAGTAGGTCGAGTTTGAAAATCGTTTATGAGTTTTCTGTTTACACGTTGGTCCTTGCACCTTTGTCAATATCTTTGACAGGATATCGAGATGAAGAACAAAAAGACACCACTCGAAATGGAAATGTTAAGGGAAGGATCACAGGTAGCAATAGTGTGGACTCTATTGTGGATCTTGGAAAAGAAGAAGAGGATAACGAGATCGAATTTGAACCACGGAAGATGGTTGTGCTTCATGATTTTATACCCTGCGTCGAAGATGAGGTCGCGGTAAAGCGCGGTCAACATGTCAAAGCTCTTTACCAAGAAACAGACTGGATCTATGTCATAATAAATGATGGAAAGGAAGGTTTTATACCATTTACGTACTGCGTCCCAGAGGAGGAATACGAAAAGCGGAAAGAGAAGCAGAAAGGGCTCCAAAGGAATAACTTTCGAAACGCTTCGTTTCTCGATTCGTTGCATGTGCAAACAGACAATACACCGTCGTATAATTTTAAGAAAGATGATTTTGGTGATTACATCGTCAGATTTGAGTTTATTGCCTGCGATGAGAACGATATTTATGCCAAGAAAGGAGATAGAGTTCGCGTTTTAAACAAAGATGACAAGGATTGGTATTGGGTCTCAAAGAAGGATGGTGTTGAAGGATTTATTCCCAAAGATTTTCTTGTTCCGTTGGACGGACTTGAAAATGGCGGTGAGTGCCTTACTTTTGTTTTCATAATCGTGTCAATGATTTTCGAGTACCTTTGTACAATTGTAAGGGTCGATCATTGTGTGAATTTGTGCCGACTGAAGACTGTTCGAAGCGACTTATCAGAGGGCGCTCTCGCGGTGGGAGACGTAATTTCGAACCCACTTGATTAGATACCAGCGTTTCCAATAACATCGCTAAATGTGTATCATGATCACTAAATCGCATTTTGTTAAGTTCGCATAAACAAATGTTAGGTCTCAGTTAACTAAGAAAACACTTCTTTCGGAGATCAAACCTTAATGATTAGTTAACTTAATTTATTTACCATGTTTCTGAGAGAATTTTGTCTCAAACAGTGTTGGTTAATTTTATGCTATTGAGCTTTCATTTTCCATCAGTGGAAGCGAAAATTCTTGTCATGGTCAATTACTGAACTTTTAATTGATAATGTGTTATCACTCTCGGTTCAAAGCCGTCAATAAGGGTAATTTATCTGTACAATACTATTCTTGACAAAATGAGGCACTTGCTTGAATTTCTCTGAAGATTGGTGTTAACACTTCATTGATTTAGAATATTATTTCCAACAAAATTTTAGTAATTCACTTTCGTCTTTTTTTTTATCCTCCTTGCTTTGAGATTCTTAGCCTCTATCCTACCTTATTATTCAAACCATGTTAACTCATTTTATGCTGATGTAAAGTAAATTGGTGTTTTAAGGACAGGAGTTAACCATTACTTAGCACAACATGTTCATAAATGTAATTCATCAGGCTAGAAGTCAATTGGCCAAATTCTTATTCTGCTCAAAAAGTCAAACAAAGAAGTAGTTAATATCCAGCCATTAGAACATAACAAGCTTGTCACATTTTTTGATGAAATATGTTTCCTGTGGATGAAATTCAAGCAAAGAAATGATTCTTGCACTGTCAAACTAAAGCAAGAATATTCACAGGCTTCTTTTCTGCAATTTTGGATAAATTGCAGTACATTGGCAGGGATCATGAGCCAATGAGCCAGCTTTATTTAAAGATCTTTATTACACAAAATGTCTGTTTGAAAACTCCTAGTGTCTTATCGAGCTAGTTGTCTTTCAGCTCATCATTTTTTATGAGAGATGGTTTGATTTTAGTCTCTTACTGGGGTATTGATCCCTCGGAATAATTGCCTTCTACTTTCTCTAGCTGGGAACTATTTTACAAAAGAAAAATGAACAGTAATATTGTGATTAGTTTACTCACCCATCTGCGTCAATAGATTTTAACCCATGCATAGCAGGCATAAGCCTTACTATACTAACAAAGAATGACCAAGAGAGGTCAAGATCTAGGTAATTGAGCCTAGATCAACTGACTGAGTTGTTGTAAAATGAGAGTTCTGGGACAAGACAGGTACTAAGGATAAAAAGTGTTCTTAGACAAGTAAGGACAAGTAAGAGCAAGTAAGAACAAGTAAGCTGACTTCTTTGTTGATAGAGGTTGCTGTAAGGAGTGCAAGACAAGGAGTTATTGTATTGAAAACCTGCATGACATTGCTTTTCTTTTCATTAAAATGTCTGACAAGTGCTTCTATTTTTCTAGATTTAAGTCCATCAACTGTTCAAAATCATTTGAATGGTGGCAGAAGAATATCTGAGACCCGAGTTTCGCCATTGTCAACACAAGTTGGAAGCCCTTACAGAATAACAACACCAGATTCCAACAGGTCAACAAAAAGTACAAACTCATCCTCAGAACCTTTGTTAATCACTCCTTCCTCTAGCCTAAATGGCTACAGCCTTGTCACTCCAAACAATAAGACAGAAGCATACCACCAACGTCGTAGCACTAATGAGCTTTTGCTTTATGGACAAGAACTTGTCTGTACTGATACCTACATAGCTAGAAGGATGGATGAACTTACTGTAAACAAAGGTGATTGGATTTATGCTGACATGAAAATCAAAGATGCAAGGGGCTGGATTTGGGCATACTCACCTTCAAACAAGACACAGGGCTATGTCCCCAAGTCGTGTGTAAGACCACCAGCAACCACACCTCTTTGATTAAAATTCAGGTAGTATCGTTTTTGTGCATCTTTAGGATAAAATAACTGGGACTATTTTAGAGTCAAAAAGTACAGACTACTATTATTGTGAAATTGTCAGGATGTGCAGCAAACACGCTGTGTCAATACATTTTAAATGTTCTTGAAGAAAGTACATATTGATTTTTCAATGAATCTGATTTGAATGTTTTATATATATATGATATATTAAGCATAATATGTAAAGGGAGAATGAATATTTTTTTAATTTAAGGAATTCACTCAGAAGAGATCTGTACTTGAAATATTCTGGATGTTAGTCTAAAGTCAATTTGAGCCCTTTCATCCGTGTGACAAATCCTCCATGAAGTTTAACTCATGAGACAACTGTTATTCGAAGTGAAACATCACCATCAAAATGATGTCATAGAGTGTTTGACGCAATGTAGTTTATGTGAGTAGAATTTGGATAGTGCACTCTAGGAGACTGGTAGACTTGCTGGAAACTAGTGTTAAGGATTTGTCACCATGGATTTATTAACCTTAAGACATGGTACCAAACAATTGAAATGTTAAAAAGACAAAGGTTAAGAAGCCACCCCCATTGTGATTATTTTTTGGAACTCCTCTGTTCAGGGTTTTATCTTCCACCCAGCTCCTCTTCTTGTAGTTCTTAAAGAATTTCTAATGAGTCACAAGTGATAAAGAGTCAAAGTAATCCTTGCCTTGGAAAAAGATGTTTACAAGTAAGTTTTTATAAAAAAATATTTTTGAAGATTCCAGAGACATCTATAGTCAAATGTGTACTAACCCTCAGCACTGTTAGCCAGTGATTAAAAAAGATCCAATACAAGGAAAAGGTAGTTTCTAACCCTTTCACTCCTAAGATCTCATTTGCTAGTCTTCTTATTGTACGCCATGCAACTCATATGATGTTAGGTTGGAGAATTTGGTATTGGATTAGTTAATTACCCCCCAATCAATACTTTTCTTTATTCTCATTGCTTGTCTACGTGATATTGTATCGATATTGTAAGGAGAAATTCTGTCTTGGTCACTTGTGGGAGTTCAAGGGTTAAAGACAATAAGCTTCAAAATGATTTAAGCAAAGTTTTGAATTTTTGTTAATGTAAGGAATCATTTAGTCAGTGGCTAGGTTTTTAGGCACCCAAGTTGTCACATGATTGTTTTGTTTTCATGATTTGCACATAAGTATTAAATCGTTAAGTTTCTTGCAGTGAGTGAGCCCATTTTATATGCATTGTGTATGTAGCTTGTTGATTCTTAGCCAATTGGTGTTAATTTCATTATATGACTGAGTAACTTTTTATTAGCAAGTATTTACAGTAGATGCAAACTAGTGTACTCATTAAATATTATTGAGCTAAGAAGGTACTCACAGATTCTGTATTTTCAGACAGGCAAACTGCAGTATTTATATAAATTTATGAGGAATTTTATTAAAGTATTGTATTTATTAAGATATGGCTGTACTCTCTATGCATATGCCGTGGTGACTAATGTAAGATAGGCAGTCCCTGATAACAAATGCATATGAAAAAGTTAGAGTGGCTACCTAATTGTACTTCTGGGGCCAGTTGGGGTTATTTCAGGGTTCAAAAATGCACTTGCTTGGATTTTTCTTGTATAAAGGTGTTTTTGGGGCCAATTTGCAGTCCTCATTTTGTACTCCTGTGGGGATTTCTTCCTGAAAGCAAGCCACTGCTCTAGATATTTCAAGGGACCCTAAATAACAGGAAAACCTGCAACCTGCTCCAACGTTTTCTAGGAGGATGTTTCAGAGATGACCCTGTAAAACTTGCATGTAAACGAAGCTGCTTCATGAAATATCTTATTCACTAGGGACAAAATAGCACCGAACAGTATAGTCAAGTCTTGTATGAAAAGCATTTTTTTTTTTTTTACAAAAACTGCACTAGGCTTGTATTCAACGCTTCTCCTCTAATCGCAAAGTCAAATGCCGAGAAACTTAAAGGACTTCTCAATCTTTTTACCTGTTTCTTTGCTAATCACCCTCGTTTCCAGGTGATGCTCGTGGTGAGGAAAATAGAGGTCTGAAAACTAATTTGATACAAAGAAAGCAAACTGTCAGACAACCTGTCCCTGACTGTAACTATTTATAAAAAAATTCCTTTAACGACCGCTTCATCGATTCGCATATTTCTCTCAATTGAAGGTAAGTGAGTATTCTCACCACTGTTAATCGATCTGCAATTGCTAAACTCGTTTCTCTGACAAACACAAAACTGTCAATTGAATGATTGAATGAATGAAATTTGCATATTCGTCAGCACCTGTTCGGTTCAAAAAAGGACTGAAAACAGATTTAGTGGAAAAACAAAACCTTGCAGTCTCAACGCGATCGTTCATCTGTCTTCCTCTGTATTTACACATTGACACTAAGTACAAACATGAATTCATTTTAGGAAATGCTGGCGCCAGAAGAATCCATCGAAGAGTGCAAAGAAGCATTTTATCTTTTCGACCGAAGGGGAGACAAGAAAGTTGAATGTAGCCAAATCGGAGAAGTCATGCGGGCTCTCGGAACGAATCCGACAGAAAGCGAAATTTCAAAAATTATTCGTAATCTGGATACTGATAGTACTGGTGTAAAGCGAGTTAGCTTCGAAGAATTCTTCCCATTTTATCAAAATCTGCTTGATCGGCAAAAGAAAAGTGGAGGTAAGCTGTATAATATAAATTTAATTGCTTTCTTTCTTCGCTTGTCTGTAGGCTCGCTTTTATTATGGCTTCGTGAAACTTAGTTTGCGTTTTCCTTTTAAGGATCTAAAGGCAACGATAATATATACGAGGTCTGAAACAGAAACCAATTTTAAAAGACAAACGCTAACATTTAAAAGGTGACAGTGATCTGTTTTATTGTTAAATTACTCAAAGTACTTTGCTGGATCAAGCTACATCGCAGATCCAACACATAATTTGCTTTAGGCATATAGTTTTAAATGAGTTTAAGATAACTTACTTCGAACAAAACGATAAGAAGTAAATATGAAAGCGATCTCCGCAGTAATGAACACTATTTAAGCAGCAGAAGTGAAAATAGAGCTTGAAAAAATCAGGCCTCGACGGGAGTTGAGCCCATTACCTCTGCGATACCGGTGCAGTGTGTTGACAACTGAGCTAACAAACCAACTGGGAGCTGGTTATTATGTTGGTCCCAAATAAACCCGTGAAGTGATGTATAAATGACTGTGAATATATATGAAAATCATATATGTGAACTGCGCATAAAGAATCGAATATGAAAGCGATCTTCGCAGCAATGAGTATTACTTAAGAAGTGGAGGAAATAAGGCCTGATAAAAAATCAGTACTGCTTACGTAATGTTCATTATTGTGAAGACCGCTTTCATATTCACTTCTTTATACACAGTTCACATCATGATTTCCATAAATTCACAGTTATTTAAAACAATTAATAAGACTCATAGCTCATTCAAACCAAAAATAAAAGCTGTTTCGCAAAACACGGTTAAAGTTGTTTTCCTCCTAATCGTTGCTAAAACTGATATTTGCCGACTTCAAATTTAGCCGAATGAAAATAAACACTGGTGATCATTGGAACCTTAGGTAAAATTCAGTTCTTCAGCTTTCTGTTTCTGATTTTCATTCAGCTAAAACTGGTTTAGCGGAAACATGTTTCCTGGTATGAATGGGGTATTCGTTAACCAAAAAATTTTGACTCCCTTGGGAAGACTGACTGATAAAGAACTTGCTAAAAATCTTTCACGATAATTTTCGAGTTTAATTCGCATTGTATCTTTCCCTTTCCAGTTGATCCGGAGCACTTTATCGATTGTCTTCGAGTCTATGATCACAACTGCAACGGGCTCGTAAACGCCTCCGAATTACGTCAGTTGTTACGCTGTCTGGGTGACAAGTTGACAACTGAAGAGCTTGATCAACTTTTGCTTGGGTTCGAAGATAGTGACGGCCTGATTTTGTACGAGGACTTTGTGAAACACATCATGTCAGGATAGAATCACGCGCAGCTGATCAAGAAAACATGTCTTTTTTTCTTCCCTCGTTGATGAACTTGAAACTTTATATTTAAGATGATAGGAACCGAATAAAGTTATTAGTTAAAACAGACTCGCGATGAGTGAAGATTCCTCCGTACTTGTTAATTTACCACGAAGTTAAAGTAACCGTCTTGACTACAACTAGTCCCAAGTCAGAGGAGATCGAGGATTGGTTGGTGATTGGGGGGGGTTTAACCTTTGATTCAGAAAACACAAAGTATCTTCTTAAACCACAGCCTGAATAAGCTGAGAAATATTTCAAGACAAGTAAATTTCAAATACATTATTTTGAGTTGTAACCTGCAATTTTGTCGTTGCAAGAATTTTGGTGTCTAGCGAAAAAAAAAGATCTAATGGGCGAGGGTACAGACCCCCGGACCTTCCCCCTTGGAGTGCGAACGGTGATCCTGAGGGAATCGAGAACAACAGCTGAGGAGGGGGTCATTTAAATGTTGGGATTATTCATGTTCACCAAGGTTAGCCGAATCGAAGATTGAAACGTCTTGGGAAAGAATGAAAAGCGAGAAGGAAAAGGAAAAAGGAGGAAAGGAAAAGTGAAACTCTCTCGTATCATTCCGCGTTATTTTCCTTAAAGTAAAATCTCCTTCATCAGGAGCGTGCTTTGAGCTGGCCGAATCCTTAGAAAGATTGATGATCTTGTCTGGTGTTCCGTCAATCCTCAGTCACTTCTCTCCCGTGGAGAACGACGTATTTTGAATATGTTTGGTTAATTTCTTGAGCTGGTCATTTACCAATCAAACTATACATGCACCTTTCCATCAACTTCGACTCATTTTTTCGTTTCTGATATTTTGATGCGAACAAAGTAAGGTACGTGCGCTGTCAGCTGACTGGGGAGAGGAAGTGATGACTCTCCCCTCCCCTGTGACAAACAAACCTGGAAGTGCAGCGAAGCAAATTCGAAGTGTATCAAGTGTTTTAAATAGCTGCGTATTTTACCGTATTTTGGAGAATTTCAGCGATATTAGGTGATCAAGGTAACACATGTATGTAATTATGGCTGTAGGAAAACGTTTTGATAGTATTTTTTGCAAAGTGTTCTTCATGAATTGGGCTTTTGTGGCTTCAAGTTTAGGATTGACTCGGAGGAAGTTTTGAGGAAGTGCCCGATAATTTTGGTAAAAAATCACATATTTTTTAAGCCATTTGAGAAACACCTCTATTAAAAGCCTAGCTGTTGAAACGTTCCTTAATTTTTGCTTTCTTTCCGGTGTACCTACAACTGACTTTCAGAGCGAGATGGCTTATTCTGCTTACTCAACAATCCAGCAATACAATGCGAGATCGATCTAGAATTTTCACTTCACTTCCAATTCATTTCATGAATATTTCTTGGTTGGAAGTAGTTATTCTTGTTCTTAAGCTACGTAATGAACGTTGAATCACTGCCAGTGTAGTTCCGTGATGATAATATACGATAGAAGACGTACATGTAAAATTAATCATAGATCCCACGCTGAGATTTTAGGATTCTTACGGTCAAATAGTGAGTTAGCTATGCACTCAGAGGTGATGCAGACGTAATGTAGAATCGTATTTTTACTGTAGGATTCTATGCGTTGACTTGAAATAGAGATGAGGTCTTATGAACGCTGACTGTTGCAATAATGAAATAATTTCTTGGTTCAAATAAGGGCTCCCCTATGCATCAGTGCCTCTAAGAGATGTTACTTGCACCCTTAATTGCACTTATTTTGATATTTAAGTTCAGATGTGATTACAGCTTTTTTTTTTATTCTTTGTTGACACTAATAGCATAGAAAAACTGAGGAGCATGGACATAATCTTACTTAGAAATGTATAAAACTGTCACTTTGTTTTGTTATCTTGTTTTGTTGTTTATGCTGGTGAGGTGTTACCAATGAACCTTCTGTGCACACTACATTGCTTGCATGACATTATGTAAAGTAGTGCATAAAATTTTAACCTTTATTTCCTGGCCTCTTCTATGTTTTCTAGGGATTAGTGTAAAAACAATAGAATGGCAGCAGCAAGGAGATCAGGGAGGCACACTATCTTTGTGCGGTTTAACTCCAACACAAACATACCAGTCACCATTGATCCACAATGGACAGTTTTAAGGCTGAAACAAGAGATAGCTGCCAATCAAGGAGTTGAGACTTCAGAATTAAGAATAATTTTTGCTGGGCGAGAACTAAAAGATGACCTTCAACTGAAGGTATGCTACACTGTTTACTCTGTCAATAACTCTTTTACTTGGAAGATTTGCCAGGGTTTTCAACAGCACAAATTGCATTCATGATTTTTATCACTTTATCAGTGGTCTAGTTCTAACATCTGTCAAAATCGTGTGTCTTATTCCATGGAATGAGCAGTTGTTAATTGTTTTTCTCTATATTTATGTGTTGAATCAACTTTAACTAGGATGCTGAGATACCTCACCAAAGTGTTATTCATGCTGTCCGGGGTGGCCGCTGGTCAGCCAGACCAAATAGACATGGCCAAGTAATGCCACTGGCCAGACTTAGACTTTCAACTGTTGGTGAGGATGAAGAGGAAGTAGCAAGTTCAACAGATGGAGGTATAGAGAAAGTGTGAATCAAAACTGATGCTATGATATTTTTTGGGAGATGAAGTGAATTGATTTATGAAGAGAATGGTTTAAGAGTCTGGGTTAAAACAGAGGTTTTTGTGCAAGCCCTGGCCAGGTCATTGTGATATCTTCTTGGGTGGGCATTCCAATTCAGACAGGGCTTTCTCAACACAAGAGTAGAGATGAGGACTTAGAAACTTGCCAAATTGCTTAAGGGTTAAACCCCCCGGAGGAATTAGAAATATGATCAAAAGGTGTTAATTTCTTAACCCTTTAACTCCCAGAAGTGATTAACATAAAAACTTCTCCCTATAATATCCATACACTATTTAGCAAACAAGTAATGAGAATATTTGAACTTATCAGGTAGAACCTGCTGTCTTGATCTAGCACCAAGTTTTCATAACTAGTTTACAAGGAAATGTGTAGCAGCCAGAGGAGAGAATTAACAATCAGATCTTGGGAGTTAAAAGGTTTAGAAGCTGTGGTGCTGCTTCGAGGGGAGATAGTGCAAGATAATTTGGTTTTATCATCTGAGTGATAACATGAATTGGTTATGGCAAAGAGTTTCTAAAGCTTGTTTCGAGTGCTAACCCTTAGTCTTAGGAAATTCACTATTCATTCTGTCGATGTCTTTTTGGCGGCTGACCTATATTTATCAACTCAGTTGAAATAGTAATACTCCTAGTTGGCTGATGCTGGTTAAACTTCTGCATTGTGGGTCACAGGCTTTGGGAACAGACTTAACCTTCCTTTTACAACGTAATTGGCCTCAAAGTTTTTTGACAAAGCTCCATTTATTAAATGAAAACTTTATGAAATAGCCTCATCATTTTCAATTCCCCCCAATTTCCTGTTTCTTATCTTAAAGCATCTTCCAGGCGGCAGGCCCAGTATTTCGTTTACTGCAAGACTTGTAAACAGGTTACTGCTGGAAAGTTGAGGGTTTGTTGCTCACAATGCAAAGAAGGGGCAATTGTTCTTCAGCAGGTAAATTATTCTTAACATATCATCAATTATTAGTTGATTAGCTAAATCTGTCTTCGATAATAATAAAAATTAATATAAAGAAGTGGAATTTTGCAAAAGAAATATGCTTTAGAGAGGTTTTATGAAAATGAGGTTTGAATTGATTGATATTATACCCTGGCTTTCACAATTTTTCAGGGTGTTACTCTCTGAATGACAAACTGGGATAGGCTCCAGTGGTGTGCACATTCTCCATACTGTTCTTAAAATATTTCCAAAGGCACTGACAGGGAGAATTTGTTTAATAATCAAGACCTTCCTTAGTTTGTGATCATTTCCTTTATTCTCATGACCTTTAAGTTTTACTTGGGGGCCATATTGTTAGGAGAAATTAGATGCTAGTTGCTCTCAGGGATCAAAGGGTTAATATCATGATGTTTGCTCTATATCTGTACTTGTCTTAATAGATTGCAGGTGTAAAGTAGTCACAGTGACTGTGTTCTTGAGATCAGTGTTTAAATATTTAAGGCCATAGTGAGTTCAATGCGGACATATGAGGGTGCTGTTAATTTTATGATTTACATCTTTGTTGTCCTTACAGGATCCAAGTAGTTGGGAAGATGTCTTGAAATCAGGAAGAATCAGAGGATCATGTAAAAAAGCAGGCTGTGATGGGAACATAGTGGTATAAGAAAGAGCTTTACTACTTTATCATGCTAACCCTTTAACTCCCAGAAGTGATTAACATAAAACTTCTCCCTACAATATCCATACATTCTTCAGCAAACAGGTAATGAGAATATTCAAACTTATCAGGTAGAAGCTGCTATTTTGATGTAACGCCAAGTTCTTATAACTAATTTACAAGGAAATGTGTTGTAGCTACAGGGGAGAATTAACAATCAGATCTTTGGAGTTAAAGGGTTAGGATTGCATGGATTCTGATCACCACAATAATTACCGTTTGAAGAGTCAATCTACAATCCATGGGATCCTGCTGAGGCTTGAATTTTTTGGGCTCCTTTTTTGCAATCACTTAAGGTGTAGCTTACCTGGGAGTATCATGACTTTATTTGATTTTCAATCCATCAGTGAAATGAGATTTAGTTCATTACAAATTGTATCAGATAATTCTCAGTTGTATGTGAGTGGTTGCCCCTGAAGTGAAAGTTTAATACAGGAGGACAATACAAACAGTTATGACCCAGTAAAGGGGAACCACCATTGCTTGTTAGAGCTGACCATTAAATAGAGGTGAAAAAATTTTGGAACTTTCATGAAAGACCGCTTAATACAGGTTCAAGTGTATCTAAGCAAATTGCATCTGAGCAAAAATAATTGATGGATTATGATTTGTTATTCTGCCGTTGTGTTTCTTGTTTCTAGGAGTTTTACTTTAAGTGTGCACAACATCCTGCTTCTGAGGGAGACAGATGTGTTGCACTACCATTGATTCGAGCAAACACCAGAGAAATCCCTTGTTTGGCCTGTGCTGATGACAGGTAAATATACAAGCCATGTCATCAAGTGTATGATCACTGATATATAGTATAGTCAAGACTGACAAGGGCTATGGGTGTTTGACTCAGCTAATATGAGTTGTTTTCAAATGAGTATTGATCCCGGATTTCTTTTGTTTTGCTTTACCTCGCTTTGTGATTGGTCTTGAAAACTTGCGCCTCCATCTCGACCAATCAGATATAAGACTGTAACCAGTGCCAACCTGGTCACTCGTGTTTTCTCGCGCTTGAAGCAAGCTGTTTTTACTTTGAGTTCTCATTGGTTAATGGTGATGTCTACCTTTCTTCTGATTGGCTGTTGTGGTTTCTTTGGTTTAAGTTCTCGCCACCCAGTTGAAAACTGCTCCAGTGTTTTCAACTGAATGTCGAGCAGTTTTTAATTGAGCGTTTTTTTAATGTTTATGAAAAGGATACAAATCTGTTTTTACGTAGATTCAAACGAAATATTGGTGAAAAGTCAACATCCCGTACCGAAAAATTTTGTGACGCTAAGCTTTTAGCAAACATTTTGTGTCGCGCTCTGAAAGATATTCGAAGGATGATAAGCATATAGTCGCCATTTGGCTCTCACATATTTTCATTCATTTGTCCTTGGACATATTGTGATCCTAGAAGCTCACTGTTTTTCTCGGAAAATTGTGAGGATCGAGGAACAGATTATGCCTGCAGACAAATGCCTGACCTCATTTTCACACCAAATGGAGGCGATTGTTCATTTATTCGTGAGTTCAATCGTGTTGCAGGGATCCTGTTCTGGTTTTTCCTTGTCCCGATGGACACGCTGTTTGTTTGGAGTGCTTTGCAATCTACTCCACAACAAAACTGAATGACAGGCAGTTTGTGCACAGCGAGACATACGGATATACTCTGCCCTGCCCGGGAAGTTCAGGTGAGACCAAAATATGAATAAACTTCTGGAAATCAAAACTTTGAGCGCTTGTCATTTGTAACCTGCCTAAGAGGTGAGGGGAGCATATACTTCTAGTCGTGGCTCCAACGTGGACTTTTCAATTTAGGTTCAAATGTGATTTTCGTAATTAAAATGAAGAAAGAAATGGCAAGTAAAGCTAGAAAATGTTGCTAAACGTTGTTGGTTGAACGTAACTGTATAAACACAAGTTTCTTCGGGGCGTCTTGCAAGCAGGGGCTTAGCTCTGTTCGCAGTTTGTCTTCTGAAAGTTAAAAGAAAAGGCCTGGTATTTCTTGCTCAATCTCGTTCTTTTCAACACAACTGAACGTAACCAAACTCTCATTACATGAGTAAAGGGGGTAATTCTCTGAAGAAACTGTAGAGAAAGGGTATAACAACATAACTAGGTTTTATCAGAAGCTTATAACTTAGTTTTACCAGTTCAGCGACTGACGAAGGGCTTACGCTTACACAATACCAAATTAACTTATTAGGTGATTACATGATTAGGCTTTCGCTTTAAATAGGTCTTAAACAATGTCTTTACATACTTTTGCTTTTAAATCTCAAGGTTAGAGATCAATCTTTTTTGAACATTTTGCCGATTTCCTTCAGCACATCCAGAGTAAATTGTTGATATCTACTCTCGGCTTCAAGTTGTTGCTGTAGAATTCTTTTAAATAAGTCCTCCTCCCTTTTGCGACTGTCTTCCAAAAACTCCCGCAAAATGGCGATCATGCTAAGATCTTCCTGACGGCTCTGAGCTGTTTTAAGCGGCCTGGGATTCTTCCTCGGTTTTTTCCGGGGAAGGGGTTCGGCGATGGTAGGTCTCTTCAAGCCCCGAACAGTCATTTCTTCCGAGTAGCTCTCGTCCTCTGATGATTCATCTTCGCTCGCTAAGCCCTTCGGTGCATGCACAGGTTCCACGCTGACTGCTGTCGCTGGAGTAGGCTGAGAAGGAACTGTCGGGTACACTTGTATGGGGATGGAGTGTTTCCCTGCTTGGCTAGCCGCGATCGGAGCATTTAAGGGCGTGGGCGGTGGGGCTGGCTTGATAGGGCGCAAATGTCTACCTGTAAACGTGTCCGAAGGAATAGCACTGGGAATGGTCATTGTGGAAGAAGCAGTAACGACGGTTTGAGACGCAACGATGCCATTAGCAACTGTATGTTCAGCTGGTATGTTGATGCGCACCACCTCTTCTTCGCGATAGAGATCACTTTTGTTGTTGAGAATCTCTTTTATTTGGTCGTGGTAGGGAAATGAATGAGGTAATTGGTCCTTTGTTCGTTTGTATTCCGCGAGCAGGTTCTTTATCCGCACCTTGCACTGATTCCCTGTTCTGGGCCCCAGCGAGCAATGAGCTACGCGCCTGTTGAACTCCTTCGCAATCATGTTCCATTCTTCGTAATTTCGTTTCTTTCCTTTGATGATTCGATAGTTTGCTCTCCAAAGGCTTAGTAGGGCCATGGTTTCGGGATCTGTCCAACGGGAAGAATTAATAGTTCCTAGGGCTTCTTCGCCATTTCCCTCCTGGCTCTTTACCTGTTGACCGGGAATAATGAGTTCTATTGTGGAAGTTTTTACCCCTTCCCCCACTGTCATCGTGTTTGTGTTAGAAACTGGAGCCATGGAAACCGCTGTAGGCTGCTGTGACATCGCCGACACGTGTGGTATCTGCTAGGAGTTAAAAGGGGGGTTAGTTTTCGCGCAATTTTTTTTTAAAAGCTTTATATACTCAGGCGCTCAGAAAGTGCCTGAGTGTGAAGTTCGGGTTTAGTCCTGTTTCAAATCTCCTTATGAGTTCTGAAGTGCATGCGTGAGTCCAAGGCTTCAACAACTGGTCAAAAAGAACGAATAATAATAATAATAACAATAATAGTAGTAGTAATAGTAATAATAATAACTAGTAATAATAATTAAAGCGTGTCTGGACTCAAACATTACTAGTGCATGAGTTTACGCACATTTACGTTGTAAGCCAGAGAGCACAACACAAGCTGGGGATAATAACATTAACAATAATGATAATAGGAATAATAATAATTATAATAATAATAATAGTAATGATTATAATAATAATAGTAATGATTATAATAATAGTAGTAATAATAATAATTATAATGATAATAATGATAATTAATGACATGTATTGTGCAAATGAACCTATGAATATGATCAAATGGGCATTACATACTAATCTAATGGCCTATAAACAAAAACATGTCAAAAGTAAAAAAAAAACTAGTACCTCATTAAACTTTCAAAAATCTTTGTATGGATGTAAAAAAAAAAACTAATTTTGAAATGCGTTTCAAACTGAATTTGAATATGTCAAAAAATATAATACTAGTTAAACAAAAAGAAAAGTAAAAACAAAAAATATCCTGATGAAATTGTTGCTGACTGGTTTCTCCGCAGCGTCAGGTCTTTCAACCGTAAGGGGAACGGGAGGTAATATTACTTTCGAGAATATTCAAGTGCTAATTATATCCAATCTTACGTCTTGAAATTGTAAAATCTACTTAAGTCATTTTACCAGAAATTATACCAGAATAAGAAGATTATTTGGGTAAATCTATGGTAAGCGTAAAAGATATTCGCAGTACATACGAAACAAAAGTTTCGAACCAAGCGACTCCTTTGAGAGATACCGACAGCTTAAGTGTATGTCTACAAAAGAACAACAATGGAGATTTTAGGCAACCGCCTCCTGTAGTAATACAAGTACTAATTCCTTGAAATGAAAGCACAGATTGAGAAACACACGAATGTGCTCTAGGATTGTGTTGGCGTTTGAAGGCTTGAAGAGAGCATATTGTGATGCCGTAGGGAATTGTAATTTGAAACAACTTGAATTTGATCGAAGCAGCTTCGAATATTTACGTCTCCTATATTTGACTTGCACTGTTTCTCTGTAATTTCACACGATACACATCCTTAACTGTCTGTTAATTTTCGACTTTTAAAGTAGAATCAAAGATTTATACACCTGAAATGAATTTCAACGTTAAAATAGCGAGCATAATATATAGACGATCAATGACTGTACAACCCGCTCGAGCCAAGATCGACGGGATGCTAATGATGGATTCGAACGTGTTTAGAATACTAAATCGTTTTCCACAAGTCCTTCTTAAATCGCTAGTGAAATAAAGAGTACTTACAAATTGCTATACGAACTATTTTGAATACTTTGTGTGCTTCTAATGCCAGTATGAGTGTCCTGCCCGTGCTCGTTTGAGATCAATTCTTGAGATGCTCAAATCGAAACTCGAATCGAAACTCGCTAGTCTTAGAGCGCTTGATCAAGCAATCTTACCAATTTGGCTTTCCCACCACACTGAATCTTCTTTTAGAAAAAAATCTAAATTTTTCCTTCGATTTCTCGTAGTACTTTAAGCTCTCAATGTAAAAAGGTATGTCACTTGCTTGTTAGTCGTGTCTTTTCCCCTTTCTACCTCCTCCAGCAGAGAAATGGTTGAAGCTCTTCGGCTGGACTCGATTTAATTCAAGCCACCCCGATGTCAGATGTGTAAACAATGATCTTTTGTTCGAAATGTGACGTAAGCGAGATCCGAGATGTGATTCGATTGTTCGCTTGATTAATCAATCTTGCAATGCATCTCATACATTTTCTCTTTACAAGGAATTTAAGACAGCTTTTTATTATTTCAGAAAAGGGTTTATGATGGGATTTCAGATTTATATCGCGGTTTATTTTACGCTGTTTGGCGCCTGATGTTTTTATGATATTTCGAAATTTGAAAAATGGGGAAAATCAGAGAGAAAGAAAAGTTTGAAATGTGTTTGTTGTTCAGGTTTTTTTCTAAATTTTATTTTGAAGGCATATACGTTTTACAACCCCTGTTACAGCATATTCGTAAAATGTTTTAATGGAGGATATCCAAGAGCGCTTTGTGTATATCTTTCTTTTTGTTGGGAGTATTTCCACATGTAAATCGCGCGCTTTCAGGAAAAATTCGCTAACTTTCAGTGGATAATTATTATAAATCTCTTACAGTCTTCATTTTATCGTCTCATATTAAGGATTTGTGGAGTTCTGAAAGAATAATTTGCGCGATTTATTGGTGTTGCAATTGTTGACTTTCAAAACGAATTTTCTGCGTTTGTTTTTGAGAAGGTTCACCTTACATTTTATTCCTTTTCTCCCACAGGTAGCTGTAACAGCGCACTAATTTCGGAGGCTCATCATTTCCGGGTGCTCGAGCCTGATCAGGTTAGTAGGTCCATTAAATCTGGAGCTGGGTTCTCCGTATTTTATCGTGTAAGACATTCCAATACACTGGTATCAAAATGTTAACCCAGTAACTCTTTAAAATTGTTGAAGACCGTGCGCCTTTTCGAAGCTGTAATTCTGTCGCCTGTGTAACTGCAGTTTTATGAGCGCTTTACTGATTTTTTAGCGCCAAGTGATGAGCGGCAAAGGCGCAAGCATCTCGCGGCAGCCAGCTACGAAGGCTACAGTTTTGCTATTCTGGAAGTGTGAAGTTGAGAGTGTATGTGATACACAACGTATAATGTAGAATGCATGAATTTGTTTGTAGTACGACCGCTATCAGAGGTTTGGAACCGAGGAGTATGTATTGAAAGAGGGTGGTGTGCTATGTCCAGGGCGTGGCTGCGGAATGGGCCTTTTGCCAGCACCAGGCATGCGCTGTATCAGGTGTGATTATTGCCAGGTAACTAAATATGCACATGTGAAAATAACTCCACGAGTTGTAAGGCAAGGATCGATGCTCAGACGAAATTTCACCCGGTACAAACTCTTAGGGCGAAAACAACATGTATAATTACTTAGATGGTTACGCTGTCTTCACTGATGAAAAGCTGTTCTCTCACCACGATTTCTACAGGAGGGATAAAATAACTCCCTTCCCCATCTTTCTTATCCTCTGCGGGAGGAATGTCAGTTTCCTATCTGACAAGCAAGAGCCCCACGGGGGCGTGGGGTGGAAAGAAGCGAAACCAATTACGTCTGATGGAAGGGGTTTTTTTTTACCTTGTTAGTAATCGTATCGTACTGGGCGGACCTGTCTTTCGCAGGCATGCCATACAGTTTCCTTTTGCTCTTTATTTCTAGTTTGAGTTCTGTAAAGAGTGCAAGGAGCCCTTTCAGCGAGGTCACTCGTGCAATCAGACGCAGTCAAATCCAACAACAAATGCCAGAACTAGTGTAAGTATATATCGAATCCAAAACTTGTAACAGTCCACACCTCTTTTGGTAGGAACCAACGATTGTATAACCGTCTAACGCTTGCTGCATACTCCATGTATGTGCAATGAAAGTTTTTCACATAGAAAGGGACTGGAAAACAGTCGAGAACTATGAAGGGAGAGAGGAGAACTACTTACGAGATCTTGAGAGTTTCTGAAGGGTCAATAGGAATGAAAACACCTGAGCGCGCGGTTGTCTTGGACAGCAGTTTTGTCTGTTTTGCGCTTCCTCTTTGCCTCTCTGCTTTATTATGATGGATACTCTGAAGGATTGTGATTTAGTGTTTCACGAGTTAACCTTGAAAATTGTGTTGTGTGGTTTTGTTTATGTTCTTTAAGGCTTGTTAACTTTGATTATCAACGCTCAAATTTAACTTGGTCTCTTAAAAAAAGGTGTATAGAATCATATCGATCTCCTCCTTTTCAGAATTACCGAGTCAATTTAGAAAACGCGAGACGAGCGCGCTGGGAGGCTGAGGCGAGACAAGTGATTGAGCAGATCAGCAAGAAGTGCCCCGGATGTCAGACAAATATTGAGAAAAATGGTGAGTAAAGGGGAACTCTAATTGATGTGACTCTTCCCAACAGTTTAAACCTCAAAAATAACATTTTTGGAGGCTTGCCTCACTGGAAGACCGAGCTGAAAAACGTGTTAACGTGTCACCAACTTTTGCGTGCTCACGTACGAAAGCTTAAGCAACACTGTTGACTGCAGCAAAAGGGCAGAATTTTGTAAAAACTGAACAACGGCGAGGTTTTTTTCCCTTGATGTGAAGTTAAAAAGACTTTCGCTCCAGACGGTCCAGCAGCAGAGTATATGGCACATTCTGAGCGCCACTCTTTAATTCTAGAGTTCTAGTTGAAACTTTCCGCTGAAAATTAGTTCAGTTGCTAAAATTCAGGAAAATACCTCGGTGTATTCATAGTATGTACAATCAATTCTGTGACCAAGGCAGACCAGAAGGTTTTTTTTTTGTTACCTCTTTTTTTGGATCTGGTCTTTCTCTCAACTGTTCGGGGAGGGGAGTGGACTCATTTCTCAAAAAGCGGCTGATAATTCGAACAAAAAGTGGTAATCGATTTGTATTTTTGTCTCATTTAAGGTGGATGTAATCATATGACGTGTTCTCGCTGCCACTTTGAATGGTGCTGGGTTTGTTTAATTCGTTGGAATCCCGATTGTCAGGGCACTCACTGGTTTAGGGTGTGACCGCCATGTCACCCAATCTCGTTAGGATGAGATGCTTGCATTACAAAGAATTTGCTGGTCTAGGAAAATCTTTGGAGATCTAGAGTAGAAGGAGAAATGAAAATTAGGTGTATTTTTTGTCAGTTATTTAACAGGTTAGAAAATCAATTGAAAAGTAGCAGTAGAATAAGTGGGTAAGTTTTTTAGAAACTACTGCAGAAACGGAAAGGGAAACGTGTGTCGTCTGTCAGTGAAACGAACTGTGTGATATTCGTTCACACCAGTTCAAATCGCATTATAATTAGTGCAGACTAAAGTTGAGGAATGCATTGGAATAGAAAAATTGTTTTAAGTAGTAAACTACATGTAAGGTTTTAGAGTAACTGAAGATTTAGTTAAGATTCGCGAAGTGATTTATAAGAGACCGTAATATGTTCCAAGTAGACACATTTGCGTGGCAACCGTAGTAGAAGAAAGTTCCTGTATTCGATGCTTCAGTTAACAAAATTTGATACCGTTAACTTGCTTCATCTCAGCAGTGCTCATTGCTTAATTTTAAGATATTTTTAATCTTCCAAAACTTTCTACTGTAACGTGGATAGCTGTAAGCATATCAGGTAAAACTTGATATATAATATCCTACTTCGTAACTGATGAACTTGAATTTAATTTTTTTTTGTTTTCAAATAAATCAATTATTTTAACAAAGCGTTCGTTTAGGACCAAAAAAGTTTTTTATCCCGCATTATGTAGCAGTTAAGCGTTACACTGCGTTGTGTGATTTCCTACACTGTACCACACTTACTGTACTACTTTTGAAGTTCAAAGTTTCCAGTGCATCAGTAGCATCCACGTTGTTTAAAAAGAACTACTTTAAAAAGTCCAGGAAGAGGATAAGACCTTACTTAATTGTGCTCAGCAACTTTTGCCGGAGCAATGTTTGGCGTTTGGAGCAGCCATTTGTAGTTCTAGCAACGTCGAGCACATATCAAGCACCAAAAATTAAACTATTTCATCCATAACTTCAATAACTTCGAATTTATTGAACGTTTAACAATCTTTTGAACACATGACTAGTCACTCGACGACGTTTCACAGACCTTTTGCTTTCCGTTAGACTTGGGAGTAACCTTTAACTCTCCTCATATTTGTGAGCAACTTTAGCGCTAGGTTTCCGAAACTTAGCTTTAAAGAGTTGCTCTTTAGTAGAGCTATTTTTCTTGATTCTCTACCCAGCCGTGAAACCTACGTCGAGATCCGAGTGACAACAAATCGTCCGCTTTGGTATTTGTCTCTCCATCCGACCGCAATCACTTTTGTTTGCTTTCTGCATTCGTAAATTTGAAATATCCATCATTATTATTCACATCTATTGTCCATATCCACAGGATTTTTATCGGTGGAAATGGAAGAGGTTATCCTCGAGAGAAACAGCTTGCTTCTACGAATAAGCTTCGCTCCTCTTATACCTTTGTTGGGAAAGGGCTGTGAATTCAGCCGAAAACTTCGAAAGCATCAATATAACCTGGTTTTTCGGATACCCTCGGAAAAATATACAACTGTTGACGATTGTTACCAATTTATTCCCACGATTAGTTAGGCGGACAACTCTTTTAGTCGCCGGCGTACTAGCCGGAAGTTACCGAAGAACTTCCGGCGCATGTGTGCGATGCGGTCAGCAGCGTGCCGGTGAACTAGGCAACGGAATAACGAGGGAAAATTATTCCCGCTTGGATGAAATAGTAAACATCGAATTGTTTAACCAAATGTGATAGCGTCTACCACGATTCTGCAACCCGATCCTTTCAAGAATGCACGAGAAAACGGATATGTTTTGCCCTTTGTGCTACAGTAATTACGGGACTGGATTTCCTCAGAGAATTCCGAGAGAGCTCGATTGTAGACATACATTTTGTACAGGTGAATATTAAATGTTGTATGAATTGTGACTTGTCTTGGGTGAATATGGAATTCAGATTAGGCTTTCGCTCACAAAATTCAATTGAATGATCCTCCTTGTTCTAAAATCATCGTCTTTGCAGTGGAGTAGATATGGCCGTTTTGGATGAAAATCAGTTCGTTTCATTCGCAGTGTAGCATAGTTATAATTGTTGTTGACGAGACTACTCCAGTAAACAAATTAAACAGAATAACGTTTTAAAGGGATTCGATTTTTGTACCCAAATAAAAAGTAAAGACCTCCATATGGTTGATCTTGCTCCGGTTTGGGCAAAGGGAAGTAAGAGAAGAAAATTAGCCTAAGTTTTGTGGTGTAGACTTGTAGTGTTTTTCCAATTTTCCATGGATACATGGGCACTTCAAATATTAACACACAGAAGTTGCTTGCGTTAATAATTTAACATTTCCTTAGCTATTTTGTGGTTTTGTAACTTTGTAGTTTTTTAGTTGAATTGTGAAAATTCATCCTGGATGCCAAGGAAATCTTTTCGTGCTCTCTCTTAAAAACACACATTTTCTCGTGACTTTAACGCTTATGATATGCAAATGGTGTGTTCGGCTTTTGTCTCGAAAACCTACTCCAGCGTGCAGTGATTGTCAATGGTTTGATTAGTTAAGATCTGCATTGTTGAAATAAACCTATACTCCCTAAACCTATACAATTGGTGAAACTTATCAGATTGCGCATTGTGATTTAGATTAAAGTTGTTTGACAAATCAGACATCATGCTGATCCAAGAAATTACCACTATACATCTTTCACTCAAATTTCTTTGCTTCTCTTCAGTTTTGTTCAATAATTAATTGTTCCATAACACGGTCCAATATCAATATACTATCACATTTCCTCAAATCACCAACCTAAAGAGTTTTAATTTATGGATTGGAAATTATTTGTGTTTGGCAACAACAGTACAGTACTTTGTGCTGTATACTGAACAAAAATCTGTTCTCTTAATGGCTGACTCAAGTCTATCATTGATGTCTCAATGTAAAGCCAGATTTTTACAGGTTTATGTACCAATCAATTTGAACTCCTCCTCCCCCTCAGGTAACCCACAGGCATTTGACTGTTGTCCATGCCCAGGGAGTTGGGTATTTGACACAAAAAGCCTTCTCAGGGTGGAGAATTTGAACCCTGTCAAGGTGGGGTGGGAAATCTGAGCCCAAAGAGTTTAAAATTTATGGAAGAGGTGATATTTCCTTTTTTTTTAATTTTGGACAGAGTGCCTTCTCAAGCTACAAGAACTTCAGGGCTCAGTCATAGAATGTTCTTCTTGTAAACTGCGCACCCTCTTACCTGCCAATGGTGTAGATGGACTTGGTAAAAACATGGATCTCTTAAGAGCAGTATTACAATCTGAGGAGGAGGAACAGAAATTGTGCAACTTTTGCATTCAGAAAGTTTACCCTCCAAAACCAGCGACATTTTATTGCTCAGATTGTGAAGTATCCATGTGTGGTAGTTGTTCAGACAACATCCACTCACAGTTGGAGTTCCGTTGCCATGACATTAATAGGGCAACTGCTGTTAAAGATGGTGTGGGGGATGATACAAGCACTTCTCGACCTTCATCAAGTCTTTCAACTTTAAGTCAACGCTCGTTAGGACTCAGACCAGGATTAAATAACAGACCATCAAGCTCGTTACTGAATTATTCAGCAATACCTGGTAACATATTTAGAAATTTGACAGTCAAATTTTATTACACCCAGAATGATATGTTATTTTGAGAAGTGAAATAGTTTGTTTATAATACAGCAGATTTTAATGAAATCTATTTACTTTCACTAATCAGTAAAAGCCAGGCAGAGCTCCAGAGGATCACCTCCCAATGGCAACTTGAAAGCATAGTTGTTTGAATTATCTGAAAATTGCAGTTGTTTGAGAGGTCTGAAAAATGGTTGACAGCACTGCATAGGGAATTTGAATGATGTTTCTTGGCGTCCTCAAATTTGGCAATTGTTGAAAAACCGAGTTCCCAGCTCCCTCTTCTGTGGCTTAGGATTGATTTGTTTCCTGGTGCCAAGGGATTTCTTCAGGTTTTCCTCCCATCCTCCCACACAGACAAACTCCAAATTACATGGGGATCTGGAATCAGTGGGGGATGATCAACCTCATGGTTGTGCTGCTACAAATATCCAATTAATTTTGATTTATATTTTGGATACTTTAGAATGCCCCACTCACAAAGAGAAGACCAAGTACTACTGTCGAAATTGCAGATGTCTGTGCTGCGCATCCTGCCACAGATACGGCAGCCATAAAAACCACAGTTGTTTCCAGGTCCATGAGGCTGAAGAAAAGGAGAGAAAAGCACTTGTGAAATTACAAACACAAGTTGAACAGCGTGGTGCAAAAATTATAAAGGCTAGAGGAGAGGTACAACAAACTATTGAAGGAGTGAAGAAGAATACAATTGAAGTAAAGGACATAGCACGGAGATACTACAGAGAGCTACGTGCAGCCATTGATCAAGCAGAGACAATTTTGATGGAGGATATCAACAAGAGAAGTGATGTGAAGCTGAAAGCTTTAAATGAACAGCTCAGGTAAAATGTTGTAACAGTTTAAAGAAGTGTGCACCACTTAAAAATATGATTATCGCAGAGTTTTTGTTGTAGGGCACTGGTTGTAAAGCAGTTGGTTTTTTGGGGAATGGAGAGTGAGATGGATTTTAATTTCACTCCTGTCCCCCTTCTCTTTCTACTTCCTGTTCTGTTAGAAGCATAGTTTTTCATTAAGTTTTCTTCTTAGGATCTCATTTAATGTGTCACCAAAGATGTAAAACGAAGAACATTTACACCATCATACACTAAAAATGTCTGAAATTAATTATATATGTTATCCTATGTAGCTGCTTATTGGCTCCAGTTGCTGTGCTAACAACAGTTGTCACTAAGTCCACATGCCAAAATTCAACCACTTCTGAACACTTTCAAAAATGGCCGAAAAATCAAGGGGTCGTTCTTGCTCTGAGCCTTTCAATTACTAGTCTGGTATCCCTTTTGATAAACATATGAAACTTTGTTATTGTTGTTTTTTTTTAGTTTTTTTAGTTTTTGATTTTATTCTTCTGGCACCCTAAGATTTCTTGCGGGAGGTTTGGGTGCCATACAAGAAAAACTGAAATGTTAAGAAGTTTCTTTGGTCTTGCTTTTTACCACGCTTTTTGTTTTGTTCAGAAACTTGTGCCAGTTTCTCAACCAATCAAATGCACAACCTTGACCAGTTGCAAGTACTACATGTTTTAAGCTCTTTGAAGATATTCATTAATGAGTTCCTCTTTGGTTAAATGCTTTCAGTCTTTTAAAGTAATCATTATGATTAGTTTGTTGTCGTACCAATTGAATGGCACAGTATACTGAGGGTTAGGTCAAAACTGTGAGCTCTATCTTTTTGTAGTCAAATGATTGAGATCTCAAGCCTGACGACCACTGCATGTAGAAACTGTGACAATGCACTGAGTCTGGACTACTACGAAATGCTGATGCTAAAGAAAGACGTGGAAACAGAAATAATGAGTGTACTAGAAATGTTATGTGAGATAGAGCCTGTGGCTGAAGCTGATCTGGGCTGTCAGTTTCCTAATCACGAAAAACTTTTGAGTAACATTCGAAGCTGTGCGAAGCTTGTTTTACGTAAGTATCTGGATTTTTAGTCCTTTTTCTTTAAATTAAGTTACTTTACTCGTAGAGCAATTATGCATGAATGTCGAAAATAATTCGAGATTGCGTCTGTTTTGCCTGAGAGCAATTTTCAGTTGAGGGTAAAAAGTAATGCAGGAATGATTTGGTTTTACTTTACTTCGCTCTGCATTTGGTCTACTGGCGCCACTTTCTCAACCAATCAGATTCAAAACTAAAACCAATCGCGTTGAAAGCGCGACTTGGTCACTCGCGTTTTCCCGCGCTTCGGGCAGTTTGGTTATTTTAACTTTGGATTCTAATTGGCTCCTTAAATATTTTTTGTTCTGATTGGCTGTTGTGGCTACTTTGGTTTCTTTTTCGACACTCAATCGAAATACACACTGTTTTTGCAACACTTATCGACTGGTTTAGAAAACTCGTGCCACCCTATCACCACCCTCTGTTAACTGAGCTCATTATGGTTGGTTTCCGAAGTGATCTGATGTTAGCGAATCTAAGGAAAAAATTGAAGCCACCTAAACTATTAGATTAAAAGATATCTTCTCGCGTTTGTCAGCCATCTAAAGTTCCACTAGTTCATAACTTGCCGTGCTCGGCACTGGAAGTTTTCAGTGTTAACGCTCTTTGGTCGACCGGGTGGAATCAGGGTCCTTCCAAATCCTAGACGTCTCTCTGATCATAAAAAAAAAGATGAAAGACGAAAATGAATAATTGTAGATGGAAAGAAAATTGAAAGCAACTGGTGCGCAAAGGAGGAAGGGAATGTGACAACTTTACTTCTTTCTTGTCCCCATCGCCTATCGCTTTTTGCGTCACCAGTCGCTCAACGGTACGTTTACCAAAAGTCTCAAGGGACACCGGGTTGAATTACAAGTGCTTGGCGTATCCCCGAACACGTACGATGGATTGAGTTATATCTATTTCTTTACCGGTCGTCGTGAGCGGTTCATTCTTACAAAGTTTACAAAGAAAAAACCTTTTGGTCCTATCATTTGTGAACCAACCATTTCATTTTACATTTCATTTCCCATTACGCAGCTCCGGGGCCTCCAGAGAAGCTGACGTGTAAAATAACAGACAATTACAACGTGCATGTGAAATGGGATCCGCCAGAAGATAACTTGTTCCTGTATCCAGTACTTTGTTATATTCTGCAAAGCAGCTCAGGTAAGACTGAAGGAGGAAAGATTTGTAATTTGTCATCACTGTTAGAGTGGATTTTGGTTGAGAAAGAAACGTTTCGAGCGTTAGTCCTTTGTAAGAGCGAATGACGAAGGCTAACGCTTGAGGCATCAGCTTTAGAAACTCTTTACGGTGGCCAATTTGCATCATCAATTCAGTGATCAAAACCAAATTATTGTGCAGTAGAGTTATTATTTGAAAGTGTTTGCTAAATCGTGTTGTCTTTTCTTTTAGGTCCTGATAATAGTTTTGTAACTATCTACAAAGGGAAGGAGTCCTCCCTCACAATAGACAAGATTGCAGCTAATTTAGCCGTCGGTAAACAAGTGCAGTTTCGCGCATGTGCTCTAAACCTGATTGGGCAGGGGCCTTGGGGGTTCCCTTACGGGATCAAAATACCCGAGTGAATGATGACGTCACTCCTCAGTAACTGCCTTTTACTTAAGTCGCCGACACGATGAAGGAGTTCTAGGAGATTTCTTCGACCATTCCTGTGCGTAAATAAGAAATTTTATGGTTTGGATAAAATAATATTCATCATCACTTTCAGAAAGTCTAAACACTCAAACTCCACGTCCTTTGCACTAATGGCGTGCTTCTTCGCTCGTCCTCATCTCTCTTCCAGCAAAGACCAATGAGAGAATACTGGGGACCGCCAGTAAGGTCTTCCTTTACCGTGTGCTGTGCACCTCGGAATTTTGCTCCGACAAAATCAAGGAACACTTGATCATGGGTTGTGAGATTTATTATTAGTGTACCTAAAATGATTTAGATCAGCACAAATTTGCTGTCACATGAATCAGTATGGAGAAGATATGAGGAATCAGTGTTCATACATAGCCAACGACAGTTTAAAGATTAAAATCAGAAGTCTATCATATTTTGTTTCCCTGATTTTGAACTTCATCTTCCATTTTATGAAAATGAAACGAAGTAAGAAAGAGTCTTAGATTGCAAATATTGAAATATTTATTTTTAACTTGGTTAGGCATGATATGAAGGTCACGGAAATTAACTTGTAAATGGTAATGATTTTTTGTAATGTTTCAAAGAGATGGAACCAACATAAAATTCATAGCAGAATAAACATCTCTCCTGTGTCAAAGTGCAGTGAAATAAGCTGCATGAAATAGTCATTAGGAAAAAGGGAACATACAGAAATGTTATCTGTCGTAAGCTTTCAGTCAATGAAACGAAGCGCGATAGTAAACGCGCCTCTGAACTCCACCGCTACTACCGCCCGAGAAAAAGAACATGTCGGTCACTAATTCAGTTTTATCCTTTTCCTTAGTGGAAAACTGTATTTTTGCGGATCATTCTTCTATCAGTAAAAACAGGTTTCAATCGGGATATCTTAAATGGATGGAAAAACAGAGCGGTGCGTACCATGAAGTTTACTTGGTGTATGCATGATTGTCGCGTCCTGCGGAATTCTCTCCCATGATAGATTAGAACCTAGGTCTTCACCGCCATGTTACATCATCCGCCGCCATCTTGTAAATGGATTTGTGAAGGAAAAAAACCTCCAGAAAAATCAGTTTACGCTATAGACTGAAGTGTATAATTACATAGTGATGGCTGCAGACAATGTATCATCTCAGACGACAACTGGACAGCCTCATTTGGCGAAGCAAGATCTAACAAAATTGGTAAAGATAGTGTTTCGTCTCTTGTAGACAATCACGTGTAGTGTTAAATATTCTGTTTAGTAAAAGGTTGATAGTTTTGAATTACGTTTGTTCATTTTTTCTTTACTTTATTAGGATGTATCTGAGCTAAATCCTCTCACTCCCGAAGTTATCAGTCGTCAAGCAACGATCAACATCGGTAAGACATCAATATACACTACGTAAAATATTTATATTTGTTAAATAGCGCCTATTTTATGATCAGAAACCACAAAAAAAGAAAGTTACATGGTGTTTTCTTGGTATTTAGAAAACTTTGCTGTGTATTGCATCAGAATTACTTTCTCCACAAGGTTTTACATTTTTAATTTTTTTTTTGTAGGAACTATCGGCCATGTGGCTCACGGGAAATCAACAGTTGTTAAAGCATTATCCGGAGTACAGGTGATTTTCTTTTCGTTATCGTACTTGTGTGATTATTCTAAAATAATTGAAGTTTTCTACTGGTGTGGGTATTACTTACATGTGGCTGACTTTGCAAGTAACTTTTGAACCATGTAACTGAAGATCATCTGTCAGAGTGCACACTGATCAGAAAAAAGATTGACCAGCAGTAAGACTCGTGTGTTAAGTGCATTGAGGCTCATAAGTACTCCCTCAAGAGCTCTGACACCAACATGTCATAAAAAAGTTGTTGACACCCCTGTTAGCTAACTGATAACAGTTATGCACCTTTCAACTCTTCTGCCCTGAGCATGATCACACGATGCTAAAACCTGCTGAGTTGTCAACACTAACCTCTTGTCAGCTCATTGCCCTGCCAACTGGCTTCTTGTACTCAGTAGAAAAATCAAGCCATTGTATTTTTAATGACTGCAAAAGCACAGTATAAAATAATGATTGAACTAAGTATTTATTCTTTTTCAGACTGTAAGGTTTAAAAATGAACTTGAGAGGAATATTACAATCAAACTAGGATATGCTAATGCAAAGGTAAGCTGGTAACATTTTGTTCAGATTTCTTGGGTTTGATGTTACTGCTGCTTCTTCGAATGCAGCAGTAACTTCTGTCGGACAGCAATTGTTAGTATATGGTAATCAAATATTTATAGAAGTCAGAGCATGGTGACCTCGTAAGCTGTCTTGTTGAATTGAAATTGTTTGGAAAGGCAGTTGTTTATTACTGTTGAAGATGCTGTGGTTAATTTTTCCAGCACCATACTGTTTGAACACTGAAGGTAAAATTCCAGTCTAAAAGATTTACTCCCACTGCATATTGGTATTTCAAAGTCAAATAAAACCTTTCACTCCCAGGATCTCAGCATGAAAAGTTGAAAAATTGTGCTACATCAGTATGAAATATGGATTTAATCTGCACATTGGGGAAACTTTGAAGAAAAATTTTATATGTTGAAGAGATGGCATTTTACCATTTGAATCCACGAGTTATGCCCAAAAGAGATGCTTAATTTGTGAAGCAATTAAGGTCCAAAATATGATACCTTGAGTTAAACAGAGTAACCCTATTTGATGGAATGATGGAACAGTGGAATGGCACAATGGCACAATGGTGGAATATCCTATAATAGGGAATACCTTGTTGTATTTTACAAAATTCTCACAAAAATGTGATTGTAATGAAATCAGAAAATAATTTGTAATTATAAATAAGAAGCAGAGCTTAATAATTATTTAAGCCTAGCAGTTAAGGAAACCATAAGATTTCTTAGCAAACCTCTTTAAATTATTATCATATTGCTATTTTTATCATCATTATTATTGTTAATATGATGATTTGTTACCATTTAGTTATTGGTTGAATATCAATTAGACATTTCATTCTTGAATCATCTTTCTCTTATGAAACAGGGTACTCATAAGTAAGATGTAGCAGGTTTTGTGTTTTGCATGTGAATACAAATCTTCTGCAGTGCTACCCTCTCATGTCTTTATCCAACCTCCACTTCAGTTCAATGCTAAAAAATTGCCACATGCAGTCTCAGACTGCCTGTTTTATCCATTGGATAATGTTCTATGCCCTCTAAACAACTGGGTCGGTGGGATTGTTATCTGGTTAATACCTCAATATATTGTGTTATTCACAGATCTACAAGTGTGAGAGCATTTCATGTCCAAGGCCTGGTTGCTACCGTTCATCTGGCAGTGCAAGAGAAGATGTATTCCCTTGTGACAGAATGGGATGTAATGGGAAATTTAGATTAGTTAGGTGAGAGTTTAAGTTTAATGGGAGTAAGTAATTGCACTTTATACTGAAATTATGGTGATATCATTGCTTAGAAAACATGGAAGATATTCAGGAGACTCCAAACTCATGATTAGTAGATCTTTAACAGTCAATTGATTTTCTCTCTTAAGCACTTGTTACTTGATGTAGCTGGATGATACACAATATTTTTACTTGGACCTTCAGCTTTGGAATTCTCCCTCTTGTGAGCAATATTATCAGCCTTAACTTACTTTGTGGGTGTGGCAGACATGGTGCACAGCGATCAGCATGTTGGACACTGACCCACAAAGTGCCTCTATCCATTCAGGAGAAAAAATAGCACTGCTCTCGGTTACTTCATGCTATAAACAGAGATCTAAGCTCAAATTATCTTTAAGTCACTTTTTTTGCAACCTAAAGTCATCAAGAAAATAATTGAAAAAAAGAGGGATGTAAAGAAAACAGCATTTTTTTTCCATTAAAATTCATATTTTATAGTGTCTGCCTCATGCAGATCTAAACAACACTTGTGGTTCCATTTTTTTTTTTCAGACATGTGTCATTTGTTGATTGTCCTGGCCACGATATTCTTATGGCCACAATGTTGAATGGCGCAGCTGTCATGGATGCTGCTCTTTTACTTATAGGTTGGTTTTCAACTTTGTTTGTTCTTAATTGATTTCTTGACACTGTCAGGAGAATCATTTACAAAATAAAATGTTTCTACCTGCGGAGACAAGATTGCCTCCAAACAAATTAATGACAGGAATTGTAACTTCATCCAGGTAACAGTTTGAACAGTTGGATAAAATCAATGGGAAGGTTATGTGAGGATATGAGTGACAATAATGCTTTCAAATCGACTTATGGTGGATCAGTGAAATATGAGATTTTGAATTTCATTGCTCAAAAGTTCTCCAAGTTTCAAAATTAAGTGTTATCATATTATGTAGATGTTCTTAGCATCTTATGTGACATGTATAATTTCTTCATTGTTTCATTTAAGTTAATGTTGAGTATTCTTTGTTTCTTTCATCCAAGCTGGAAATGAATCTTGTCCTCAGCCCCAGACTTCAGAACATCTGGCAGCCATTGAAATAATGAAGCTTAAGCATATAATAATCCTTCAGAACAAGATAGATCTTGTCAAGGAGAGCCAAGCTAAGGAACAGTATGAACAGATTCTCCAGTTTGTTCAAGGTGAGAATACATGGTTGATAAAAATTGTTATCTTTATTACAGTGAGGAACCAGGCAGGCTCTTCGTTTTGCATCAATGCTTTGAGGATTTAGTACTAAATCTTGATGGCCCGAGACATGGTAGAGCTCGGCAAACTCAAACTCTGTTAACTTCAACTCCCTGCTTACTAGAACAAAATACAATTTACTATCTTCTTAACCAAACTCAGTTAATTCCAACTCCTTGCTAACTCAAACTAATTTTAATTTCACTTGGCTCAGATTTACCTTGGTAACTGGAAACTTTGTGTAAAAGTGTTGGTTGTTAACATCAAAGTGTCAGAACATGGCTGATTACATTGCAACCTTTGATTGAAGATAGGCAAACTTCCCAAACTAACTGTTCAAATAAAAAAGCTGTTATAAAACAAACTTAATGTATGAAAATGATGATTCATTGTGCAAGAATGGTAAAAACATGATTGCTCATTATTTACAGTAAAAAATTTAAATTCAACACCTATCCTAATAACTCAAACCACTGCTGAGATACCCCTTAGGAGTTCAAGTTAGCAGGGTTGTACTGAAACAAGGCATTGCTGGATACTAACATGTACATCTTCTTTATTTTGTTTTTCAGGAACAATAGCAGAAGGAGCCCCAGTGGTTCCAATTTCAGCACAGCTCAAGTACAACATTGAAGTCATTTGTGAATACATCTGTAAGAAGATTCCAGTACCTGTCAGAGACTTCACGTCCAGTGCTAAACTCATAGGTATGCAGTGGTGTTTAGTAAAAGAGTTCTGTTGATAGAAATGCAATGATTGGTGATTACATACTAGAAAATCATGTCTTTTCCATGATATTTCTTATAAAACGTTGTCATTACTAGAATTTTTTTTGTTCTGTTGTTTAGTTATCAGATCTTTTGATGTAAACAAACCAGGCTGTGAAGTGGAGGAACTCAAAGGTGGTGTTGCCGGGGGGAGCATACTGTGTGGAGTTCTTAGAGTGAGTACATGATGGAAACTTTTTTCATTTTCTCAAGGTATTGTTGTTTATCAGATATACTGTCCAAAATGCTTACAAACCTTTTTTCATTTCTTCATATATTTGCCCTTTATCATAGGAAATTAGCATCAGTGATAGTCAACTGGTCAACTGATCAGTAAACTTTGACAAATTTTTATCAGTCTAGTACATGGGTGATCAAACAACCTTTTGAAGTTTTTTGTTCTTTTTTGAGTAGACCAAGATCAAAATGATTGGATGCAATCCAGGAAAGCTGGTGAAGAAGACACTTGCAACATGAATGTGAAGTTTTTGATTTTCTGTTTATTTGTAGGTGAGCCAAGAAATAGAAGTGAGGCCAGGTATTGTATCAAAGGACAGTGAGGGGAAACTGCAGTGCCGTGCCATTTTCTCTCGCATTGTGTCTTTGTTTGCTGAGCAGAATGACCTTCAGTTTGCAGTGCCGGGAGGCCTTATCGGTAGGATAATTCAGATGCATTAACTGCTTCCAACTCATTACCAGTCATAAATTTTGGAAACTGTTTGTTCAACTTATAAATCTTTTATTAGGTGTTGGCACAAAGATTGACCCGACACTATGCCGAGCAGACAGGATGGTAGGACAGGTGTGTATCAGATTTGTGATATTGTTAAAGATGTGGTTACAGACCAAGTAATCTTGTTTGAGGCATCACTTTTTCGGTCTATAGTCTACACTATACAACCAATATTTTAAAAATACATCACTGAATTTAAATATTTTACTTAAAGAATGTTTCCAAGGCTTTAAGAAGAAATTGATTTTCATGCCCTTGGGTTTAAAAGGGATCCTATTTTGATAACTGTTTGTTGTTGTGCCAGGTTTTGGGTGCTGTTGGGACACTTCCTGAGATTTACACAGAGCTTGAAATCAACTACTTCCTGTTGAGAAGACTGCTGGGAGTGAGGACTGAAGGCGACAAGAAGGGAGCTAAGGTATTGCACAGGGAATTACAACTCGAATGTTAAATCATAAATTTCTCAATTTATGTTTTGATTAACTGGACAACATCACGAACATACTCCATTTCCTCATACAATTTCCATTTGAATGGAAGTTTTAACATATAGGAAGCCTGTTTCAGGCGTTCAGTTAATAAAACAGAGCGAAATAGTAAACGGGGTGATATTATAGCGTCAGAACGAAAAACCAGAGAGGTTTGGGTCCGGTTGAGTTGAGTTTAATTACGCGCCCCGACCCAAGCCTCCCTCGGTTTTTCACTCCTCCGCCACTATTGAGCTTCGTTTTGCTTACTAAACGCCCGGAAAAGGTTAACAGACTATATGTGTGTAGTTACTCATGTTATGAGAACTCAATTAGAGTTTAAAAAATTATCTGACCTGTGGGATTCTGATTACGTAATTACGTGGTTGTGAGTGTTGTTTATTGGAGCTTTGTTTTCTGCAGGTACAAAAGTTGACTAAGAATGAAGTGTTGATGGTGAACATTGGTTCGCTGTCCACTGGAGGTCGTGTGTTGGCAGTCAAAGCAGATTTGGCCAAAATAGTGCTGACTCAACCCGTTTGCACTGAGATCGGAGAGAAGATTGCGCTTAGCAGAAGAGTTGAAAAACATTGGAGGTTTGTTTATTTTTATCATTCAAATACGCTTACAATGTGTGTTCCTTGCATGTCTACTGCCGTTGCCGTTTTATAAACCAGAAAGTTTACACCTAAGGCGACCACTTTTTTCCCTTCTCTCTAATTACTGTTACAATCGAAGCACATTTAGTCGAGTGTTGAAAGTAAGTCGGGATTGCAATGAATACTTTGCTTTGTGATTGCTTTACAAAACTTCTACCACCTTCTCTACCAATCAGATGCAAGACTAGAGCTATTCGCGACCCTGGTTTTCCCGCGCTTTAGGCTGTTTAGGTTTGAGTTCTCATTGGCTTAATGTCGTGCTGTCATTGTTCTGATTGGCGGTGTGGTTCCTTTGAATTTGGTCTCATGACCCTCAGTCGAAACGCGCTTTCCGTGGCTCTGGTCCAAAATTTATTCCAAACGAGCAGGAAGGAATGTGATGAAAATTCAGAGACGGGCGGTCAGATACAAGTTTGCAATCTTGCAACTTGATGGTGAAAGTCTCTTTTTCTGATTTCCTGGCTCAGTAGATCCCAGTCCCATACCCTCAAGTTAAAGGCAAGAAAGACAGAATTTCCCCGAAATGGCTGTAAAAAGTGGTACCTAAATCAGCCTGCTAGGATAATAAGTGAAATAATATGATGCAATTATCTCTAAGAGATGCGACTAAATTTTATTTTATTTTTTAAGTGGGGGGAGTTATCAGCAGCCTTGCAGACGTTATCTGTTGTATTTGAATTCGATTTTACCTCACAGCGCCTAAACAAGCTTCACAGCCTCTAATCTAATATCTTTAATTGTTTTATTGTTAATGTTTTAGTCGAGGTCTAAGTAATCTTTCAAGCTAACTAAATAGTCCAGCACTTGAGGAAAAACTTTGACTCGTGAAACTTCTGTTCTACATTTCAGATTAATTGGATGGGGCCAAATCAGACGCGGAGTTACCATCAAACCAGAATCATAGGATAAAGCAGCAGACATTTTGTAGTTTAAGAGAATCGAGTTCAACAAGGAAAGCTTCTGTCAAGAACGTGTTCTGCGGGTGCACTGTGGTCTATTCGGTGAATGTTTTATCTTCGTGTTTATCGATCTTTATGAAAAGAGTCCTGATTTGAAGATTTCTCCTATCTAACGTGTGAACACTCTTTCTTGTACGGAAAATACTAGAAGCTTACGATGTTTATGAAATCATGATCTGAATTATGTAATTTAAGTGAGATTTGGGAGTCGTTGGTCTTCTTTTGCTTTGTCACGCGTACTTCTCCGTTCTTGGGGACGTCACGCAACACTCTCCATTGACGAAAAAAGCATCGTGACGTCCTGGGTACTTGGAGTGTTGTGTAACAAAGAGATAGGGAACGTTTCGTGCGCAAACTTAGATAACGGCAGCTTAGGAAACCAACGATTCAAAATGTTATAGTTATCGAAATCCTTAGTTAAGGTTATCAGACCTGGTATATCGTAATAAACATGACAATCTATTTTAAATATTTCAATTTCTTTTTTACTGAGACTCATGGGGGGTTTGAACGAATGAAATGAATGAGATAGGTTCAGCCAAGGGAAAAATACTTTAGTGAGTGGTGCTTTCGAGCTAAGTGGCCATCACTTCCTCACCCTATCCCAGTTTCCATGACAGTCAACGATCAGGAGAACTGCTCCTCCCCACCGGATTGAATGCTAGTCAGTGGTATGTGAACCTTAATCGTTTCGTCAGATTTTTTTTTTTGACAGTTTACCGGAGCCCTTTTGTACCTCTTTGTTCAGAGAGGAACTTCTAGTCAGCCATTAATTTGTAAAAATCTTTATTATTTTTTTTTGCTTCAACTGATATATTGGCGCATCATTTTAGTCGTTAAAATCAATTAAAAGCTTCCCTGTATTACGTGGTTTATCTCTGAGTTGGTCCTTAGTCTACTCTCGATCTGCTTAGGTGCGAGCCACGGAATGCGGAATCGAATGCGGATCGAAGGCAAAATTCGATGCCTGCAGGCATATAAAGTTTTTCAAGACTTGAATGATGAACCGTTTCGCCTCGGCCCAGAGATTCATCAGAAACCTTTCTTGATTTTCTTGGCTCTTCTTATCCTTTTAAGCTTTCACGATAAATACCTCTAACTAATTGAGTTCGAGGCCCCTACTTTAAGTTACAGACCGAGTTTTTCCGCTCGGATTTATTGTCCGCGCGCTTCGAGCTTGGGTCATAAATTCGAGCGGAAAAAACTGGGCTCCGTAAGTTAGGGTTCGGACCAATAGGCCGGGGTTAGTAAGATTTTATTATAACAGAAGGAGAATATTTTAATTCAAACAAACTTTTGGATTTAGCTGGTAGAACGGGATATTTACCAATTGTAGAGCGCGCACTAACTGAGAGGTAGAATGCAATAAATCATTGTTTTAAATTGCGTGCAGAATGTGCGGCATGTCTTTAGACGAAGAAAAGGGGGTAAAAGCGCAAATATATGTCTGTTGTTTCTAGATCTGAATAGACCTTCCGACTAAAATAGTATACAGCGCTTTTCGACTGAGTGTCGTAAAGCCTAAAACCAAATAAATAACAAAAGCCGATCACAAGAAAGAAAAATACCTTTCAAAGTTAAAAAGCCAATGAGCATTTAAAGTAAAGATAACCAAACTGGCTAAAGCGCGGGAAAAGACGGTTGACCAAGTCGAGGTTGGTTTTAGTTTTGCTTCTGGTTAGTTAAGAAAATGGCGCGACTTTTCTGCACCAATCGCAGAGCGAGGTAAGACAAAACCAAAGCAAGTTAAACCCCGAATTACTTTCGACATCAAATTGAATATTGTTCCACGATGGCGTAATATTTCATCTTTCTTGAAGTTGTTCTTATCACAGAAGACACTGACTGATGAGGGTTCTGTGAATATTTCAACTATCCTGAATGTTTTCTTTATATCTATGGAATAGATGGCAAAACCGAATCGGCTCCCAGTAAAAATTTTTTCCCTCCGTTACGTGACAAGCATCGTAATTACTTAGGCCAAGGTTCCACCGAGCGGAAAACTTACTGATCTGTGAACGAATACTCCTGTTTATATCGTATTTACTGATAGGCATGGGTAGGGGTCCTCCATTGACCAATCACAGATCAGATTCAATCAATATTTTTCATTTCCAAATGGCTCTATGGAAAAGAAGCAACGAGTATGCGCCGCGTAATGTGTTCGGTCATAGAACGACTGGACCCTGGACTTCTGATCCGCCCTGGAGAGGAGAGGTCTGGGTTCTAACCTTGGAAGGATCATTGTGTCGTGTTTTCAGGCTAGACATTTTAGCTCTAAGAGTTCCTTTTTGAACAAAGGGGTACGAAAGAGTTCCGGTAGCACAGCACTTTGTTCCTAGTTTGATATCGAGGCTGTCTATAAATATGTTTCCTGATTTACTGCAAGGTCAAGTTCAGTTTGTACTGATACAACTTCACCAACCATTAGCGGAACGATAAAGCTATTTCAGTGTCTCGTGACACTCAGGAAGATACACTCGAGGCCGTGCAAAGTCTAATGCCTTCAGAGCTGCCTCTATACCGGTTAGCTGTTGATAGTTGCTCTTATTAGCGAGTTTCATGCCGTCTCAAGAAATGTTGTGAATCTGCTGAAAATTCATCATGTTTTCGTTTTTCCATAAGTCTAGGCAGCAAAGCTTTTCACTGTTTGCCTCTGCTTTTAGTATCTATACATTTTTTGGTAGCGGTAGAAACAACGCTTTCCCCATCTCCGAAAACTCTCGAAACTATAATCTTCCCCGTTACAAGTTGCCGCAAATATTGCCATGCGTTTGTTCGGCCTGTTGTGTAATATTTCGTGCATAACTCGCAGTCTATGTATTATTCAATCTTTTCACCAGATCAAGTCGGCCTGGGTCAAAACTGTATTTATACCTCAATTGTTCCTTTATCACAAGCCAATCACATTTAACGACTAGGAAGGATTTGACGCGTGAGGTCGATTTCAAAGACTGCCTGACGCCAGCTAAGGAAACAATAACAAAGGGAGCCAGAGGAAATAGATTGGAAACCTAGCATGTCGTGCGCAAGCGCATGGAAATGTAATACGTGTCAACTTCCCATAAAAGGGCACAAGACACCTACGCACGGTATCATTTCATCATAATCCGGTGCCCTCTTCATGACCAGCACGTGGACATCACATGCAAATAAATTGCAAGACTCACTCGCTTGAACGCGATTCGTCCTAACTCGTAAACCATGTCAATTTCTGGCTTTATTATGCATTGTAATTTAAAACCCAGTGAAACCGCAGGAAATCGTGTTTTCATTTTGGAACGGGAACACATTTCTCTCAGAATGTTCGCGTCTCCGTAAATACTAGAACTACCGAAGCACTGTGCTTTATTTCGCTCTGTGTTGATTTGCGCTTGATTATTTAAATCATGCATTGTTTAAATTTCATAGGTTTCTAATCTACAAAGTAATAAATGTTGTTTAAGGCGACCTCTCATCCTGAGAAATTTTAATGAATCTGTTTGAATTGCATGTCTTGGGTAAGGGCAACCATTGCTCTAAAAACCGATTGGCAATGAGTGAGAGGACTACTTGAGCATATCAGGCTGGAAAAACCGAAATTGAAATGTCATTACTTTTTCACTGGCTTCAGTCCAAAGATTGATTTCATTCACGCCACAAAGCTGAGTAATAAGAGCGTGCGCTTTACTTCGGCGATGGTTAAGGCGTGACTGCACTACGTAGTGATTGGATGATATAATTGTGCACCAACTGTCAATCATCGAAACACAAGCTTTGGATTGGCTGAATCTGACGTTTTTCCTTCATATGCCAATCTTTCCTCATCCCACGCCTTCATATTCTCCAACGGAAAACGATCACTGCAGTGTAGGGGGACCTCGGGCCGGCTGGGCTGTTTGTGCTAAAGTCACCGAAGGGGGAGTATAAAAACAACACAAAATGGCGATACCCCCAGCCCACGATTCTACGGACGTAGGAGTTCGGCTAAGCACTGTAGGTTCAGTGTAAACAATTTAAACTAAAAATTCTCCATTTCGCTTATAAGGTGCATTATTTCCACAGCTCAGTCCCAAATATTTACACACTAATTCGACTAGTCACACATGGCCGTTCAGTGCTATCGCCGAACTCATCGGTAAGTTTTGCATTTCGTGTCGCGACGATGAGTGAGCTCGAAGGGTTTTCAGTTGTTCTATTTTTTATACCGTTTTTTCGTAGATAATGCTTACGATCCTGATGTGAATGCAAGGCAGCTGTGGATAGACGTTAAAAGATACAACAAGTACAACTACTGTTTTGTGTTTACGGACAACGGGGCTGGTATGGGTCCTGAGAAACTACATAAAATGCTTAGGTACGAATTATTTTTTCGGACGAAGCGCCACTTTTACGGCCTACGGCCTATTGACTTGCTATAAGGCTGCTGAATACTCATAAGTACGTTTTGTTTATTTTGCAGCTTTGGATTTTGCGACAAGGTAAGGTTTTGCGGAGCGATCCAGATCCACGTTGCATGATGCGTTACGAATTTATTCATTTGCCTGAAACTGCGTATGCAATTTGACGTAAATTAGAATTCTCAGATGTTTTGTTTTGTTGTGATTCTATTTGTTAGGTAGCGAAAAACGGGCATATGCCCGTTGGACACTATGGCAATGGTTTCAAATCGGGATCTATGCGATTAGGAAGAGACGCTATCGTGTTTACGAAAAACGGGGGTACTAAGAGCGTTGGGTTTCTTTCTCAAACTTACTTGGAAGCCATTAAAGCTGAAACCATTCTTGTGCCGATGGTTACCTGGGATTCTGATGGAAATATCCTTTAAAAAATGAAGTTTTTCTATGTAAAAACCGACTGCAGTGGCCGGTCATAAGATCTTCTTTACTTCCGCCATGTTTACGGTTCGCGCCAAACTCGAATTTGGCGCCGTAAATTAAAGACAGTCTCAAGCAGACACGTTGTTCGAGTGGCTGAAAAGTGTGGTAAATTGTATGATTTGGTTTCTTTTATTTACCAAACCTTTTGAAACTTTCCCCTGGAAGTTGCGCGTTTGCGTTGCAAAGTTCTCTTCTCTTCTCTGTGTAGGACTTACTCACATAGAAATTGGCAAAATTCAAATAGTTTATGAGAAGTGTCATCAAGATGAGATTTGTTGAAGAGCACAGTTTTTGATGATGTTGGAAAACAATTAGAATTAAACCATCTAATTTAAAATTGATTTTAATTTACCATTGGAAATATAATTTGGGTCCTTCTTCTGATACTAGAAAATAAAACAATTGATACTCTTTATTCTAAAACTGTAAAGAAGAGACTTTGAACCATCCACTCAGGGAAAATAAAATTTATTCAGCCCTGGCATTAAGAATTTTCAACAATAATTTGAGAATAGCAAAATGATTACTGTTGAATAATTCCTAAGATGCAGGGATGACAATTATTAAACTATTTGCAAAGCCTATGTAATTGTTTAAGTATGATTGTGTGGGCTATTTTATTGAAAATAAGTTCTTTTGTTTTGTATTCACCTTTATGGACTAATGATGGCAAGATTTGACATAACGCTCAGACAATAAGAAGGCCCACACCTCAATAATATCTTATAATCTCCTTGAAAATTATTCTTAACTTTCTTCTGACCATTTGGCATGGAAATTCCTGAAGGGCTTGTGTTTGTTGTTATTGATACATTTATGACTGGAGGGCTTAATCAGTGGAGATAATAAATCGATTATTTTGGCTACAATAGTTGAGTTCCTTAACATTTCCTAAAAATTGTCCAGAAATTTGACAAAGACAAGGCATTACAGGATATCCTAACACATTCAATGTTTAAACACAAAGAGGAACTTTTTGCTGAGTTTGCTGGAATTCAAAATCCCAGTGGTACACGTATTATTATCTTCAATGTTCGAACTACTTCTGATGGCAAACCAGAATTTGATTTTTCAACGGCACTGGATGACATTAAAATACCTGAGGACACAGACTCAGAAATCAGTAAACTGAAAAGGCAGGAGCGGCAAAATCACATTCCAGAGTCAGATTACTCCTTGAGGGTAAGTTTGTGTGTATATTTTCAATTAAGAGAAGGAAATTGTCTTACTACTTAAGCTTTGAATTAACTATGAGTTGTCATGTACAATCTGTATTTTTCATTCATGTGCTGTATTTTTGTTTTATTTATTATTAATTACTGTACAAATTTTAGGAGTTTGAGTAAGAACCAACAACTTCATGGCCTAATTTCTCTGAAATTAATAACTTCAGATTCATGACTGAAGTTCTACCAGCTGCCTGCTTCGCAATTTTTGGGATTCACTTAAAAAGTTAGGGAAACCCTTGAAATTTAGGAAATTCTGTGGTTTTGTATTACCCCAACTCATCTCTCCTCTCTCATGAATGTTTCTGGGCCTGTAACAGGCTGTGTATGATACACTGTAACTGCATGTAATTTTTTTCCTAGGCATACTGTGCAATTCTGTACTTGAAACCAAGGATGCAGATAATACTGAGAGGCAAAAAAGTGCGCACTATGGTAATAACAAAGAGTCTAAGCAAGACTGAAATGGATTACTACCGTCCTTCTTTGAGGGAGGGGAACACACATGCTGGAGCTGTATCCTTAATTGTCAGACTTTCTTTTAAAATTAAAATGGTTTGGATGAGGTATACCTATTGACCACATCAGCATGGACAATTAAACCCTTTGACCTCGAAGAGTGATGAGCATCTAATTTCGCCTCACAATATCTCCCCAAAATCACAGGTTAAGGTCCTGAGAATAAAGGAAATGATCACTAACTAGAGACGCTCTTGATTGTGAATATATGCATACTGATGTTAGGTTGTAAAGAGTTAATCAATAGGCTGCAGTTTGTTTTAGTTAAGTGGTATAGTAACCCACTGTGGTTGTGGGAGAACACAAGAAAAGTCAATAAATCAAGCTAGGGAGGTGAGTAATTTGCAAACTTTTCTTATGTTCTCTCAATATCCCAAGTAGATTTTTACCTTGGTAAAACCACAGAGAGTGTGGTCTATTGGGTTTATTAAATAAACTTCAGTTTTCTATGGGTGTACTGGTGAAAGAAATGATAGGTTTTTGCCCAATCAGGGTGCTTGTACTATACAAGTTATTTTATGTGCAACTTAACCCTTGAACTCCCATGAGTGACCGAGACAGAATTTCACCTTACAATATCAATACAATATCAACCAGATAAGAGATGAGAATAAAGAAAATTATCAATTTGAGGATAATTAGTTGATCTAATACGAAATTCTCTGAACTAAAATTGTAAGGATTGTATGGTTGACAGTAAGGAGAAGTACAAATTTGATCTGGGAATTAAAGGGTTAATTGGAGTATGGGTTCTGTAACAGGATAGGTGTTACTCAGCCATCAGTGAAATTTACTTGGAACAATACATTCAGTTAGTGTATGTAAGCTCTGTTTCCTGGTGGTAGAATGAAAATTTCCAACAATCTTTCCTTAACTTGTTGACAGTTGAATGGGCAAAAGACTAAAATCACATTTGGTTTTAGTCAAAATAGAAATCATTATGGGATAATGATGTACCATCGCAACAGACTAATCAAGCCATATGTCCGTGTTGGCTATCAGTTGAAGGTAAGGTATTTATAATTTAGTTATTGACCTTCTCATTCTGAAGATCCAATCATCAGATCATCTTATTGTCTGCCATAATTTATAGTGGTAATAGGACTGAGTGGAGTCCAATTTGGTCTGTAATCATACAAGAGATTAACAAAGTTGTATGACTGCAAAGGAGGAGTCCAATTTGTGAATCACAAGTATGATTACAGACAAAATTGGGCAACACCAAGTTCTGTTACCAATAACTCAAAACTATGACAAAATTTGAGAAAGAAACTAGACATTGGTTATACGTTTTCATAGAAAAAAAACAATAGGTAACTTGGCAAAATACAAGAAAACAGCAGGTACTCATGACAGGTTCTGTCCACTTACACAGGCATGATGTGTTCACTGTCTCTTTAACTGTACCATTACACTGTCTAATTACAAGCATGACATGTACACTGTCCTATTAGTGATCAAATTGGCTTGGTGATCATCAATCACATTTGCAAATTTTGTGTAATTTGAATCACAGTTGTCAAATTTGCAGTCATTTGATTTGTAAATCACAAGTATGATTACAGACAGAATTGGACAGCAAGAAGTCCTGTTACCAATTAATCATAACCATTTCAATTTCCAAAAAAACAAATACACCTAGAACAAATATCTCCAGTGGGGACAATGTCTTAAGCTAAAATTCCTCCATTTTGGAAATTCCCCTGTTTTTCTTTGGATAAGTGGTTGTTGCTATGGTTATTTTGATCATTTCTTTGATCGGTGGATTAGCTGAGTGGACCTCCACTGTCCAATTACAGGTGTCTGATTACAGCCAACTGTCCAATTACATTGTCTGATTACAAGTGTACAGAATGATTAGTGAATAATGAACCTGCCAATGCACCAATAATATTTGAGGAATTTGTAATGGTTATGATTATAGGGTAAATAACTTTGTTTTAAATCAAGTAATCTCCCTTAACCTTTTTCCTCCCAACATGTCCTGAGGAATTCTCCTTTCTACCTGCCATACAATTCATATGATGTTAGTGTGGATAATTTGGTATTACATCAACTAATTATCCAGCCAATCAATATTTTTCTTTACTCCTATCACTTGTCTGCTTGATATTGTATCAATATTGTAAGGAGAGCTTCTGTTTTGGTCACTCATGGGAGTTATAGGGTTGAGTTGAATTTTTTTCTTTCTTCACTTCCCCTTGATGCTTGAATATTATTATTTTGAAATGAGAAATTCCTTTTTTATCTCTGTTGATGTGAAAGAATAAAGAAGTCAGCTAAATAATTATTCTTAAAACCTTATGGATCTAAATTTGTTTTTCATATCACTGGTATAAGCCAATGACTAGTGGGGAATTAATGGTAATTTCAAGAAAAACAATTATTTACTCAAACAGCAATTCCAATCACTATTTTCATGTACTGTTTCATTTCTAGGTGAGTCAGTTTTCCTCACTTTACCTTTAATTTGTCTTTACTTTCAGGCTAACAACTTAGGAGTGGGAGTTGTGGGTGTAATTGAATGTGATTTTCTACAACCAACTCATAACAAACAAGATTTTGACTACACTAAAGCTTACAGGTACTATTAGATTGATAGGAAAGTTATAATTCCTAAATTAATGTAATAATGTTTCCATCGCTGTTTCTATATTATGAGTAAAAAATTCGACTTGTGACAAATGTTTAACATAAAATTTGTCAAAGGCAATTGTAAAACCTTCTTTGTCTAAACAGTTATTCTGAAAACTTATGTTATCCTTATTTTGTTATTTACAGAGCCACAATAGCAGCTTTGGGTTCCAAGCTTAATGATTACTGGTAATTACAAAACTGTATATATGTTCTATTTGATGGTTTAACATCTAACATTTGCAGATATATTTTGCAATTTTTAGGATATTTTTGCCCTTTTTTCATATTCAGTTGAATTTTGTTTAGAGGAGGGGGGGGTTCTCTTTGTAAAAGTCCAGATTGTTCTCAGTGAATCTAAATATAAAATTCCACACCCCTCCTGCAGTGTAGCATTTGTACTTTAATTTGAAACCAAAAGTTTCTTTCCTTTCTCCCACTTTCCATCCATGTTGAGATTTTTATTGATCCCTAAAAGGGGTTGGTATGCAGTCTCTTGGCACCCACAGACTATTGATCTCATACAATCACAGATTATGAAGTTCTTCTTACAGTGAATTTAGAATCATATCATTTTTAATCTTTCACTGAAGGAATGAGAAAAAAGGCCCTCAACGCGCCAACAGCAAGGAACCTATTCCAGAACCTGTTGAAGTCCAGTAAGACAGCATCCCTTTTTGAGAATTTTTTAGTTAGTCAATTTTTCATCCTTTGGCAGCTAGCTATTTTTCCAAGGTGGTTATAGAGTCTTGAAACTTGGTTACCTACAAAATGTAGAACTTGTAATTCTCTCTCCATGTACTTGAATTTCACCTGGATGTTTATAGGTCTCAATATCTTGAACTTTATTTGATAGTTCCCATTGTATATGGATATTTTTTAGAAACTGATTCCATGAAGTTATCAGTGAAGAAATTCTCCTATCAATTTTAATACATTGTCAACTAGATATGTGACAAGAATCAGCCAAACAATTAGCAGATGGTGTTTGGTTTGTATACCAAATTCCTACAATCAGCCAACAAAGAGAATCACGATGGTTACTATCTGTTAGAATTAACTACCAGATCTTGTAAGAACATAGGAAGAAAGGAAAGAAAAGGTTTTTTTCAAAATGTTCTTTTTGTTTTTCAGACAACTCCCTGACCAAAGCTGGGTTCAATGTGACGACTGCCTGAAATGGCGCAAGCTGCCTCATGGCACAGACCTTGATAAACTTCCTGACAAGTGGTACTGTAAAGACAACCCCAACCCTAAAATTAGATCTTGTAATACCCCAGAGGAGAAGGAAGATGAAGTTGAACAGGCATATGTCAAGACACAAAAGAAACGCTTGTAAGTGAAATTGCCGAACATGTAGTTCATGTAGTTCGTCCTTGTAAGATGTAATCAGGAGTAAGTTTTTGATCACAGTAGTGACATCAGTTTCTTTTGGATGTTTTGAATTAAGTGGTCAAAAATAGAGAAAACATAAAGGTTTGCCTTTTTATATGTAAACTTTTTCAGCACCTCTTGATTGATGTTTATCTTTCAATCTTGACTGAATGTAACTAAGAACAAGATAATGTCAGATGTTTTTCCATTCTTGAGAAATTCTCTTATGTTCTCTGTCCATAGGGAAAAAGAGATGGAGGATAAAAAACGAAAGGAGAAGGTCAGCGCAAAAGAACCTTTTGTATTTTTTTCATTTAATGAAGTATAATCTAAAGGTCTGTGATAGATATAGGTGAAAGCTCACCTGGTGACAGGTGCATGACTGAACAGGCAAGAAAATGTTATATCAGAGAGAAAGACATGAAATTTACAGCAATGTTTTACATAATGAAGGCTGAATACTGATTAATGTGAAATCAAAAACACTTGATTACTTGTAGGAAGGGACTGATTTTCATTTATAGAGTGAGAAGGGGTGGTGGCAGAGGAGCTGTTCAAAATCATGGGTTTTTCATCAATTTTTTGTTCAGGGTTACAAAAAAAGGGCAGGGACCATATAATTTAAGCAAGTACATGTATTTCATGAGTATCAGAATGAAAATGTGTCTGAAGTAACTCATCAATATATATATATATATATATATGAGTAGCTAAAATACTATCATTCAACTAAGCATGAACAAAAAACACAACATAGATTTGCTGAAATTCTACTTACTAAGCATATAAACTGTAGGAGGAAAGGGGTTAAGAGACTCGTGAAAATGCAAACAGGACACACCTTTACCCTGCCCTTACCCTAACTCTGTTGTGACTAGTCCCTAAAGCAAAGTTATTACATTATGTAAAACCTTACCTTTTTGTACATCTTTCATTTCAACAGGAAAAAAAAGCTGAAGAGGTGGGTGACTTACCTTACACTGGGAATTTTATGAGAATATTCCCTTGATTACTGTGTGAATGTGATTCCTCCACGAAGTATTTCATCTTACATCTTTATTATTGCATGGTTTTCTTATCAAATGATTTACCAGAAACCTTATACCACCTTCATTAAAGGCACAATTGATAATCCTGGTTAATGAATTTGGCACAACTGACAATTTCCTCCTAGGCAAGAAGAGCAGAAATACAACAAAAAGCCTTGGAGAAAAAAGAGGCAGAGTTGCAAAGGTTGGTGAATTTTTTCTGGACAGTGTGCACATTTACTGAAAACACATTTTTGGAGATTACATGAGCTAATGCAGAAGTGAGAAATGACGTTGTGTACATATAAAAAGTTTTAAATTGAATTTTTTTGAAGAATGATGTGAATGTTAGCCTGATAGAAGCTTGCAGGTTAACCCACAGAAAAGGAATCTCCTTTTTGATTCATGTTTTTTACCTCTAGATTAAGACAACAGCTTTCTGAAATGGAGTCAGCAAATGAACCGTCAATCATGGAGACAATTGAAAAGAATAGCGCAAGACAACAGCAAGCCATTAGACAGGTTAGACAAAGTGATCTGCATGTTGATCTTCTTTAAATCTTTTGTAGAAGTTCATTGACAAAGAATGAAGTGTTTCAAGTTGGTTAAACCAGAGACAAATTTATTGAGAACCACAATCTTAATTGCATTAATGTAGGGTTTCATGAAGTTTCAAATTAGGCCAATGTAACACACACTCCTTTCCCATGTCAATCCCTCCATTTCATGACGACAGATACTTATTATTTTTTATTAACTTTATTGAATGGGATTAGTAGGCATGTCATCATGTGAGCTTGGTCCTCAACTTGATAAAACGAGCCACATCTAAATAGCAGTGGTAAACTCTGACATGCTCAAATAGCAAGCTAAGTGCTGGTGGACAAAATCAATTGTATTGTTCCATTTTTTAGCAGGTAAAAGGAGAGCAAAAGTCACCTCAGCCATTGAGGATAAAGGTAAGTTAGGTTGTTTCACTCAGAAATAGTGCTGGATAATGTACATGTAGATACTGTTTGGCAGAAACTATTGACTCTCCATGAATGTGATGACATCCTGTCAGTATCGGATTCACAGCCTAATTAAGCAGAGAAAGACGTATTTTCAGGCTCGTTAAAAGATAGCAATTGCAACTGGTAAATTAGTGTACTTAAGTATCGAGCAACTAAAATAATTGCAAACGTGACCTATTAATTGAAGGTTATCCACTCGTTTCTTATCAAAATGTATTAATTTTTCTGTCTCCAATAGCTGATTCAATCACCCTCAAACAATCTGAAGGTATGTGTGCGTTTGTCGTGACTACTGTAACAGTCACATCTACTTTTCGTTGGTGCCTGCATTCCTTTCAAGTTGGGTGTTAATTGATGTTATTATATGACGCGTAAGGCCTCGCGTGTGCAATTCCATGGAAAACCATCGTGAAAGCCGACGTGTGTAGGGCCAGACGGGTTGATGTGGACCGGGGCGGTAAAAGCCGTCCAGCCCTGCACTGACATGGCTTTGTTGCAAAAACTGATAGACAAAAACCAAATAAGTAAAAAGGGGTCGCATTTTTCGATGAATTGTGACTTTCTTGTTCTGGCTTGGAAAAAAAAACCAATGGAAAGTATTAATTGTAGAATCTTTTTTGTCCTGTGTGCGCCCCTCCATTGCTTCCTATTTTGGTTGAAGCAAAAATTTCGAAATTTTCAACACTTAGTAGTCATTCGGAGGAATGCTTAATACCTGAGTTCGTTTGGGTTAGACGTGAAAATATTTGGTCGAAGTCAAAACGTACGGACCAAGGGTAGGGAGGTCCTTCCACTCATTCAACAAGGACATATGATCTTCATGTAAAGATCAGTTTTCATTTGTTCTTCTAGATTGTGGTCATTAATTGGGGATAATTTTATATTGTGAACTGTCAACTTAAGGATCTGTTCTATATAATTTACTATGAAATTGCCTTGGCTTGAATCAATGTAGATTGGTTCACTGAAATTATAATGATAACAGTATTGAATCAATCATGTCCGACTTCAAGAAGAATTTAAAGCTCTTCGTAGGGTGAGACAAGGTTACTGTTCTTTAATGCAAGATGCAAGTCTTAACGTCACTTCAACTTTCTTCTTTTTCTCCCCCTCAGTGGTGGAAATAAGGGTTACGGATTCAAATCAAAGTTGCAGGTGTGACATATTTCAATTCTTTGATTGTGAAGCATAATTCGCTCTCTTCTTAGCAATCGTCAGGGCAACCTCAGACTACACAGGTTGTTTCTCGTAACATTCTGGTACCTAATGGTCACAAGTCACCATTGATATTAAGACGAAACGCAAACCAACAACAGCAACAGACGTCTGTCAAGGTTGTCAAAGTTTTCTCATCTGTTCCCTCCAACCAATCACAAACTGTTCCTAAGCCATTGGTGCAAATTGTGCCAAATCCTCAAGGACAACTTCAACAGCAGACCCCAAAAGTTGTATCTGTACAGTCCTTACAGCAACAAGTCAATCAAGGGCAGTCAACAGGACAACAGAGGGTTGCTATTCAAAATATGGTGCTCTCATCAGGGCATAAAGTTCACCTGACCACACCTATCTCCCAGCCGAGCACCTCAACTTCATTCCAGGTGAGGGCATTGCCTATTCAACCCTCGCAACCTCCAAAACAGCAACAGAGTACAGGCGTAGTTACTCTGCAGACAACACCAGCATCGCATAACCAGCTTCCTCAGAAAAACAGTACTCCCTTGAGATCGCCTGCCATGTCAACAAGTTACAAACCTTTAGAGTCATTACAGGAAGTGAACCGACAAGCAACACAAGCTTCAGTGGTATCACCAGTGTCTGCAGTTATTCCAGAGGTCAGTCCCCCGACAAAACAGTCACCTACTGAACTCAGAAATCACGTGACGATGCAAGACAGATATCGATACATTGCGCCCTCACCACAGACTCAGGTAGCATCTGTACCAGTGTCATCTGCTGCTGCTGGCGTGGTGGCTCAGTCTGTTCAGCCACCAGTAGTTAAGCCCTCAGTCAAAGTTGGTGCTCAATCTGTTGCGTCTACTGCCAATCAAGTATTGCAGGTACTGGATTAGCCTCTGCTTTTGATGTTGATGTTCTTATTATTTTACCGTAATGTAATTTATAACATTACTCGAATGTTATTGCTATTACTATTATCATAATTATTAGTAATATCATTACAACTATTATTATTATTTCCCCTTTCTCTGTATCTGTAGGTCCAAATTAAACAGGAACCAAAACCAGCGGTCCCTGTAAGCACCATGTCATCAGGGCCCAGTATTCAGATATCTCAGGTGTATTCTGGAGCCCCAGCAGTAGGTGCATCTACAGGTCTTACTGTGAAAGTAAAAACCGAGAAAGCCGACAGGTAGGACTGGACATTTCCCATCTTCTATATTTGTACTGTGGGAATCAGTTGACAACATCATAAAGCCGATCAAATTGATTCAAGCTCCTACGCGTTTCACTTGACAATTGAACAATTGTAGACTTGATTGGGGACTGAAATAAATAAATATTTGTTTTTGCCTCTCAACGTTTGGTTTTCCTCATGTTTGAGTCTGAACAGTAATTGATTGAGCCGTGAAATGTTTTTAGTCCTTTAGTGAATGGGAACAAGAGAGCGCATGACAGCGACGATGACGTCATCGAACAACCAGTGCCGCAGAAACCACGCGTGGAGAAGGAAATTATTTTCATCGACTCTCCGCCCTCGGCCCCTCCCCCAGAGGAAAAGCCTGTGGAGGGACTATCCGACAGTAACGGAGCGGCTGTAGAAGGCGTCGATGATGACTTGATCGTTAAGTTCAGTAAACTGAACAAAGAAGAACAGTGGATCAAACTGGCGCAATCCGCGCAACAGCTCAGAAGCCTTCGCGATAATGTGTGCAAACTGTTGAGGGTTCTTGTACCAGAAATAGATCTGGGAGACAAATCGGAAATTCTGGACGATACTACTATAGATAATCTTTTAAAGCAAGTTCTTGAGGCAAATGTGAGCCCAGATGCTGCACAGGGCACATGAGGCCTACCCCGAATGCTACTTAGCTTAGGAACAAATTTTTTATTTCCACTTTTTTTACTGACTCAAGATAAATCCACCGATACTTTTAACGGTAAGCCGGCGTTTTTTATTTGAAAATACCATTGTCAACAGTGTTGCAAAGCAACCAAGTATGTCATGTATCATTCTCAATTCAATTCTGTCTCCGAAAATGTGGTCGCTTAATTTAAATGGACGAGAGGACCGTGCGAGCAACAGAAAAATTGACAGTAACTGAAGTTTTGGTATGTGATGATTGACGTCGTCGTCACGCGTTCGCAATCAGACTTACTAGTGAGGTTTCTTTTAATAAATTCGTTCAAACACGTTCAAGGTGTTTGTATTTGTACAGCTTCGTTAAGTCGGGTTGTAAACTTATCATATTGCAAGCGCGATGCCCGCGTAGCTCCGGAAAAGCTCGTCTCTGATCTGGACTCGAAATCCGAATGTAGGGTGCTACAGTTTTGAAAGAATTGAGAGGCGATGTGGTCACTAGGGAATTAGGAAAAGTATATCGTGACTAATCGGTGGAGGAGTTTAACAAGATAATTTTGATTTTATCAACTGAGTTGATAATGTTAATTGGCCATCGTTAAGAGTTTCATAGCAGACGTTTCTGGCGTTAGTCCTAAAACAGACCGAATGATGAAGGGCTAACGCTCGAAACGTCAGGTTTAAAACTTAACGATGGCCAATTTACACATCAACTCAGTTGATTATACCAAAATTATCTTATTGTATCGTGACTAGTCGACTGAATAATGCGAGACTACGTCTGGCGATGACGCCTCTCAAATCTCTTTGCGAAGCTTGATACTCCGCTGTGAAGGGTTGGTTCTCAACAGCGAGGAACGGAACTGACCAATCACCGCTGTTGAAACGTCACCTAACACAGCGGAGCATCATGCTTCACAAGATGGCACCAACCTTGAAATCTTTGAAAAAATCTTGGGAAATGCATCCAAAAAGCGACGAGATAATTTTATGGGGGAGGGGGAAGAGAGAAATTAATATAGACTACTTCGAGAAAGAACAACGTGATCAGTGATGGAAGGTCGAGCAGCAAGCGCTTGGCGGTAACGCAAAGAACACGAACGTAAATCTGCAGGCACAGTGACTTAATGTTACCACTGTTGTGCTCCTCAGCTGACTAGCAAAACACTCAAGGCGGCTGATTATTTCCTTACCATACCACCCCTCACCAGACGTAAAAAATGTTTTCAACACTTTTAAGTATACCTTTCCGTTTTTTATTGTACGGCTTATAAAAATAAAATGCTGCCTTGAACCGGGAAGGGAAATACCCAATTAAATCATTATTAATTACAGCTAATTACTTTGCAGAGTTTCCTTTATACAGTACGTAAAGCCTAACGCTAGACGTAAGATTCTTCTGTGAACAGAATGTTTTCGATATCGTCATGAGAAGGAGCAGGATAGGCTCCACTCTGCGCGCGCGGCGTGCGCACTTTAGCGATCACTTGCGCTGTCTGTGGGCTGATTTTGAGCCCGTTAGCTTGCGCATTCTCGCTAAGAAGTTCCCTGATATCCCGAATCTGCGTCACATCAGTTCTGCCTTCGGAAAACGTTGAATCAGCACCGATGCTAGATCGTTCGTCCAGGCTAGACACCGACGACGAAGACGAGGTTGCGCTTCCTCTCCGAATTCGAAAAGATCCTGGCGAATTGGGCATTGCCGAGGTCCCCCGAGCATCAACTGAAGATGCCCAATGCGTTTTTGATTGAGCTTCGTGAGGAAAGAAGTCGGAGTGTGGGAAGTGAGTAAGAGAAGAACTATGGGGCATGGAAGCTGTACCAGCGGATGAAACAGAACCAAGCGCTGATCTTAATTGGCCAGAGCCATGACTTGACGATAGCCCGACAGTTTTTCGAACATTTTCAGGCGGCGGTTTTTTATACGACCCTTCACTTACGTTTCGTTTCTGATGAAGGTTAAGTCCAAATGGTGAATGTTCCAGTTTGCGGATTCCGGCACTTGCAACTGTGCTGGCGTTCACCTCCTCCACTTGCTCCCATATATTATCATTCTGGCTCGTTGGCGACATTGGCGTTTTAGGTGTCGAGGAAGTTTCGCTCCTTTCCGAATCCAATCTATCGTTACCGAAGACGCCTAATCTCCCAGGGAAGCGGGGTTGTTGCTCTCTAGCTTCGAAAAATGCCTTTGCTTCCCTTGGAGAAATATGGTCCTTGCTAGAATCCACTTCTTTGGTCTCCTTTCCTTCTGCACCCTGAAAAAACGCAGGTTTTGAATTCAATTCCCTCCTCCGCTGCATATGTTCCTGATACGATGGCGCTGCAGGTTGTCTCCGACGATCGACAGCTTGGAAAACTTGATCGGGGTTTGGAGACGGAGAGCGAGGTCCTCCAGGCGATTGTTTGGATACGGGAGAACTAGGTGGCACAGGAGATGTCGAGTTGCTATCAAGACTGTCCGAAATAAGACCTTGCGTTTGTACGGAATGTTTAGCTTCCATAGCCCGTGACAAAGACAATGGGTAACTTGATACAGGATGAAGACGCTGGTATTGCGTTACATTTTGCGTGACAGGAAACAGTCGCACAGTTTGAGGCGAGTGTGCCCGGCGAAGAACAGCAGTCTCTAATTTCCGGCCACTAGCCGTAGTCTTTTGAGTTTGTTTATGTTCGATAAGTTCAGCGCTTGTCGTTGTACTACTCAGTTGTCTTTTAGAGCTCGGGTATTTCCGACTGCTTTTCAGTCGTAATTTCATCGAATCCGGAGGTAACCCGAGCGGCTCCGAACTTCTACGACTGATCGCTGCATGTCCTTTCGTTTTATTGGGTTCATAAAAAGCGGCGCTGAGTTTATTAGAAAACTCAACGTCGTGCCTCTTGAGAGTGGGCGATGAACTCGGGGAAGGAATTCCGGAATCACAAGGAGAGCTTGGAGTACTAACACTCTTGTTCGTTGGGTGAACTGCGAGCGTGCTTGTAACATACAAGTTCGAATCACTTAAGTGAATAGAGTTCCTTTCTCCTTTGGGACTTAGAGGTTCCGGTGATTCTATCCCGTCATCCGTAGAGGACTGACTCAAAGCAGTCCGCGAGTCCTGGGTACTACCCTCCGAATCGCTGGTCACATGATTAGTGGTGACGATCTCGCTACGATCGCCAAGAATCGTCCTTACTTTATCTCCCATGATAGCCACACTGTGTTCAATAATAAACTGAATCACTGGCGGCACTGAGTTTGATTGCTCGGTGGCGGGAATGCTGGAACCTTTTGGCGCCCAAAGCATGCTGGGAGCCACACACACGGCCAGGTTATAAGCGTTCATGTTATTGGTCTCCGCATTGTCGGCAATGTGAAATAACACGCACAAAAATGACTTCAGTAGTTCATAATTGAAACGGTTGATCCCGTCCAAAATCCTAAAAAACAAAAATGTTGAGAAAAAAAATTTAGCCGCATCGAAGTAAATACAAACTTAGAGTGCGCATCATGATTTGAGTGTCGAAAAGGCAAACCCGGAGACACCAAAACAGCCCATAAGAAGGAAAAAAAATACTAAAGAGAGCCAATAATGGCCCAGAGCAGTCAGTCCTGCACCAATCACAGAACATGGCAAATCCAAGCCAATACGATCCCGGATGGCTTTATAAATTCAACTGAAAATGACAATTATTACCGAGCTTCTACACTCGGTGACGAAACTGTAATTACTCGAAGTAAATCGCAACATCAGGGTAAGTAGACTGCAATTCTATCGGGCAAAAGTTATTCCTAGCGTCCAAAAAACACGAAAAAGGTATTTTCATGATCAGGTATAACACAATTTTACGGCGATACACCACGTTTACTTTCGCATGAAACATAAATTGTATTCGCAAGAACGTGATATCAGAGAAGAATTGTCTCACCCCTTTATTTGTTTCACTCTTTCGTCCTGATCTTCGATGTTGTTTGTGGCGACTAAATCTTCGTAGTTTTCACTTTCAAAAATACAGTCTGGCAAACGGCGAAGGAATTCCTAAAAATAAGAAAAGTCTTCAAACTAACTTCCATGCAATATAGCGGCCGAACTTGTGTACAAGTATCATTTTACCATGTAGTTTCCATCGCCTTTAGAATGGTAGGAATACACTAGCTTCTCAAGGGAAAGCACATTTGGTTATCGATCGGATTAAATCGAGTTTAAAAAAAACGATGACAACCTTTTGGTCCGAGCAATAAAGCAATTATCTTGTACCTTCATGACAGAGGCGGTCACGACTTCTGATACGTCTTCAAAATCTACCAATTTACCTAAAGGAGACAAAAGAGCACATTTACAACAGGCTCAAATAATTATTGGTTATCTTCCAAAGTAACACCGCTCTACAGAAATCTGTAACTCCTCATTGGGGCTCTTTTGGGAGGAGTCGATTTCATTAGACCCCAGTTTGCGCACTTTTTATGGCCCCATTTCGGAGTACAAACCCCAACGGCTGTATGTCATAACATTTAAAGAGATACATTCTCAACCACTTTACGTTATAAGCCCGTCGTCGACTCGTGGGTGCAAGTTAAAAGAAAACCTTTTCAATTTGTTCCAAGGGATACAGGAAATATTTCAATGAGAAATTTGCGTATGATAATATAGCTCACAAGTTAAAATTAATTAATTAATTCATTAATCGATAAGGACCACTTTTCACCTTCATCCAGTTCGAGTTTGATTTCTCTAGCAATCCTAGCATTCGCCGATTTTCTGAAGATTCCTGTGGTACTTGGACCATATCGAAACAAATGTAACAACAAATCCTGTACTGCTTTGGGTACAGGCTCTTCCTCGGTACACAGCTGAGTCAGAGGTACTCCGAAAAGCCTGGAAAATCAAACACAAATTGATATGATCGCAAATACAATTCACTGCAACGAGTGAATCTCCATTACCGTGAGAACTGAATCAAAATCGCCGTGAAATAAAACAAAATGCTAAGCCGTTTCCTAACCTGCCCCGTGCGAAGTTTTGCGAAACACGACGGGAAAAAAAAAGAAGTAAGCGGCGTTTTTGTGTAGTTTGCCACCTACTTCCTCGTAACGTCTTGCACTTCAAGTGATTAAAGTTGTTTCGTAGCATATAACATCTCCTATGCCTGGACCCCAACATGGTTCTTTTCAAACATGTCCCCTCCCTCCAAAGAAGTAGTTTACCTCCTCGACCTTTACATCTTGAAGGGGCCTCTTCGTCTTTCAACGGATTGGAAATCGCAAACTTTCAGTTTTTCACAGATTGGAAATGACCAAATTGAAAAATCTACACTACTCAAATTCAATCCTTCTTGTGTTAACATGTTACGCAAGAAAGTTAACCGACGCATTCTTTATAAAGTCATGACTCCACTTACTTTCCAGCTGACGAAGAATTTCCATCCAAGGAGTTTCCTTTAGTTGATCCCGTAGTTTTCTTGTGCATGGCCCAATTGATTATCGGCGATTTCTTTATCGGATTTTTCCATCGTTGCTTGCTAGGAGCATTATGTACATCTATCGACAAAACATGATAAAATTCAAGAGGAAAATTTTAAATTAAAAAACACTTGCCATAGTAGTTAGTTTATATTTAGGACACTTTTGATTCCGACGCGGTGCATTGATTTTCACCCCCCACCCACTTTGCCTGAGAGCAGACCTCATTGTTAGCGTTAAAGGACGCGCGTTTGTCCACCCACAGGGAGACTTGAGACGAGTCTAGGAGAACGCTAACCAGGGGTCTGGTACTGAGACCTGTCGCAGGCTCGCGTTGCTCAAGGCGTCATACTTTCCTGCGGGCTCAGAAACGCTCGTGCTACCCATAAGACCACTGCGTCTCCCAGGCACTTCACTTCGCCTGCCACGATACAAAAACGGTTTACAAGCTTTTATTATCGCTTAAATTACCCCTCTGCACATGTCACGTCGCTAAAACCGCTGACCAGATTTTACCGTTTGGGTAGCTACAAACTTTATTCCTGCCAGCTGAAGCTTAAAACCTCACCTATAGCTATTCTGTTGGGTATTTTCTTGTTCCTTTTAAGAATAAACTGACATTGCGTTTCAGGAGACAACGGATCCATTGACGGCAGTTGCTGGTCAAAGTCAAAGGGAAATCCATCTTCATCCGTTAGCGCCGCCTCACGCATGTGGTTCATTTTGATCGCGAATGGAAACTCATGACCTACACAACGATCACGAAAAGAGAGAAGTGGAGTGAGAGGTTTAAAACCTGTTATTTGATAAGCAGCACCAACTATCAATAAGGAAAAAAAATGAACATTTTCTATTGTGGGACCGTTGCACGAAAGCCTTGACAAAGAACAAGAAAATTTCTTCATAATAGAAAATGAAGAGCAGAAAATACGACTGAGTCAAAAGTCGCTTCTAGTAAAGAACTCTCTCAAGCAACTTAAGTCATGATAAATGTTGTTGTTTTTTTTTTTTCACTGATCGTCGTTTACTTCTCAGTCCCTCAGTTGACAATTTTTTCGTTCTTGTCAGTTCACTTCTATACATTGTGTAGACATCGTAAGATACTAGAAATGTTTTACCTATTAATGGGTACGCGCCGTCCTCTTTGCCAGAGAGAACCCACAGCTGAAACTCGGACAGATCTTCAGTCTAACAGAAACAAACGGATTCATTTTTTATACACAGCATTATGTTAAAACATTGTTAAACTTTTGAAAAATCTAGCCTCGGCAATTAAAAGCGTTTAGATTATTTTGGAACGTCGTTCTTGTTTTTACGCTATATCTAGTTCTTCTCAAATTGAAGCCTCTCCCTGCAGCTGAGACTCGAGGATGGGTCTTAAGTAAAACCTACTTCATGAAAGTGTAATTAAACTTACCTGAAATTGAAACTGCGCCAATGACATTTTAACGACTGTAGCTGCATCGTCCATGTTGGTGACAGTGAACGACTTGGACTGAGAGAAGAACATATTTGAAGTAAATAACGTGATAACCTGAAGGCAGTGACATTATTACAAAGGCCGCCACGAGAAAAACTTTAGAGAAAATCTCCCATTAAAATGTAACAACACCACTTGGTTAAGTTGCTGCATCACCAGAATACCAGTAGTCCCTCGTTCCGCGCGAAATCCCTCGTGCAAGTCAAATAACAATTGGTTCTACGCCTCGAGCAACTCTAGCTTCTCGAGTGCTCTCCAAACTTCCCAAGTGCTTCATATCTCGATGAACGCACAGCTGACGTATGAACCAATTGTTTAATAACATTTTCAACCCGATGGAAAATTTTTTCCTCGAGGGATTTGTTTGCTGACGTCATGAGCGTGCACAATAGGAATATGAAGCACGCTTCGGCAATTGAATTTGATAAGACAAATTTACTAGCTATGTTATCATAAATTTGACAGAAAAATATCCTGGCGCCACCTGAACTGCTGAAAGCTTCCCGGCGTTCACGCGGGGCAAGGATAAAATGCTGTGAATTTTTTTGTCGATTTCTATTGAATCGTGCGACTGATTTTTCTAGAAAAGGAGGAGCTGTTATATTTCAAAAGATAATAGTTACTCTCTAAAGCGAAACTCACATATCCTGAGGAGTCCGGTGACTCCATGTCCCTGTTATACACTTTAAGGCTGACACATTTTGGATCTTCACTGTCCTTCTGTTCTTTCACGTGCCTGCGAATGAAAAACAAACTAAGCATGACAACACTCCTTGAAAAAATAAAACATGAAATAAAAAAATAAATTTTAAATGAGGATTGGTGAGACGTAGATACCTAAATGAGATAAAGGAAACAGTGTGTGAGGAAAGCAGCTGGGTCCTGGTTTATCTACCTCAGCGTTCTTCTCTCACGAGTGACCACTACGTAATTTCTTCTAACAATATCAATATATTGTAAAGCACAAAGAAAAATATTGAGTGGAGGATATTGTCTAATTTACAGCCAAATTCCTGAAGCTAAAATTAAATGAAATGTATGTGGACAGTAAGGAGAATTAATATCGAAATCCTGGCAGTTACAAGGTCCAATGGTTCACTCTTAATATTTCGACATCTTTGTCTTTAATCTGAGTTACTATTTGCCATTCTTCCTCCGTCTCTAGGAGGCTAAAAAAGACTGCAAATATCATAAAAAAGATTAAAGAAAAGGTAGCGATACTCAAACTTACTTTGTCAGAACACTGTGCCAGGCTTCCTTGTCCTCCGGTGTACTGCAAATCACAAAACATTCCAATCAACAATTTTAGTCGATAATAGATTTATGAACACTCACAATACCGAAAACAGAGTCATAACAAACCATAACAATCAAAACTCATCGCGAGATGTTATCAAGGTATTAAGTTTCTCGCTCTTTGTGATTCACCACAATTTTGGTGGACCTTATTTATCCTTGCCGCCACTTTTTTATTCCATAAACATTTCTCAAAGACCTTGGACTGTTACCTAAATATTTCCTGCCCTTTGAGGACAGTTTTGCCTCGACGTGGAAAAAAAGCTCTTTACATACGTGCAATTGAGAAAGCGTCACACTTAGACGGGAATCATTCTTACTTGAAGGCAGCTACAAAGTTTGTAGTGGGCCAGCCAATCACAAACGACCTGTCAGCGGATTTCGTCGATTCACACACGTCATCAAGACAATTAGCCAACCAGATCTCGCTAACCCGAACTCGATGCTTAAGCTTGAACGTCGCAGACCTAGAATGTTAATAACGAAATCATAACTGTAAACATGGCTGCAAGACTACCTATTGTTTTTACAAACCCTTTTTTTCCCACAATAAGCAAGTGTAAAATGGTTGCTTTTGCTTACCCCAGAAGAGTAAAAAAAAAAAAAAAGAAAAAAAAGGATAAATGAGAATTACGAATAATAACCCAATTGACTATACACGAAACGACAGTAAGACTTACCTTGGTTTTGCTATTAAAAGAAGGTCATCGAACAAGAACAGATGTCTGTCTTGAGAGGACATACCCTTGAAATGACAACAAATTGAAATATAACTAGTGAAAAAGCATCCAAGCATCATGGATTAAAGCTTACTCATAAACAACAAATGTCGAAGTCTCTGAAGAGATTTTGTGCATTTCATTCTCTCCCCACCCCCCCAATCCCTTCCCGAGTCACGGATGCCTTCTTTCAAGTCAACTTCGGAAATAAGTTGTAATTTGGCGCTTAGCTTCGGACTTACCTTACGTTTCGATATATCGTAAATTGATCCGTATATTTATATTCTTTCACAGTTTTCTTTAAGTTGCTTCGTGCTTTTCCAAGGATTCATTTACACTTTCATTTTAAGGTGAAGAGTCGACGACCGACAGAGCAATTATTTGGAGAAGAAAGCCACAAATCAGAAACACTTACCGAGGATAATTGCACTGGACCTTCCTTGATGAAAGCCCTCGCTGGGAAAACTTCGGGAGACAGAGGAGAGCTGGGTTCGGATGAATTCTTCATTCGCATGCTTCCGTCTATCGTCGAACTAGAAACACAAATTTCCCAGACGATAAGCACGAAAATAACCAACTTCGCGTGATCTACGGTATCCTGGTTTAAGGTGGTTAAAATTTACCTCAATGAAAGTCGGTTTGTTGAGACAAGCAACACCTCAATCACTTTGACGCACAGATAGAGTTTAACAAGGTGAACGCGAGGTACATTGATTGTACTTCAACCAAATTATCTTTCATGTTTACGTGACTAAACATACTTTACATGTTATTCAGTAATTATCGACAACATCAAAGTGTTAAACGCCCTGAAAAATCACTGTCTGGCAGTCAAGCGGAAAGCAATTAGTGATAATCGGGGAAAATAAAAGAAGCCGGCTGTTTACTGACGAATGCATGTATAAACACTAAAAAGATTTAACACTTGTTGTTAATGAAGAAAAAAATACTACGTAGAGAGCACTAATGTTTACTTTTAGGAAATAAAACAAACTGACGAGAACCTATAACATCGACGAAAATCTAAGAACTCTCAATATCGATTTCACTGATTTCAATACTAAAGAATTATGCAATTAATTGAGATTTCAAGATGAGATGAGTACAGCTACACTTCCCTTTTCAACAACTTCCCTTCTTGCTTTCAAAGGTTATCAAATGCCAACATCTGTCATAGAAGTTTTCTTGTTGGAAATCATTGTCATATGCTTGGACTTTGAATCCGCTCCTGACTATGTCACTTTTAAAAAGGTCTTCAATTATCTCTCACCAATGTTTTTACCTTTTTGAAGAATGCGTTTTTCCTCCCAATGCGGCTTTTATTACAGTTGTCGGGGCAGATCGTCTCCGAGAACTGCCTTGTTTAAGTCTCTGTTTAGGAAAAAAGACAATGTCTATATTCACATCGTTTTTGTCGAGTCATTTATTTAAGATTTTACTGACGTGTTATGGAATGATACGTCCGTAAAATCGCGAAGAATAATCTGAGCCCTGAGGTAACATTTAGAAAAATCGAGCGGGTGAAAGTTTATTCTTCAAAAGCACTGTTGCTATTGACACTGAATGACGAATCATACACCATTTCACTTCATTCTGTCGATGGAATTCACTCGAGCGGTTGAAATGTAAACCAAATTTGAAGGAAAGTATATTCCTTTGGACGAGAAACATTACATCACAGTTTGATGGTTGCTACACTAAGGCAGCAACTATAATACGAGTAGTAAATTGTTTCGTTTACACATCGGCTCGTACAACACAGATTACATCACTAATGTACTGATTAATTGAGACAAGTAGGTTACACTCAAGTGGAAACACTTGAGCATTAATGAACCACCTTTAACTATTTAATTAATCGGCCGATCAGCAACTCCAAACTGGTACGCCGCGAGAGGATGTTTAGACTTGAACTTCATCACCGAAAAGGATTTCTTACTCAACCCTTTACAATCTATCATCAGTATGCATATTCTCCATACTGTTCTCTATCCATTTCCTAAGGCGCTGACGGCGAGCACTTGCTTAGCAGTCGAGAGCTGCTTTACTTGCTGATCATTTCCTTTATTCTCATGACCTCAATGTTTGATTCAGACGTGTTATTGTGAGGAGAAATAGATGCTAGTCACTCTTAAGGGTTAAGTTCTCATCGGTTGCTGTTATTATGGTGACTATAAACACTGCTCTATCACCTACTCATAATTCTCTTCACTGACTGTAACTGGTGTTGTTCTACACGCCAACAACCAGCAGCGCTAATAATTTTGTTGTTACTAGCACACTATAAACTTACGTGAGAATTTTGTTTTTCTTGAAGGCATAAGTTATCACTGGGAAACCTGTCTTGGATGTCATAGATTTTGCACTGTGAAAAGGAACAGACTGACATTAGTGAAAATATTAAGAACAACTTCGCAAAAAGAAGACTAATTCCTCCTGTGACAGGAAAAGTTGTTTTGAACACGACCTTCACCTCAACTCTCTCTTGACAACTTTATAGCCATTGTGGCGTGACGTGAGACGTAACGTGGACAAGTTATGTCAAGTCACACACAGCTACACGAGTTATATGTGAGGTCAATAAATTCAACTGAGTTAAAAGGTTAAGCTATAGTTGAACTACTTTCACTACATCTGCTTTTAAGATTTGAGAAAAATCCAGATCGCATTTTTCAAAGATTTGTCAGTACTTCTGTTGAAAAAACTGGTATCTGATGTCCAACGTAGGCGTGACAAAGATAAACCCACACATCGAAGAGAACTTTAGTGTAAGTGAAAAAAGAATCCCACTGAGTGTTGCATCGTGTTCAACAACGACAAACCTTACAAAATAAAGAGAACAAAGACAAAAATCCCTTGATGACGCTGTGTTATAAACCGAGTGTTATTATTACAGAAGGCGAAGCATTCTACTTATTTAAAATGATCTGAACTGTCTGCAGTTTGGCTGATAACGGAACAAGTGGGTCTTGAATGACGAGATGCACTTGCGATACTTAACCGCCAGGTAACCCTGATATTCTAGGGCAAATATGTTGCTTGTTTACTGCAAAATGTCATTATCAGTGTTTAGCAAGCCTCAAAAGATTGAGATAAAAACTCGAAAAATGACAAGGGTACACTTCGTGTTCTACTGGTGATGAGGAACAGGAACAACAAAAGAAAGTTTACTCCTTTGAAATTGCAAGATTGTGTGAAACTTTCTGTGGCAGAAAAGCCACCACGACGGGAATTAAATCCACTCTGACTTAAAAAATTTTATCCTTTAAATATGAGCGAAGGATTTTGTGCGGAATTCAAAAATATAATGAAATCTTTCCGCTTTTTCAGGTTTTGGCCCGAAGCCCTAACCCATAAAACCATTTCCGAACCCACAACTACCTGAAACATTTTCCCTGAAATATTAAAGTGTGCCAAACCACTGAAAAAAAATTAAAAGATAGTTAAAATGTATGACTAAATAATGTTACTTGTCAAATACCACCAACAGTGCAATAATTTTTTCCGACTGCCCCAAAAGTGACGAAACTCAAACAACAATAAGCTGTCTTTAAAGCTCGGACGTAGAACGGCGGAAAAGCGCACATAACGTGCTTGAAAATAGAATTACCAAGAACACTTAAAACAACTTGAACTCTAATCCAGCTTAAGACCATAAGGGTGAAAAAGGGAAAAACAAGTATGCAAGCTTGCATGACTGAAAACACACAACATGTCTACAAATCGTGAACACAAAATTAACAACTGCAAGCGTGACATTAATTCGACGCTGGATTATGGTCGGCCACAAAGACAAACAAGAGAACAGATATGCATAACAAACATATGCAACACTCGTAATTATTTTGCCAACGCAAAGTTATGATTTTCAGACAGTGTAAGGAAAACTCGAATTCTGATTCGGCTTAGGATTATTAAGTAAAAATGAAAACAGAAAAAAAACAGCACGAAAGAGATAAGTGGGGTGGCTGGACTGAAAAACGAACCACTGATTGTGTAATAAATGTGAGAACAAAACTTGAATCATCCAACTATATTAAGACGGGGAAAACCTGATCTTACTCCGACGTGATCATTCTGAGAAAAATAATACGGAATATGTACGCTATGGATCGTTTTGAGTGAGAACAAACACGGAAAATCGTCGTAATCGGCTTGTTGTCTTTACAGGTTCACAGTTGATGCAAGTAAGGGCTTAGAATTGAGCTTATTTCCTGTAAAACTGATATCATGAAAGATCGCACTAACGAATTTAAAAGATAACCGATTGATAACGATGTAATGAACAACTCGTGAAATATTTAAGGTAGATATGTCACGGCATTAACACCCTTCAGTATATGGGACAAATCGATCGAAAATAAAGTCATTTCAAGGCAGACGTAACAAAACAATGGCCAAATCAAGGAAATGAAAGATTTCCAAATTCCACTAAGGTGATATGATACCACATGCTCCGACAAATAAAATTATTTTTAAAACACAGGAAATGAAATAATGTTGCGACAAATTTCTCGATGAAAAAAAAGACAAATTGCTGTAATAAAGCGCACGAAAGATTCACAGAAATGCCCCAGGCAAAAGAACCATTGAAGTAATGTAGTTGATCATCTGGGCAAGAGTTATCGAAGTAAGTTGTCATTCTTCTACTGGAATGCTGAACACAATAGCTGCTCTTGAAAGTGATACTGACCTTCCACTCACCAACAAAACTAGAATGTTTCTTTCATCAGGGTGAAGATATACAAAACCCTTCAAGCTAGCCACAAAAACTACGAACATTTAATAATTCAAATCCGTGAGAACACTGTTTTTTCATGTTTTTCCATTTCAGCAGTTGTCAAATCTATCGAAAGTAGAAACAAAACAGATTGCAAGCGGATGTTTGTTACACAACATTTCAACAACTGCGTGCCACTTCGGCAGCAAACACGTTAAAAATGCCAAATTTTTTTCACTGCAGGGAACATTACCTGAGCTTCGTCTGTTCGCGTTTTAAGAGCTCGGCGAACCACCACAGGACTGTGAGACGATACGATTCGCATGGATAAGGCGTAACTTGGCGGCTGTGCTGTACGGACCGGAGTTTTGGTCGCCATAGCACAAACTTCACTCGACGGATGTAAAACCATGAATAGCGATCTTTAGTTCCACAACAGTCAGCAGCAAACTAACATTGTGTTGGCAGAAGTTCCGGCGACCCCAAATGAATCGCCCGCTAATTCAAAGGCCACGGATCATACGGCGAGTAGAGAACATAATTTAGCACTTTTCAGCTCAACACCGACCCAGTTTTGTCTTGGCTCGCAAACCGATGACCGACCTTTGACGAATTAGATTCAACCGACCACAAGATCGTGACTGGTGTGAGAACAGTGTCACAGCGTTGCTCCTCTCTCCATGAGGAATGAAGCGAGGTTATTACCGGTTGATAATCGCGTTAAAGTCCCGTTAATCCAAGCAATACTATTTCACTCAAGCCAGACGCCCGACTTTAAAGTGAACACAGAAAACAGAGGTCAAGTTTCAAGACTATCTAAGCAACTGATACAAAGTGATTGCATTTCTCAAATTGTTAGATTGTATTGCTTTCACATAAGACTAAAATCAAACTGACCTCGATAAAAACAAATAACGTCAACCAATTCCAAAATTGCGCTTGTCACTAACCCAAATAAACACACAAATAATATCCCGGCTTATAAATACTTGAGGATTTGGAATGTTTGATGGACCCAGGGAATCTCGAAAAAAAAAAGAAAAAGAAAAGAAAAGAAAAACAATGTGAACCTGCCTTCGAAAGGTCAAAGGACGAAACTGGCGATCATATGTATCACGCAAAAAATAATGAACATAACTTCACAATACATCGGAAGGAGATACAAGTCAGTAAGTTGATTCATCAACGACTGAAATCCGTGAATTAACAAAACATGACATTGCTCTTTTTGATCACTAAGAATACCGCATTCCACTGAAAGAAGTTTACATATGTGTCCGGAGGGTTTACTCTTAGAACTTCTGGGTGGACATGTGACTTAAAGAAGCTAAACTCGTAGGTTATACTAAATCGTATTTGCCTTCTAGAAAACGGCAAGATCAAGTTGTACTCAGGCCAGAAGAGGGTTCTACTTTGAAAGGAAATCAAAGCTTTGAATACAAAAATTACTAGTTTGTAAAAAGTATTGTTACATTTGATCTGTTTCCATGATTACTATTCCAAATGAAGGCCAAAATTCTGTGAATTTTATCCCTACCCTTCACCACCACCACCACCAACCCCCCCCAACCCCCCCCCCGAAAAGGTGCTAGACGGAAAAACGTCTTGGCAGTAATGTAAACACTACTGCTATATTGCGGTGCAAAATAATTAGCTAAGCGAATAAATACATGATAAAAGAGATCTACGCCGAAATCACGATATCTCAAAAAAAAAATTTTAAACACGATCCCTATTCATTGCAAGCGAATAACATCAAATGGCCTTCTTCAAGTGTGATAATAAGTTCATGATAACGATTAGCTGATTTAGAACGCATCAATTGAGCTTCGATTTCATTTCGTTCAATACAGCAATACGTTAAACATCTTAGAGATGCGGAAAGGCGGACAGGCGGAAAGGCTTGATATATTGTAGTGACAGACCCGCCGGCCTAATACAACTATTGAGCGTCAAGTAGTCGGACTGCAAATATCAACCGCGAGTTCTTCATTCTAAGCTTAAATCCTTCAAGGAAAAACATACACCACAACTTATTGATACAGGTTGGTTTAACATCAGGGCGAGATTAAGCTAGATGACACATTTGCTGCAAATCCAAACAAGCACAGAGTGCACTGAAATAACAGTAATGATGATGATAAGGTAACTCATAAATCAAAACGGATTGTTGTATGAAATTCATACAACAGAGATGAATGTACTTCACATATTTGCCGCGATTTCCGAAAAAAAAAGCACAAGGAAGACTTTGCCAACATAAATAATGACTGTAAAAGTAAGTTTCACTAGAATTTGTGTCTATAGGAGTGGCGGGTCTTGACCGAGGGTCAGACATAACACACAAACAGCACTTCTTGTGATCGTAATGTTACTGATTAGGTCATAAAAGTGAATACTTAGGTAGCTGAGCATTTTCCCGGTTCACGAAAGAATTGTCGGTTATATTCGCATTTTTCTTTCGTCAAGATCCGAAGTTTAAATCGTACTGTGCATATCAGCATTGAAACTGCTTTAGAACGTTCAAAAACTGATTTATTACAAACCAAGACCTTAACACAATACTATGGTAAATTTAGAAATCCAATTTTTTGGCTTTATTGTTTCCCACAGATTTCAGAATAAAAGCTTTGTGGCTTTGCGGCTTTGCGGCTTTGTGGCTTTGCGGCAAATTTGAAACTGATGTTAATTGTGACTTGCGGTTTTCGAAATTATTTAGCAACGAGAAAACGCGATAATGCTTCACAGAGTTGACAAATTTTCATAAGTTCGGAAAGGTTCAATTCATAAAGTTAATTACATTAATCAACACCTCCGTAAAATCTAATTATTTCGATTGAAATAAATTTTAAGGTTACGGTTTGCCCGAATTGTCTGTCAGTGTCTTCTAACGTGCCTACAAGGAAAAAAGCCGCACATAGTCACGCAAGAAATTATTTCGCGTCATGCAATCTTGCCTAATCATAGGTTTATCACAGAGACATGAGTGAAAGACAGTTTCAAACCATAAACGGTTGGCGCTTGAATTAATTTAGGGTAACGACTTGTCAGGAATACAGAACTCCTGGAGACCGAAACGACTAAATACACAATCACACAACGCCTAAAAAATTCAAAAGTCACCATTCAGTGCACAGTATATCAAGGGTTTTGTGTATGAGGAACGTCGGTTTTTTAGAGAGCACCTGCCACCCTCACTTCAGTCCTTGACGATACATAGCTACGATGGCTTCATTCATATGATGTTCAATATGGAATTTAATTATCAATAGAGGATCTTTCTGCAAGGATCCCTTATGATTATCAGCTGAAGATAAACAGAAGCTGCGAAATTCCTACAGATCAATCCCTTGAGTTTCATAATGCAATTATAAACTGGTATCAAATACGAGCTAAAGACCATGATTTGCAACTAAACCGCACGTTTAGATCTAACAATACCGCCTATACTTTTTCCATGGAAAATTACAATTATCCTGGTTTTGCGAGGACATCTCGGTTAAAATGCACCTGTAAGGTAATGACTGCAAAAGCAACAACATTGCCCGCAATTCTCCACATTAATTGAGTCCGGTAATTTGCTTCACCTGGGAAGTCAACCGTACGAATGACAATTTGCTATACAGACATGAGACATCTCAATAAACAACGATAAACACGACATCATGGTACAAACGCGAATTTCTTTGTTTGGCTTGCAAAGGGCAGTGTTAAGCAAAATCGTTAGCTGAAAACGACCTCCACGTTGACTTTGAAATTTTCATTTTCATTTTGTTAAGTTCTACAGATACAAATACCTGCCTTGTTCCCTTGGCAGTAAGGTCGCCACATCACAAATCTTGCCGAGTCTAGAGTCTTAAATCTTCACTTGCTTGGAGGAGATATAGACTGGAATTATTTCTTGTCGGCTTTTCGTGGTCGAGTAATTTTAATAAAGCCAGAAAAACTAGGGGTGGCTATTACATGCATTTTGGAGATGAAAAATAAAGCAAGCTGTAGCCGCATGTTCAATGCCTTCAAAGCTAGACGAAATTAAAGACGTATCGGTAATCCAATGTTTTTGCAATAAGTTTAGATTAATATCTTCTTTCTTCGTGTATTTATCACCTACACAAATACTATCTAAATTCGAAATAAGAAAAACACTGTCAGCACTTAATCCACGTCCTCTCTTGTGACAGTATGAATAAATGTGGACCTTTTCATGCCATCTTTCATTTTATAATTGATACATATTTTTTTTCAAAGTTCTTCTGCCATTTTGAGTATTAACTTAACTGCACAAGAAAACTGAAACGTTTTGGAAGACATAGCAACAAAGGTTTTGTATTAACGAAGATGTTGGCATTCAAACCCATCGGAAAGTGTTTTACTGGGCTTTAAGTTGGTTTAACGTCAAAGGCCAAGATTTCTTGTGCGTCAAAGGCGAAGGTTTCTCATGGATGAAGCATCGCTTTTGCGCTTTTCGTTTTTCCTTTTTTGCTTGCCGCTGAACATAATTTCAACCAGACAAGCACAAAGACGTCACTTTCTGTCTCCTGGACTGATCAATGACGTAACAATCACCACAGCTCAGTTCTTCAAAATTCGGGGAAAAGTGTATTGAGTTTCAGCGGGAAAACAACACCAAGCAAAATATTAAGGCGCGGTTACCCACACACGTTAAATTTCCATCAGTATGCGCAAAGTAACTTGGAAATAAGCGTCCAGCAAACAGCTGTAACGCAAAATTGGTAAATCGTTGAAAGAAGTCACTTGTCGACGCGATCAACAATACGAAAAGATTTATAAAGATTTCTCAAGCCACAAATGGGGTCGACCTATTCTTTATATGGTAATTTAGTGTTAACGACTGAGTTGAAAACGAAAATTGGCCACCGAAAAGAGTAAAAAAGCTGACGTTTCGAGCGTTGGCCCTTCTTCATAGCGATTGGAGGAATTTTGGGTTGTGTGTGGGTTTATATGCAGAAAGCGGAGCTACGCTATTTGTGGGAGTATGGCGGCGAGAAAACAAGAATAAATTAGAGGTATGAAAAGCACTCGTTGATATTGTGGGCATCACTTGACACTCTTAATCCCTACGGTATCAACGAGCCCTCTTCATTCCACTAATTTATTCATGTTTTCTCGTCACCATACTCCCACCAATAGCGTAGCTCCACTTTCTGCATATAAACCCACACACAACCCACAATTCCTCCAATCGCTCTGACGAAGGGCTAACGCTCGAAACGTCAGCTTTTTTACTCTTTACGATGGCCAATTTACGTTTTCAACTCAGTTGTTAACACTAAATTACCTGCTATACTCCCCCACCGACGCAGCTCTACAGTTTCTTTAGAAACTTGCCACCTTTATTCTTTACATGCAACGGTTTTTGCTGGTCCAAAAGGAAACTCGAAATCTTTTCAACAGAACACAGAGTAATGAAGTGTAGTACTACTTTAGAAACGCTGCGTACACAAGTTTTAAATTTCGTCAATAATTGCTAAAAATTTGTACAAAAAAATGTCAGCATTCCGTACAGGAGAACATGATTTAAATTTCATGTCATGTCATGAGAAATATTTAACCATTGCGCAGGTCACACAATCGATCAAAAAGACACTGCTACTTTACCTTAATAACTTTAGCTGGTGAGATAAGACGACCTCGCAACTGATCCCAACAATCGACTATAGTAAAACCGAACTTCACAATATACTCCATATGAACCCTTGGCGGTATCAAAACTGACACTGGCAAGCCTTACGATGTCGGTTATATAGATCTTTCTCGAGAAAAAAAAAAAAAAAAAGAAAAAAACTACCGCTTCGACTTCCCGTCACTAATCCCTCCACGATAATTGCTGATTAAAAGGCAGAATATATCTCTGAATCGATGTTTAATGGAATTTGCGGAAGTTTTCCGCCATTTGAGAGTCCAGAGTCTCTCTCATTGCCATGTGACGTGACGTTGTCAAGCAATAAACTCTTTTCGCGGCCTAACCTCTTCTGTCATCAAACCGCTAAAACGTAAAGCGGACGCTTCGAGGGCAGGGGTAAACACCTTTTCAAATCTGGACCATTTGTTTATTTCTATTTTCGAAACAAAATATTGAAAAAAGATGTTATGCGTAGTAAACGAGCAAGTAACTTACCCACAATTCACCAGCCCTCAACTTGAAAACGAGTTCCGTACGAAGAACTTACTCATATTAGTGCACAATAATTCCCCTATACCTCTAATAATCTTAAAAATTGAACTTTCCTCGGTGAAGAAACAACAATAGACAGAGAGGGTACGAAATTAGTCTGACGATTAGAACACGTTGAAACAAATTCAAGATCAGTATTGGGCAGACTTAACAACAAGATTTTGATAAAAAAGATTACGGATTTCACTAACGTTACGCACGTGGCATTAGCGCTATGACACTGACGATAAAAAATAATGAAATTAATAGCAATGAAATTCTCGAATCTGCTTGTGCCAAGCTTTTAGCTTATGACATTAACAGATCCATAATAAAAAGAAAAAATATCCCGATTTTGAATCAATCAAAAGTGACGTCAACGGAAATGGAAAATCTCGATTATTAACAACAGTAGAGGATAAGCTAAAAAGTGATTAAAATGAAGACAATTTCAAGATAACATGATAAGAAGAGGAAGGGTCAAGACTTTGAACGTGATCGTTTCTTCCACTTCCGCGGTCTGTCTGCGGTCGCATTTTTCTGCACAGAAGACATCGTACATTCCATATCGCAAAATGCTCACCATTCCTTTTTCTTATGAGAAGCAGCTGTATTACGATGGGCATGTGTAACAATTAGTCTATTACCTAGTATCTATCAGAAGTTGATAAGGTAGAATTACCCGCTGCAGGAAATTCTGTAAAGCAGGCACTATCTCCAAGAGCCCTATATTAGACCGACTTTCGCGAGGAAATGTTAACAGCACTTCAGCTGGATCCAAGAAAACCGCACAGCAATGGATGCGCTTGTTAAAAACAAATAACAAAGCTGAGGAGAAGAGATAAACTTCAGAAGCCAGAAAATATATACAGGAGTGAATTTCCTTGATAGTCTTTTATAGACAAACAAAAACAACGTTCCAAATCTTAATTTATATGATGAATACAACGACAACACGAAAAACAATCCGAAAAACATGTGCATTATTTTTCAGAGGAGGGTGATATATTGTGTTCCCTTGTACCACTCCAAGTCGGTTGAAGAATAGTAATTTCTGACTCAAACCCAGGCTCGTTAAAACACTTAAGGGTTACAAAAAGTGGCAAGAACGCACGAATATTGGCACGAAAATCACTTTCAGACACAAACGATCCGTCATGGCAATTGACTGAATCCAAAAGAAAAATGTAACTGACTATGACTATGAAACAGCGACAAAACACATCCCTAGAAACGTAGCTTATTAGGGGAATAGACGACCTTAAGTGGAAGGATTAAAACAGATTCTTTATGAGACTGAATAAAAATCGGCCTACCAACATGGCAACAAGCTTACGACTCTCAGAATTGTCTGTGTGAGCTTGCTGTGAAACGAAAGATGGGAAACTGCGTCTACGATAGCTATGGCTAATTTTGGAACGACAAAGACTTTAATGGGACTAAGAAGGAGATTTGGATCAGATATCAAGATTAGCAACAAAAACAACAACAAAAAACAGCTTGCCAGCAGTGGAAGATCCACCCCAGTGCACCGCACACCGCATACAATTTTTTCCTCGTTTCTCTTGCTCCCTACATCTACCAAGCCTGTCTCGTTATTATTCACTTTTCCTCTTCAAACCAGCGAAGTAACTACATCAACATTCGACAACGTCAATATTCTCGAAATTACAGAAGAGGAATTCTAAAATATTCTTGACAGTCTATGTGTTTCAATAGGATTTGTTAGGTCGATAGGTCAACTATATACTAAAATTGGATTAGCATGAACACATGCACGCAAGTAAACAGGAATAACCACAGACACCTCAAACGCACGAACAACCGAACAAACATCTCCTTGACAAACAAAACCTTTGTTAGGATCGACACAAGGATGTCGTTCAATGCAGGAGAATTTCTGTAACATCTACCATCTCAAATGAAGTTTTGGTATCAAAGTGATGCAAGACTAACGAGTAAAAATAGACAGCGGTCTCACACTTTCTGAATTATCCCTTACTGAATCGTAACGCATTGTTTGAACGTCTTTTCCTGGTATTTGGTCTTCTCTGCAACTTGTCCACTGGGATTCAAAAAAATTTAGGTAAAAATCTAAGCTGAGGTCGCTTACTGATGCTTACACCAGGAAGGAACTCGAAATTCCATTCGCTACCTTCCTAAAGGTGCCCTCATCTGATTTATAAATTTGACCTACAATTTTACCAGCAAAGTAAAGATGCAATTTACTTGAACATAAAATAAGAGGTTCCAAAAACTTTATCCCGAAGGACACTTACATAATGAATTTCACGGCTTATCTTAAGCATTGATCGCTCTGCTTCAAGGTTTCTTACGGGACAGTTAACGAAATAAGATCTTGTCACTTACGTGTATTGAATTTTTTTCCAGTTTTTGTTTGTTCGCTTGTAGTGTTAGGCGATAAGAAAACGTGTTTTAAGAAACCTTTTAGGCCCGGAAGCTCATCTCGCGTTGCCTGGGTGATACTTGAAATTTATCGTTCAAATTATAACAGAAATCCTCTATAGGAACGCGAATGGTGAAAAATAGACGAAATATAAGCAAACAAAACATCTGGTGTAAGTATATAAGTACAACTTGGTTCAGGTTAAACTGAGAACGTTTTGATTGGGAAAAAAAGGTCATCTATCTGAGATAACTGAGGAAATACTATTTCCTTTTTTCTATAAGGACTGCAACATGCAATATGACTTCATGCTGTCAGATTGGAAAATAAATAGATGTTATCAAGAAGCCGATAAATTTAAGTTCATTTTCGCCAGGAAACTCAAACAATCTTTCCTTCAGCAATTGCCTAACATCCTGCACATACTTTGTAAGTGAATTGTTACGTAATAGAAAGTAACATATTACGAATTCAGGAGAACTCCTCAAGGGAAACCCTTAAAAAGTACACACATGTACATCTCTGCGTAACTTTAATGGCTGATAACTTTTCGTCTCCCAAAAGTATTAAGGGAAAAAACACTCCAAAAACAGCTCGTTCCAGTCCCATATTTAAGGTAAACACAATCTTCGAAAGCAGATGTTGCTTACTTCCTGCTTAAATCTAACGGATGCATATTGATAAGGTGCAGTTGATTGGTTTGGCCATTAAAAGGTCACGAGCAGCGGATTTTTTCAAAGAGAAATTGAGCGGCTTGGCAGATTTGAAAAATGGCATAGATGGCAGGTCAGCTGAAAATTTTAGGTCGGATTCTTTTTGGGTCTGTGTGCAAGTTAGAATTGAGGACTGCATTTCCAGTTTTCAGTTTTGACGCCTCAAGCTTTTCCAACCTACAGACCTAACAACTTAGCAGCTACGTCTGTAAAAAATCACATAAAAATTATGTTCTCAATCGATAGCCAATAGCCTTAGGGTAATTTACTTTAAGTACTATCTAAACACTGCTGAGGTACTCATTTTTCATGTGAATTTAATATATTCCTAAGAGAGTTTCAAAGTCATGCCGATCCAGATTTGAACAAAAATAACTTCGGATCGACGTACGTTATATATTGTTATACCCCTTCATATAATCATTCTTCTCAGAAATGAATACGCGCTTCTAAAAGAACTATTCTTAAATTGTTTTCAATGAAGTAACACTAAACATCAACATCTCCACCGATTAAGACTGAATGGGGGACAAAACCGTGGGGGTGGTGGAGAGGTAAATTGGTAAGCGTTTAAACACAAGCGTGTTCATCTGGTTTCAGCGACAATAAGCACTAAGTGTAATAAGCACCTAGTGTATTCCAATCAAAACTACTTATAGTTTCAATGTTTTGAGGCTTGAAACTGATCTTTTTTTAACCGAGGACGAAGCAATAGATTCCGAACACAATGGGCCAAAAATTAATGTCGTGTCTTCGAAATATGAGTGGAGAATCTCAAAACAGTTTCAATAAGAAACTCACAAATCAGGGCATCAAAGACAGCTCAAGAACAATAACAACAACAAAATAAACAAACAAAAATTAACGATCCATGTTGCGCGAATACATAATATGTGCTGCCCTAATGCGACAATGGGCGTGCAACACATAAGCGAGAGAACTTTCAAGCAATATACATTTTAAGAAGCTATCTGACCCATGCAAGGACAGATGACATCAACGAACCTAAACAGAATGTACAAGCCACTCATAAAAGTAAGTTCTTTATCTTAACATGAAGCACGAATTCTTACCAAAAGTTGTCAGAAATAATGGCTGTCAACAGCCTAAGAAACAAACATTTCAAATGATAAGTTCCTCATACCTCATTCTCGGCTTCGATAACTTCCTCTTCTCGGTCTTTCACCATCTGAAAGGATAAAACCATTAACAAATCTGATATTTTAGAAAGCGCTTTTCGACTGAAAGTCGAGAAACAAGATCCCAAGTAATCACACAAGACAAGAATATCACAAAGAGCCTATGGGAACTCAAAGTAAAAAAAAACAAAAACAAAACACGAAGATCCTGGAACGAGGTAAAATGTAGGAGACCAATTCGCAATTGGTTTGCCATTGGTTCGCAAATGGTTTCCGGTTTGGATCTGAATTGTTGGAAAAGAAAAAGGTTTTTCAAGGCAATTCACACAAAGGAATTTGGTTAAACTAATGTAGCCCGGGATTTCATTCGACACTCAAGTTTTAATGATCGAAAGCAACTGCGCTAGAGTTATTTCATCATGAATCATTAACACGCGTGACGTCACGGTGACGTCAGATGGTACTAGGTATTACTCACAGTGTAAGATTCGTAATCAACTAAACGGAATCCAAACGGACAAACCTGTTTAAATTTTGAAACTACTTTTGCCAGTTCTGCGTAATCACGGTGAGTTTCAGACGTCTTTTCCAGCAAGTTGGACAAAATTCTCTCGCACTCCAAGAGATGTTGAACCTGCAATCAAAAGCAAAAGGCATTCAATGATACAATCCCCATTCAAGACAATGCACAGCTATATTCCACAAAATTCTATTGCTTAAGTTGCATCTTAACACTGCAGCTTCTCGTTCTAATGAACGGTACCTATTGCAACTTCTACCAATTGCCCACTGAATTATTTCTGCGTTTATCACCGCTAATGATCTGGCGCTTTCAGAATTTTGTGGTTCCATTTGAATGGTATTGGAAGATACTGGTCGTAAATGATTCTCCCTGGAGCCAGGTATCTATGTGGAGCACAATTTGGTGATGCACTACTGCACATAGCTGGTGTTTAGCTTGCATTTCAACTGAGTGTCGTGGAACCAAAACTTATGCGATCCCATATGGCTTACGATGTTCAACTGAACATTGCTCTTTAACTGTAAAAGGGAAATTTTAACAACTTGTTTGCCGAGTTGAATTTTCGTAACCGGAGCCATTCGTCAATTTAACAAGCGGTTTCAAAAACTATGTAGGAGAGGAGAGAAAAACGTCGGCAAAAACTTCACATGATTCAAGCCATAACACGTTGAGAGATTACTCTGTCGGAGATCTATCTATTTTCAAAAAAACCTCTCCACGTTTTTCTCTCCCTCACAATTCTCCTCATTTTACTGAAGGACAAGCTTAACACCAACATGTGAACTCTGAACAATCGATTTCTAAGTTCAGTTTGTGAAGCGATGTTGGTGAGGTTTGTCGTCGACCATTTCAGTTCAATCACACCGAAAACACACATACTTCTCTTTAAAATACAACATTAAAGCTTCCAAAGAAATGTTTTTGACCTTTCATCCCGTTTCTACATCTCTTTGAAAACGCTTAACCAAACAACTCAAGAAGAACTCATGTAGATTCCGGCATATTCAAGTGGATCCAATTATCTTGAAAACTCAGTATGCACGCTGCACGAGAAGGAGCTTCTCATTCCAACATTACAGCGACCAAACCCGATGCATTTCCATGCAAGAACTCAAATTCGGCTAAATTATAACAATCTTCTCTAATTCAGCGTTCAACCAGGTATCTCCGTGATTTTTTTTAACATTGAATTTGCAGTTTTAGACATCATTAAGTGTAACAATTACCCACTTCGCTTTCAGTCATTTCAAGAGAGCTTCCATTGAGGTACATGTAGCAACTCTGTTAAGTTCAAAGACAAACGATGTACAAAATCGCTTTTGTGAAGTTAAAACTGGTGTTTAGAACAAAATTTTCAATCATAAACTATAAGCCACAGAAGAACATATAATCAACAACCATAGAATTTAATCAGCATTGTCTGAATATAATCATGATAAGAAAAATTCAATTGAGCATGCCTGTTTGAATGTTTGGAGTCTTGTTACAAGGTGCTCCTCTATATCCTGTGTAAACAAGCTCCTATCACAAAACCAAACGAATTTCGAATACTGCGACATACATGTTCAAAGACCGACGATTATTGTTTGTCTGCATTACGACCAAAACATTCCATTTGCAAGGGACAAGATTGCAGGAGAACAACGGAGCAGAATTGTTATTCCAGATATTTCCTGGAACGGAAGTGTCGGCATTTTTGAATGAGCACATAACCCAAAGTTCCTAAAATAGAACCAGCGAAATTCTTTGCGGAAAAAAAAAGCCGAGGTCGACTGATCCAGATCTAAAGTTTAAGAATTCATGACAGCAATGTAACTCTCAAGGATGTCGGCTTTTCAGACCAACGACAACATTTCTCACGGGTTGGCTTTTTTGAATCAAGGAATCTAATCTAACCCTAAAGCCGTCGATTCAAATTGCAATACTGAGTGCCATACTCTACAGAACTATGTGGCGAAAGCGTCAATACCGGCCGTAAACACACAAAACAATTCATCGTAAGTGCGTAACTCCAATCAAAATATTGGCCAATTAATTTTCTTACCCGAAATGTTGAGCTTCTTCGACCTAGCCTAAGTGAACTTTTCCATCGTTTTGCTGCCCGAAAACTCTTCCGAATCCTATTTCCAAACTTGCTCAACCGCCTTCTCCGCTGAGGAGACATACAGGACGGCAGGAACACGGGAGTCTTTGTCAGACACTCGATGCAACAGGCTTGTGACACAGTGAAATCGGACGTGTGTGACTCTTGTAACTCGGATCATATTTCATTTTCGTCGACGTTCACTCAGATGTCACCTTTTCGCTTTTAAATTGGGTATAAAACACAAACACTCTCAATTACGGCACACACACATTTCGACCACCCGCAAAGAAAAGTAGAAATACTCCAAAGAGAAAGTAAAGATCAAGGCAGTCACGGTTTTTCTTCGTTGAAAAAACGAAGACCAAAGAACAAGGAGTTGAAATTGTCTGCGTAATGTTAGTTAACTTGACATGAACTTTAAAAATCCGTTAATTAGCTTTATTTTAACCAAAACAAAACTATCTTTTCAGTTTTTGTGGCTAACTGCCTCCTTGTGGAGGCGAAGCCACTATGTTGTTTTGTTTTGCTACAGATTTACAAGGCTACCAACGACCGTTAAATAGAGGTGACCGCTTAATAGAGTTGGAAATTATAGCGATCAAGGGGAGAACAATTCGAGACTTTGAAAACTGACCGCTTAATACAGAGCTGCTTAATACAACTTCGAAACTATTCACGGTGGCCTAGTTACATTATCAACTCAGTTAATAAAACCAAAATTAAGCTGCTTAATACAAGTTCGACTGTACTTATAATTTGAAAAACTGCAGACACTCAAATGCTTAAGGATATTGCGATAGTGTGCGGTCGTTTCACTTTCGCAAACTTTATGCATGACGCGTGTCACACATGAACTAGTAGAGTCTCTGTGTTAATCGGACGGTCTGAGGTTCGATTCCTCTTGAGAACTAAGACATTTTTCTTTGTTCCATGCTGTAACAAGATGGCGAAACATCATTTTCTAAATCATCAGTTTTTCGCTCAAAATTTCCCCTTAGTCATACGATTCAGACAGAGATATTCCCAATTATTCGATTCGCACTTACCGCTCAAAAAGTGTCTTTTTGCGAACACTTAAACAGTGCTCTCCCCCCATACAAGTCATGATTATTACTTTCGCTAAAAAACGAATTTCAAATGTTTCGGAAAAAGGACCAATACAACAAATACCTCAACAACCTCTTCTCTCAAACCAAATACGACTTTATCTACAAAGACGCTGTGTCCGGCCTTGTTAAAATAACCAAAAAAACCCCTCATAAACGATCTTAATTTTCTCCCCAGACGACCCATGATATTTCACCCTCCTCACTTTGAATTGAGAATGAATTGTGAACGGGTGAATCTTGATTTGAATTTATTAAGTAAGGAGTCCACGCACCAACATCTGTCATCAGTTCGTGGTTTCTTTAAACTATGCGTTAAAGAATCCACGCACCAACATCTGTCATCAGTTCGTGGTTTCTTTAAACTATGCGTTAAAGAATCCACGCACCAACATCTGTCATCAGTTCGTGGTTTCTTTAAACTAGGCATTAAAGAAATGCAACATTCAGCACTTTCTCAAAACGTTTTTAGGAACACAGACAATTCCCTGTTGATAACCTTGTCCCAGAGCAATGAATATCAAAGAACTGACTTCAATTAAACAAAACAAAACGTTGTGTTGAAAACATTTGTAATCCAAGTTTTTTTTCAGTTTTCCTAATTTTAGAAAAAATTTAAGGATCGTGAGTCGTTAAAACATCCTTTCTAACATTTGACTTGTGGTTAGGAAAAAAGGGGCAAAGGAAAGAAGATGATGAAATTCAAATTACGGAGCTATACTTAGGACCTGAAATCGGAACTGGGTCAAGTTGGAGAAAAAAAATTAACAACTATCTCTTTGGTGTGCGAAAGCACAAACTTTCAAGTGAACTCATCAACTTTATTACAATACCCAACAGAACAAATCAGTTACTTTCAGCCCATGTTTACAAATATTTTCTATGTCTTTTCGATTATTCTTTTCTATTTGTCACGTTACAAAAAGTTAAGACGAAACAAGAACATCACGAGACAAGGAGGAAGTCAAAATCTCCGCGTGAAATGTCACACGTTTTTGCCGTTTTGCTAAAAGTGACGAAGGCGTTCTCGGAATCGGTCACCTAGTCGTCTTCCTATATCATTTTCGCTTTCGCTCTCGTTATGCAACTTTTTTGCAATAAGATCAAGTTGCAAAATAATCACTGATCTTAATGGATCACTTCGGTCCCTACATTTTCTCAACTTTGTGAATGACAGGACAATTTTTTCATCGTGCGCGATGGCATTTGAAAGTTCTGGATTGATCATCTGTTTGGAATACACTGTTGACCAAAAGCTGCCAGTGTTTTTGTCGCGTTCGAAGGAAATTAGTGGGAGTTGCAAAGAGGTTTTATAACATAGCGCGCGTGCTTGACCTATATAAGTCCTATTGAGCCGCTATAAAAAAAATCTTTATTTACGCACGCTAATAAGATGACGTGAGCAAGAAACCAGCGTAGAATTGCCCAATTTTTCCATCGGCATTGACCTTTTAGGTCCTGATCCAACAAGCAACAAAAATAAAGGCGAAAAAAACTCGCAAGTTGCACGTTTCGCAAATTTGTCGGAAGATCAGCTGCAGCAAATTTTGGCCGAAAGACATTCACTGGGAACAAAAGTCACCAATTGGTCATTAACAACATTTAACGGTAAAATTTCCGTTTTAATTGTTGTTCTTAAATTTGTTCAACCTGGGGAATAAAGTACACAGTCGATAATTGGGAATTGACCAAAACCAAAACACTATCACAATAAAAGGCTTCTTCGCGCAGATCCTAGTTGTCGCTCTGTTATAAAAGAATTTGCTCATGCTTTTAGGTGTGCGTATATCGAGTTATGGATGCAATTGGGAAGTTTGGAGTGCACTCAAAAAGCTAGAGTTGCTCTCGGCTGCGCCTCGAGTTACTCTTACGCACTTTTCGTGCTCTCCAAACTTCCCACGTGCATCCATAACTCGATATACGCACGCTAAGCAGGAACAAATTCTTAAATAACAGTTTCCAGATCGATTTGAAATAGGTATGAGAATTTTTAGAAAGATGGATTTCACTGCGTAATTGGTTGAAATGCGAGGGTCAATGGAATGTTCGAACGTCCTTTTCCTGCTGTGACGTAATTGTCGACCAATTTGTTGATCGAGGTGATGGCCTGCTTTGACAAAGCCTCTCGTTTTTTTTAAAAAGTCAGTGTCGTCACCACACAAACGATGAAGTATAGGAAAATGAGAAAAGAGAATGGAATTCTTGTCCTGTGATGGAAGTGAAGATGAATACCGCCTACAAAAAACTATCAGAGACTGTAGTACACACTGGTGCATGGACCTTTGCTTTCGGGAAAAACATTGATAAAAAAGTCAGAGGAGTCAGAAACTTCCCTGGAATGTTGTGGAGGTGAGTGACAGGAATTGACAGCGTGTATATATTGAATGAATCCCTCTCTGGCAGAAGAAGTAGCGCCGATACAGTGGTCAAAGTAGCGACCATATAGAGCTCAAGATTAAGGCCGTTGTACCGATTGAAAAATTGGTCTTCAGTGTAACCTACAAAAAGATTGTCGTGGCTGGGTCCCATTTTGGTACCTACGGCCACACTATCGGTTCGTTTATAGTAGTTGTCCCCGAATAAAAAAACAGTTGAGGGTTAATATTAGTTCAGCTTGACGGAGTAGTCTTCCGAGCTATGTTTCTTGACTGTGCGAGACTTTGAACATCTAAAGCTATTTGGCGTAAAACTTTTCAAGTTGGTCATTTTCAATTTGTGTTAATCCTCGGCTTCCTTAGCTTTTCTTCTTTCTACTTGGTTAATTTTTACCTCTTAGGGAATTGTTTCCACGAGGATGCAATTCTTCCAAGGTTTAATTACATTAAAGACAATTCTTCAAAGTAATGTAACCTAAATGGGCAACTGAATTTTTTTCTACTTAAAATGGTACCGCTCTAAATTTGGAAGAGAATGTGACGAATTTTTATTCAAATACTTGCGCGGAACAACGCGCAAGTATTTGAATAAAAATTCGTTCGGATTGAAACAATGCAATATAATTCAATATTATTTATTTTAAAAATAGACCTGTAATAATTACCCTGCACTTCAAAAGGCCCGAGTTTTGTATGTTTCTTTAGGCCGCAAGTAATTAATCAAATTGCCCTCGTTTTAATGCACAAAAAAGAATCCTCACTGTTCGTGTAACAAACCACGTTAAGAAACACAGGAACGTTCATCTAACGAACTGCAAACACGCGAAAGCAACAAATATTAAACGATGATAATGTTATCCCGTGCAGATCTAATCGCCGTTTGATCAGAGCGCTTCAACACTTTATGTCGCCAGCTGAGTAGAACACTGCAAGAAGGTCAGAAAGGTCGGTTCTAGAAATTAAAATGAGCACATTTAAACAATGACTGCTTTTCAATAACTTTTGTCTACGCGACACATTGGCTGCAGTTTGTTATTTCACTGCGAAACCATTGCGCTCTTTCTGTCACTGAAAAAAAAGTTCAGATGTTTTCAATTATAAAACGTAGGCAAGTGATGAAAGTTCTAAAAACTCGAAACTAATTTTTTTTATCTCATGGTGATCACAAGGCTGAGAAAACAAATTAGACAAGCCTTGGGCACACTCGATTATGAGATATCGCTTTAAAAAAAAAATAACCATTTAAGGAGAAGATTGATGAGCGTTTGTAAATGACCACGACTGAAAAACAATTCTATGATTGAATGTTGTAGAAACAACAATGGTATGTCAAGACCACAATGAGTCGACAAGAAATACATCCAAAGAAACGTTTTACTCGAAGGAAATCTAATGGTCTTAGTCATATTCAATTGATACCACAACGAGTAAAACGAAATTTTAGGAAGGAGGAGTAAAAATTTCCATAGCATTGTGGATACACCTGTGGTTGCCTCTGGCGCCCGTCCATCGACATAAATTGATTCCTCCGAATTACCCCAGAAATATAAGCACAATTTGTTGATCAAATAAGATATAAAAACTGCATTTTGGCAGATAGTATCAGAAAATCAGAAAATAAACAAACACATAGACACCGATTAATATGAAAACCGATAAAGATCACAAAGGTCTACCGAGATTAAAATACCAACGAATGGATGTTATCTGTTCTTGAATGTTTTTCAATTTCAAGTTAATCAGCTTTTCTCCTCACCAAGACAGATCAATCTAATGTTTGTTAAGTTACAATAACGCCAAGTACTGATTCTAGAAAAGTGAATTCATTGGTGTACTTGGCAGGCGATATTTTCAACTGGATTGTAGGCAGTGGCTCTCAAAACTTCAGACCAAAAACCACAGAGGAATTCAATGAAACCATATACCTCAAGGATCAAATTCGTCCGCCTAGAATTGTGCAAGTTACGCTGGAGAAGAAACTTTATTTTAGCAAAGTTTTATATTTTCTGTTAGGTTGTTGAAGGTATCATCAACTTCTACAGTGCTGAAATATATACAGTGGCGATCTGACAAGAATCAAGATTGTCATCATCTAATCCTCTTGGAAATCTCGCCAATTTCAGTGTGTAGCTTTTTTTTTTTTTTAACGTTTCCATTTTTTTTGTACGGAACCTCAGCAAGAGGTTTCTTGCATGTTATAAAATTGTAAATTTTGTAACGATTCAAGCAACTGTACCAGTCTGTTCATTCAACTAAATCATGGCGTGATTCACGATGAAATTATTAAAGGTGAAAGTAGAACAGTCAAAGTTCTCTCGCTTTTAAGAAGAAAGTAACTCGTGATAATGTCTAATCACTGACCCTTTACCTTTCTTGGAGGAGAATCAGTTGGATTCTAACTAGTGACTCACCCATCTTATGGAGGCCGTTCTCAAAACCGCAAGGTATATCTGTATGACTCTCCTTTTAACTCCAGCACACAGAAGACATCGCTTCGCATTACAAACTCACTCTAGGTGCGCGTATGTGGTAATAAATCGACTCAGATATCGCACCAGTCCATTTAAATAAAAACACCGCCATAAAAAGTGGCACCGAGACTAACACAATGCATTAATGAATAAATTGCCTCAACATGGTCAAAAAAAAGAAATACCCACTGGCTTTAACAATAACGAATCCAGCTGAGGCCTGTGTGATCCCCTCTGGTTATGCACAAATGTCATAAATTCGCTGTCATTTTCTCTCTTCTGTCTCATCAGGCTGAAATAGCAAGAGAAAAATCGATCTGCTAAAGGTCTTACAATATTTTTCAACAGCCCACAATCTTTTCTCAATAATTGCCCTGAAGCTTAAAGGAATATTAAGTAACTGCTTTGTGCATGTTTCAAAGTCCATTTGGAAAGCATTGCACTGCTGCCAACCCAACAAAGACAAGCTCCCTCTGGCTGCTCAAACCGACTTTCAATCACGTGTGAAACGTGACTGAGATTACAGAGATTTCGTGACACAAAAGAATAAAGTCCTTAGAAAGGCACGTGCAAAAAAAGAGGGTGAATAAAAAAGAAATCAGAAAAATAACATAACAAAGATAATGACAATAACAAGACATTAGTACTAACAATAATAATAATAACACTTTTAAAACCGTGTTTCCTCCTTGGGTTTTTTAAGCTATGAATCAATCATCGGCTAGGAAAAGAACGTAAGTACAAATGTACAGACTAATTTGTAAGACAAACAACCAAATCGTAGCGTCAATTGAAAAACAGTTTGTACCACTTCGATATTGTTTGGCATGTCTTGGTTGCACGACACAACACAAGTACATATTATGCTCATGATGACAAAAGGTGCCGCTTTGAGACGTCATTCCTCTTAACAACTGTGGCCGAAAAATCCCTCAACCTAGCTAACAGCCATCCAGACACAACAGACTAACAACGCCCCCCTACCCCTCTTAAGAAAGACCTCACCGGCCCAACCCACACCCCGTCCTCTCCTACATCTCTGCCTCAGTCATCCTAACCAATCATCTCACCGTATCCTACAGTAAAAGAAACCTTTTATTTTCTTTCTTATATTCCCCCGACACAGAATGCACGACGCCCTTTGACCACCCCTCTTACCACATATTCAAGAGCTTCCTCAATCTATGATTACAGCAAAGCTTATTAGACAAGATAATTATTTCAACGCAGCTAATCGTATCCGGTTTAAACATGATTTTGCTGTGGCGCACAAGTGTCGTACTCACTCATCACCTGACCCTCAGCAGCCTTTCCGATAGAGTCTCGCGACGAAAATCATCGCAAAGTCTTAGCTCAAGAGACGACTCGCAAGCCTTAATGCGATCTGCCAGTTAGTCGGTGAGACAGATTGCATTTTAGCATGAAACTGCTAAAACTCAGCAGTTGCGATGACACCGTTTAAAGATACAAATTATCAAAACCAGCTTCCTAAGTTCAAAGGGCAAATAAAGGGCATCTCTAACTTCTCAATGAAATAAACAAATAAATAACTTTAAAAACTTCTCAAGTAACCTGATGGGTGTGAAAATATCTGCAAGTATTAACTCACCAGTCCATTAGGTTGCTAAGATGACGAGAAATCTTTACGTACGCTTTAGTGAGCATATTAGCTTCTTCGGAAACTCATTCCAAGAAAGTTAACCTTACTGTAAAAGGAAACTGTTACATACTAACCACAACGCACGAGACCGAGTTATGTAAAAAGCCGTGCACGTGAGAGCCGAAGCAAGCGATCGAGAAAGAACGTGAACAACGAAGTAAACGAGAGATAAGGCACGTGAGAGCTGAAGCACGTGACACGTTACATGAATAAAAACCGAGCCAAAGCAAGTGACCAAACACGAGACTTAGGACCGAGAGAGGCCTTAGGAACCAAGTTGGCACAAACACACACACACACTCAAGAATCCACACAGAAAAGCTCAACGCTTACTTTCTTGCAAACTTGAATGCCAAGTAGTAATCTTCGTACATCTCCCTGAACAAAGGAAACTCTGCATAAATGGCACCTAAACAAAAATAGAATTACAAGTTGGTAAACGCAACCATGAGTGCATCTGAAGAATGATCAAGAATATGCCATAAATGGTCACAAGTTCCCAAGATCTGATTGTTTATTCACCCTTCCAGCTGTGATATGTTTCCATGTAAATTTTTTGGGAGAATTTAGTATTACATCCAGGTAGTAGACTCAAGATAAAAAGTTTCTTTATTGCATTTCATCCTCAGTTTGGAAGATGACACTGTGAGAGGAAGTAATTGCAGCTTGTGCTGGAAAAGGTTCCCCATCAAATAAAAGATTTAACTACACAACTGATTGAATTAAAAAAAAGGGGTTGATAATATATACAGTTTTATTTGTTTACCTATTGCAGTAGAGGCTGAATTCCAATTATTAGCAGCTTCTTCCACCTAAAAATAAAACAATAAAAAGGTACCAAAAATTCACCTTGCACTGTAAGAAATTCCTATTGCATATTCCTGTATAATTTGGCCTACACTGTATTTCCTAATGACTTATTGCTCATAACATTTTTGTGCACCTACATTTTTCTATCTACACTGATACAATAGCACAGAGGCCTGGCTAAGGTTGGGTGTTCTTAGGGTAATGTTACCCACTCTGTATTGTGGCATCACAACCTGACAATCTGGCATGCCCCACATACAAGGAGGGGCCCACTGTTGGACACACCAACCCCCCCTCCCTTCAGAAGAAAATTCCTCCTGTGCACATGCATTATCAAACCAATCATCCCTTTTAATCTGTATAGCTAATAAAGTCTGAATAGAAACCTTATTAAGGAATCAATAAAGAAAAAAAAAACTTACTTTAACATAAAGAGAAGAACTCAAGGTACATATTGGCTCTACATGGGCAAACAATGTATGATGTTCAGCCCTTGAAAGTTTACTTCTGCGCAAGACAAAATTGTGGAAAACAAATGTCAGATCCAGATGAAAATTGTAAATGAAAGACAAAAAGCATTTAATTAGTAAGTTTCATAAAGTGTCTCAGTTAGCAGAATCTTTTGTGTTAGAAATTTGATGTTCTCAGAAGATTTACCACTTTGAGAGGAAATGTATGTAAAAAGATCATTCCCCATTTACCCTTCACAGAAAATTTGCTTTCGGCCCATGATGAAACCATCCTCCGCAAAGTTGCACCATGACAAAAGCAAGGTCCAAAATTGCAACCAGCTGGTTACCAATGCAACTAAAAATTGGTTTTTAGCAACCAGAATTGTATTACCGGTCAACAGTTAGCATTAACTTAAGTCTTGTCAGTGTTCCACATGTGAACTACTGCTCAGGAAACCAAATTTTGAAAATGTCTTTTGCACTTTTATCCATCCAAAAGAGGATCATTCAAAAGAAGGAATATGTTTTAAGGCAAAACTGTTGTCACAATTGTAATATTTCATGTTCTGTTGTGATACGTAAGTGTAAGGAATGGAACTTGTTGACTTCGAAGTTTTTCCACCCACCATTTAGACCAAAATAATGATGGTGCTTCAAACAGATCCATTACTATCAGAAGCATTAAGAATTCTTACTTTAATGGTTCAGCATACAGTTCAAACAGGCTCTTCAAGCAGTCATTGTAAACTTCTTCTGCATAAACTAGCTCTTTCACACAGCGAAGTCTATCATCTTTAACTGGAATGGCAAGACAATCAACAAAATATTTAACATATATGATTTTCACATATTTACAGTCAAAATAAACATAAGTTGGTTTGTAATGTCGAGGATAGGTAAAGTGTTTTAATCAAGAACACAGCATTACACCCAGGCTGGAGCTCAAACTGAACCCCCTTAGAAAAGTAACCAAATTTAGACTGCCCATCATGGGCCAGTTGTTCAAAGGCCAATTATTGCTAACCCAGGGTTAAATTTGAATCCAGGTTTCTACATTTCTTTGTTCAACAGCCATTTTGGGATAATTTTCCCAATAGTTTTTAAAGCATTCAATCTTCAAATTGAAGAAAAATGGAATTACACTGCATCTTCTTTTAGAGCTACAGATTTGAAATCAGACTTCACACAAACCCTGGGTGATCTTAACCCAGTTTTGAACAATGCTGCCCTGGGGTTCAAAGAATATATGGCAAAAATAACAATTAGGTTGAAACTAAATGGCAAATAAGAAAAAGTAGGCAACCCTCTTATCAGTGGCACTAAGTTTTTTTTGTCAGATTATATGCAAGACTAAGAAACAATTCAGTTAAAATGTCCCAAGTATTAAACAAAGTTCACATGAACCTTCAAGAAAATTCTGAACATGAAATGCATTCAAAAAATTAATAACTAGTTAGTGGTGCAGTAAAATCATGCATTCAATTACGCTATTTTTCTACAATTTTCCATGTGGTCTTAAGCTAGAATGAAGTGGGAAAAAAAAATGGCTGAAGGCTACCTGGTGGTTTGGCAGGTCAACCCTGTTTTTGAGTGGCAAAGGAGGTGCACAGTAGAACCACAATTGTACAAGATGTTCCTAGCCAGGAACACTTCATGCAAAGTTGTCCAGACTAACCAACAATCCAAATGTGCACTATTCTACTTCAAACAACTACCTTGTATCAAACCCTTTGTAACAATTAGTGCAGTATATCCACAAAAACTCACTTGTATGAAGATTGTCAAGCTGAAAATTTGACAGCATCTTGTCCACATCCTCAATGGCTATCTCCGCATTCTCTACAGATGTAGCACTTGCTTCAAGATTCAGAAGAGTCTTTTCTGGTAAAGTGCGCACTTGGTAGTTGGTTAAATTGTATTCCTGACAGATTCCAGCAACAAGATCCCTCACTGTCATGTTACGCTCTGCACTCAACTAAATGTGGAAACAAAATACAGAAAACATCACCACATTATGTTTTGCATGCGTGTAAAAATGGCCAACACCACTAAATTGACTTTTTTTTCAGTGCCTTTACTCAAATACTTTGGATCTATAAACCATCCAGTTTTGATATGTTTATTTTTTTTAGGGGAGGGTGGCTATTCAGAAAGGGTAAACACTTTTGAAAAAGCCTCTTCTTCCCTTGTTTTGGGTATTTATGCAAGAATAGTGCAAAATCAATAGCCTTGCATAATGCAACAAAATTTGTTGCAAATACTTCATAAATTATAAAAATTATAAAAATTGTATTCATATTAACTTGTCTTTATGCTATAACTTTAACTTCCATAATCCAAAACTTAAAACTGAAAAAAAAAGAACTAGTATTGCTTCAATTTGTAGAAAAGAGAAAAAAGCAAAAGTAAAATCTGTATCCAAAACAAATTGCCCACTGCACCTAAATGCATCCAAGTTTTCTAAGCATAGAGTGACTACATGTACCTGAAGAATGTATTAAATTAGAGTGGAAATTATCCTTCTCCTCAAGCTTGGTGAGTATTGTCTGGTTATCAGCTTGCCTTTATTTCTATTCATACTGTGTTCAGTAAATATTTTGTCTGTGGTAAATGACCAGTTCTTTTGACTGAAACTACACCTACATTTGTCACTTAGTGGCCTCCCTAATAAAAGGGGCAAGGGCCTACATCACTCAAACACATTTTCTCAGCATTAAATTTCACTACTTTTAAATATGCATGTGAAGAAGTACATTCCTAAGGAACAGAAAAACGACTTTCACAAAAATTTACTAACAAGATGAGAAAAATAAATGCAAAGATACCCTGAGACAAAAAACTTACCATACACTGAGGGAAAATACAAGACAAGAAACACTCATATGAAAAAAGTTTAAATAGACACAAAAAAAAGACACAGCTAAAAGAGACATGAAATATGATATATAAAGGGCAAAAAAAAAAGGTGTTGAAATGATACATGGAAAATGAAAATAATACGTGTAAATGAATTGGTGTGGAAATACAAGACCTATCTGTGAGAGATGAAAAAAAAATCACTCATTTGCCACAGCTGCATTAATTTTGACCAGCATCTTTAATTAACCATTTGATGCTCCAGCTCCCTGATCTTACAGTGGCATGTGTGGATACGTTAACTGCACAGATGAATTTCATTAACACTCAGACACAGGGTAGTCATACATGTATGTACAATGTTTTAGCACGCGTGACTCATGTGCCTTTGTTATTCAGTGCTACAAGTTTCCTTTGTATTACATTGATGTGTGAAACAAAGAACTTTTAGGTTTGAAAAAGCGGCAAGTAGCTTGTAGTTCTCTACTCTGGGTACATTAATTTTTGTCAGCTACATCATAACCTTGCATGGGCTACATTTGCACATGCATGTGCATATCAACTTAGACTATTTCAAGATAAAAAAAAGCAAAACAAACAGAAACAACTCAGTAACCCTTTGGACTCTAACATCAGTATGTATATTCTCCATACAGTTCTCGATACATTTCCTAGGGTGTTAACAAAGAGAATTTCAAAATTCAAGATCTTCTTCAGTTATTGATCATTTCCTTCATTCTTGTGATCGTAATATTCAAGAGTGAAACTGAAGAGAAAAATTTCCATCAGATGCTAGTCCCTGGTAGGGGTCAAAAGGGTAAACTTGAGACAGCAAGAGTTGCGCAGAAGCATCTCTTTAAAATATAAATGTTAGTTTTAAATATTTTTAGATTCTATTACTGTCATGCATACAGAATTATCTTTGAATTATGATCATCTCAAAATTTCTAGTCATGATGGTTTTTTAAATTTTTTTTTGATTAAAACCCTGGATTAGACACTTAAAATAATAAACCCCTTCATATAGTGACACACAAAGCATTTCTCTAGTCAAGTTTTACTCAGAGGTTAACACCAACTTTCAAGAAATGAGTTAAAAATGGTCTCAAAAAAACTACTATGCAATTGCAAAAACATTCAAAAACTATAAAGAGAAGAGAGGCCAGGGATATTTTCATTTGTTATCATTCTTATCTGAAGGGTACTTTTAAATGGTAAATTATATTAACAATGGTGATGGGACTGAGCGGAGTCCAATTTGGTCTGTAATTGGATGACCGCAAAGCGGGAGTCTGATTTGTTAATATCAAGTATTAGTATAGACAGAATTGGATGACAGGATGTTGTGTTACCAAATAATATGAACTATGACAAAATTTGAGAAAGAAACTAGACATCAGTCATAAGTTTTCATAAAAAAGTTACAAGGAAAAATGGGCATATACAGCATGCACACTTGATGCACACTGTCCACTCACACAGGCATGACCTGTCAACTGTCCTGTTACACTGTCCACTCACACAGGCATGACCTATCAACTGTCCTGTTACACTGTCCAATTACATGCATGACACATACACTGTCCTATAGATGCTCAAATCAGGCTGGTTATAACCAATCGTGTTCAAGAATTCTGTTATAGTTTTGATTAATTTTATAATAGCATTTCAGGCTTTTTCAAGCAATTTAACTCTAAATAAAGATATTGAGCTATCTGTTATTACTACAACCAAGGAAGCCTATCTGAAAACCAAAATGAAATGGTTATCTAGAATACTATACAACTATGCATTCCTTCATACTCTAAGTTCAAAATGGTGATTGCTCATGTTCTGCTCAATATCCTAAATTTAAATACACAATTTAAGCCAATTTAATGGTTCCAGGTTCAATAAAAGAGCAATTATATTCAAGCTTAACCCTCTTATTGATAATATATTAGACTACAGAATATTGTATGTAAATATCTCAAGACCAACCCTGAAAAAAAAAAAAAAAAAAAAAAAAAGAAAGGGTTGTGGCAAATTGTAAAATTTTTCTGTAAAGAGAATTCTAACCTTCATTCACATGTTATGCAGATTCCGACACAACGATTGTTCTGGTTTTGAAGTTTGACGTGTCAAGAAATTGACCAAAAGAATACCAGAAACCGCAAATTTAAAGCGAGATCGAATTTGTTAAGTATTTTAAAAGTGGGTTTACCACCCAGAATTAATTACTAGGACATTCCTCGATGACGGCGTCGATTAAGGAAAGAATCGTCGAGCTCTTAGTAGAACTTCATTCAAAACTTTACATAACAGGTGTGCATTTATGTAACAAGGACCTCGATCGCTATGAAAAGGTCTCGAGACTTAATTCAGAAATGACATCTTATGATCTAGACCGTAACAAGCCATTGAAGGAAAGGAAATGACGAATTGACCGAGGTCAAATTAAACACATTGAGCCGATTTTCGAATCACGCACATTAATTCCGATGATCGGGTTGGTTTGTTATTTCAAAACACTTTCAAAAAATATTCTGAAGAGTTTTACACCAATGTCTGCAAATCTCGCTTCTCGTTTTTTGTTTGCTCAACTCAAAAACGATAAATCGCAGTGTGAAGCCACTCAACACAGTCACTCTGTCAAACAAAACATAACATCCTCTTGGTTAATACCGATATGCAACGGTCGCAATGGTGCATGTTTAACAAAACATTTCCGCGTGAAACCACAAGATTATTAAACTTATTCGACTCATGGGTGTGCAAGGTTTATTTTCCGCATAAAACAGCTGATAACAACGCCGAAAATATTGCGGATTTGACGACAGACATTTTGGAATCAACATGCCGCAGTATGAAATTCTACCACAGTATTCCAACGCTGTACCCAACTGCTCAATTAAACGCCAAAAAAATTCCATCACATTCGAAAAATGCGGCAATAGGAAAGACCAAAGAGACTTACACGCACAAATAATAACTGTGGCACAATTTTGAAAATAAAACACAACAATCAAAAATTGCTTGCTAAAATATTGCTTAGTCTACGCGATGAAGTCTTTCAGCCTTACCAATCTCGGTTTTCCATCGGGAAGAATGGCCTTCACCATAAAACTCTGACCTTGTCCTTCGTCCATGCGGAGTATATTTAACACTCCAAGTAGAGTCTGGTCCGTCATCGATCTGGTTCGATTTAGCAGCGAGATTGACGACGAGAAGGAGTGTTTTCGCTGCCTTGTTTTCGCACTTGTGGCGGCAGTCGCCATTTTGCTGTGTGGATTCCAACTACAGACGGCTGCAGACAAAATCAAACAAGGTAGAGGAAAAACTCAGCGTTTTTTCTCTAAAGGGATTCATATGGAAAAGCTCACAGCTGATTCAATAAACATATCCACGGCTATTGTCCAACAACCACGAGCATAAAATACATTCGTACGCTATTTTTCTAAGCCGTCGAGAGGTTTGTAATTCACGTTCAGCACCGAAGTTAGCGGAGCGTGAAGTATGTACAAAACAATGTAGATTGGCTTATCAGCAATTTGATACACCCTAAAAGCTTCACTCGGGGCAATTAAAATATGGGGGTACATAAATTACGGTCATTACCCCATCAAACCCGGGATAAAGTTACATCAAAAATTCAAAAAAGTTCTTCAAACCCAATATGTTTGATACAGTAAGCGACTTTTTTTTACCATTTAAATCAGAAAAAAGCTTCGAGTTAATTTATACACCCAGTAGACTTATCAATAAAATGAAAAAAATTTGCCTATTCTGTCTTGGTTGGCCGGAACAAATATATCCTCAGTGGTAAAATATTAAGTTTAGGGAAGATTTTAAATTACATTTAACTTGCAACAAACTTATGCTGATGTAAGGCTCGGCTGGAAAAATGCTAGTTTGTGAGTGAAACATGCTTGACTGTAAAAAATCTTTATTCACAATACAGAGAAATGTTGATTCTTAAACAGATCAGCTCAAACAGCAATACGAAAAAACCCAGAAAAAAAAAGGCCCGGAAAAGTGGCAGCTTAAATGCAGATCTGTTCAAGAAATAGACAGGTTGTTACGATCAGACGAACTTGCATGAATTTTTGTCTCCGGTTGTATACATTCGCGAACATGTTTTTACTCCGAAATTGTCTTAAAAATATTTGACCCTTTTCTAATCTCTTTCTAGACTCTTGAAATCGGCTTTGCTATCAGCCTCATTAGCTCGTCTCTTCTCGACAAAACCAAGTCAGACATACTGCATTAGATAGAAAAATTTTATCGTTCAATCCTGAGTTATTTCCTGAGGCGTACTTCCTCTCAGGAGGTACCCAACTTACAAGCAGACAAAAAGAGGCTCGGCAAGGAATTTCCTTCCGCAAAAATGTGAGGAGGTTTGTTTTTTTAAGATCAAATAACAGTCAATTCTGGGAGAGAAAGAAAACTTTTCTCTCCGAATTTAGCGTTTTCGAGAGAGGAACATTTGCCATAAACTTGTGTCAGAGAAAAATCTGAGTCTCCTATCGCGTCCGGAGTCGAACCCTAACGAAAACCCGAAAGAGTCCTTGGGCCAGGGACCCGAAAGCGCGGTCAATTTCTCAAAAGCATGTTTATTTGAGTTGAAAGCTTTTTTAAAATTCAGAATGAGTCTTTAATTTCAGACTTCTCCAAATTTTAGGTAACAGTCGATAGCGGAGGTGTTCAATGGTTCAAACTTAGCTACTAGGAAAGAGCCTCAGACGAAAGGTAATCCTCTTGGAGATTTAAGACTGTTTTGATAATTTTCATTTGGTCTAAAAATAAGGGCTGGGTCGCACTAAGCAAGCTCTAGATTCTAGCTTATCCGTTCAAGATCCACCTTTGTTTGTTTTGGCAATGCAACCTGACCACAACGACCATTTTACGTGAAAAGTGCCAAAGAGAGAATGAAGTTAAAACGGAATACTTGGAGGTCACCTTTCTCCTTTACTCGCAGTCTAATGGAAAAGTAGCTGGAACTTCAAAAGTTGTAGGAACGTCAAAAGCTTATCACTGTTGACTCTGATTTGTCATCATGCATATTTTGTATAAGCAAGTTATATTTGGCAATGCAGTTTGAAAATATCTACAACTACCTACAAAGATTTTCCTCAGCGATACGTAAAGTACGTAAAGATGAAAAACTCTCTTAGTCGGATGCGGTCTTTCGAAATTAATAGAAAAACTAGGATTAGGGGGAAGTTGTTGATCAACGTGAGTAACATTGTTAAAATATCAACTTGATGTGAAATTGACTCAGTTCTAAAGTCAATTAGCTTTTAGCGTCAACAGGCCCCAAGTTGACCTTAAAACGGCGAGCCTGTCAATGTTGGCTCCATAAAATCCATAAAGTTATCTCTCAGAGATACAGTAGAACCTCGACTTAACGAAGTGCCAAGGGACTGGAGAGCTTGGTTCGTTATATCGAGGGTTCGTTATATCGAAAACCTAGATTTAACGAATTTGCGGAAAAACAACCAAAATGTTCGTTATATCGAAGGATGGTTGCTGAGATGTTTTTTTTTTTTTGTGTGGCGTTAGCATTTTGGGATCGGAGCGATTACTGTAAATAACGTTTGTACTTTGATGTCTGTATGACGCTACAGTACGCTGTGCACTGAGGTCTGTACATAGTTACAGCATCTTGTTTTTAAAGCACGGAGGACAAATTTCAGTGAAAGTCACTGGCAAACGGACTGAAACAAGGGTATTGGACTGGAAATTCCTGCCTCTTACACCTTTTACTACAAGAAGCCTTCAAAAATAAAGAGGTCAAATTCCACGTAAAAGAACTAATGATAGGCGAAGAGGATAAAGTAGATCAGTAGTAGATAGTGTCAGTGTTGGCATATCGGGGTTTATTATACGTTTGAGCTTCTGGATTGTGTTCTTTATAACAAGGATTTCGTTATATTGAGATTCGTCGAATCGAGAATCTTTCCCATGCATTTTAATGTGACTTTGGCCGGGCTGAAGAATATCGTTAGTTATACCGAGGACTTCGTTATATAGAGGTTCGTTATATCGAGATTCTTTCTCATATATTTTAGTGTAACTTTGGCCGGGCTGAAGATTATCGTGCGTTATATCGAGGACTGCGTTAGATAGAGGTTCGTTAAATCGAGGTTCTACTGTATAGCGTTTTTAACCTAAGAGCCAAGTACTGGCACTTAAGAATTACGAGAGGGGAAATTATGAGAATTGATAATCTGCCAAAATTCTTAAGATTCTAACGAAGGGTGAGTGACCACGTCTGAAATGTCGACAAAGTTGTGAGGCCGTGAGGAGAGCTGTTAAAGAAGAGAAGGAGAAGAGGTATCCCTCAAATTTTGTCACTGGTGAAATCTCATCTACGTCAAGAAAGTCTTTAGTCTGGCTATGACAACTCGTTTGTCACAAAAACGAAAAACACCTTCATCATCCTGGCGCGCTTAAAATCAACCATCTTTCCTATTCTTTTTACCCAAACTCGTGAGTATCCTGGGGGGGGTAACCCCCCCCCCTCCACCCTGAAGAGACATAATTTTCAGGTTAGCGCTAGAAGCAGAACGTGAACTTGTTTCATTTTGGAAAAAGAAAATACTATTAATCATTTTGTTTGCCTGGTATTTCACTGCAGAGAGATCCGTTTGATGATCGTACAACTGGCCGTGGATGTATATTGATCAAGTTAGCCATCTGCCAAATTTTGAAGGCATTTGATTGATAAAGTGAACAACACGAACTCATAATTTTCAGAGTCTTAAAAAAACCTTTATAAATGCTGGTTACTCTAAGGATTATTTCAAACACTACCATTACTTTCTTTATTATCCCTTTTTTCTTGTACTTGAATTTTGCCTAGGGAGACGAGATACCGATTAAACATGACAGCTGCAGGGCGTGAAACAAACAGAGTCATAATTTGCTTCTGAACATTGTGCTTAATAAAGAGTGTTAAAGTTTGCCAGCGGTGGGGCATTAATTGCAACTGAAACTTGAAGCGATGTATTAAAGAAAGACAAATCAATGGTCATTCATTTCCTTCACTGGAAATGAAAACAAATCCACTTCGTCGTTTACTTTGCAAGGTGTGTTTTTGTAATGAACGTTTTCGGTCTAAAACTCGTCTGAAAAACATTACGCATTCAAAAGTGTTCGAAAGTTGCTGCCTTTTTACCCAACTTGGCTTGTAAAATTTGATTTGAAAGAAGATACAAAACTAACCGCAGATTGTGAGGTTTCCTGCTCTTTTCAATCCTTTAAACATTCATTTACTCCATTATACTTGGCTGCGTAGCACGATAAAGGATCAAAGGAATTCTTATCAGAGATGTATTTGTTTACTTTGTGATAAGTGACTGTTTACATAACAAATAACTAAGGTCGTTATTCGAACGTATTATACCATCCACGTTTTATGGATATTTCACGAGGGATTAATCTGATGCGATTCACAACTGGATCGAACTATCAAAGTATTTGGGATCCTTTAGGAATCAGTTCAAAGAGCGTTGGTTTCGCGATTTCGTGACAAAAAGAATTCACAACTACACTGAATCACATATCCCCTCTGAGTCCATTTCGAGCGAGACGTTTTCTCAAATTTAGTGTGTTGCGTCTGGCGGCTCATAAGCACTATTAAAAGGCATACAGAAAGATAAAAGTTTTATCGGAAAAAAGCTACAGTGACTTTGACAAAGTGGTAGTCCCTCAGTTCGAAGGGAATCGATCGGACATATGACTTTTTTAGAGTAAAGAAGTGTAGACGTACAAATCCCACAATGTGCTCCTGTCATCAAAGACGACACTTTGTGAGTGCTCGGGTAACCTCCTGATGGTTATAAAGAAGGAATCGGTTGGAATATTTGCTAATAGCAATAGATCTTTAACAATTAAACGAAACAAAATTTGCAAAAGAAAAGAGAAGAAATAAACAAAACAAAATTAAAATCCTTGATCACAATACCTGCATGGCTGGCTCCTGAGTTACTGCGTCACGTTACTCTTGATTGGCTGTTTCGTTTCCAGTTACTACAAGAACCTAAACAAAAGAAAATAATAAAGCAGAATAGAATTGAACTCACGCGGAAAATGGAAATGATATTGGCGCTTGAACCTGACAGCACGCGCTTTTTGTAAAATCAGTATTACACAATTTGCTTCGTAACGAGAGAATATTCAAATTAACGTGAATGAAGGCAGAAAAAGTTCTCAAAAAAAAAAAAAAAGGAAACCGCTCCCTACTTTCCCGGTTTGTCTTCGATCGCAATTGTCT